CCGCCGTTATTTGGGACGCGGCAACTGGGGAGCGCCTGCGCAAGCTGGAGGGCCACAAAAGCCGTAATAGTGCCGTCGCATGGAGCCCGGACGGGCGCGCGGTGGCAACGGCGTCAGAGGATGCCACCGCCGCTATCTGGGACGCAGCGACTGGGGAGCGGCTGCGCAATCTGGAGGGTCACAGAAACTCTGTTTTAGCCGCCGCATGGAGCCCAGACGGGCGCGCAGTGGTAACGGCGGGTAAACAAGATACCGCCGTCATTTGGGACGCGGCAACGGGGGAGCAGCTGCGCGAGCTGGAGTGTCACTGGGGGTTCATCCTCGCCGTCGCTTGGAGTCCTAACGGGCGTTCAGTGGCCACGGCGTCAGGCTACACCGCCGCCATCTGTAATGCAGCGACGGGAGAGCTGGTGCGCCAGCTGGAGGGCCACAAGGACTATGTTAGAGCGGTCGCATGGAGTCCGGACGGGCGCGCGGTGGCAACGTCGTCAGACGATAAAACCGCCGCCATATGGGACGCGGCGACCGGGGAGCGGCTGCGCAAGCTGGAGGGTCACTCCAAACCCGTTCTAGCTGTCGCGTGGAGCCCGGACGGGCGCGCATTGGCCACGGCGTCGGAAGACAAAATGGCCGCAATCTGGACCATTAAGTTGCAGCAAGACTGACTATCGAGTTGGCCCTACATTGTCTGATCCGTCCTTGCGACTAGGGGACCAGGAGTGACAAGCAAACGATTGGTTGTTATTTCGGATTGCTCTAGTTTCCGCCGAAGCTGAGCGCGGAGGGCCCCACGCAAGTCCTTCCCCGCGCCTTGGCCGCCGCGCTCTTTGTGCCGCACCTTTTCAAAGTAAAATCGTACACCTTGCAAGTTCTGGCTTGTTTAATAAGACACTTTACATTCATCGGGAGCTTGAACAACAGGGTTGCAAACAGCTATGAAGCTGAAATGGAAGACCCTAGGAAGAGAGGAGGATCCAGGAAGGGGGCTCATCATCTCACGGTGTCCTATGACACGACCGTGCGACGGTCAAAGTTGAATCGCTCTTTTCTTTTCGGCCAGACGTCCAACGGCTCTTGTATTGTCTCCGCGCGTACGAGAAGGCCATCATCGCCATGCTGAGATACGAGCGCCCTCGAAGACCAAAACTCTTCTCCAAACCCGCGAATGAATCCTAAGTTCAAGCCTTGAGACGATGTAGTACGTCTATCGACCCTTATCAAAAGTCAAGACTCTACGATGTATCCCGGCTAGCTTGGGCTGACCATATCAGCATATCAGATGAATACGACCAGCGTGAAGCAGCAGATGACTGCGAACCGTTGATAAGCCATCTAGTCTTCATCTGCATGGACGGGCCGCATTTATGTTCGACTTTCACATCCACATATGCAAAGTCCGCGGGGCTGCGCTTTTAAGAGATACCGCGCCGCCAGCCCGTTAGTACTGCTGATATGCGGGGACTCTCGGTACCGGCCAGGTGGCGCGTTGCGTCACACTTTCAGGCGCTTATACAGCCTAACTCATGAATTTCGTGAAGGCATCTAATACTTTATATAGACCTGCATGCTGCCGATCGATGGCCATGAACGTTGCCCACACTTTGGCGGTCACGGATATGATTGCTTCGCGAATGCATTGAGTCCCAAATTTAAATGTGAATGACTGAGTCCCAAATTTAAATGTGAATGACAAGAGTAATACTTATTGAAAATACTGGAACCACATGTAGCGGGCCGGCCGCGGCCCCCGGTAACATGATATACAAATAGTGACTCGCACGTCACGGACATTTTCTGGTCCGACCCGATTGTACAAGTAATCTGCAATATTTCACAGATCCATGCTGCCGCGCAGCTTGTGTATATGAGCGCATGCCATGGGCTCAAGCCGCCAGGTGACGATCATCAACTTGCAGTCAGTGCACCACGTGCTTTACCCGTTGGAATGGAGTCCTGACATGTTATTTTGATTAGAACTTCGTCAAGCGCATCAGAGAATCTCTTTAGCAGGGTCACTTTTTAACCTGGTACTGAGCTGCCTCAACGATCAAAAGCGTCATGCTTCGACGTACATGGCCAGAGTGCGGCCCGCGCACCTTATTGTGCTCATAAGTCTGCATGCGTAATAATTCCAATCTTTTGTGAGAGCGGTCCATGTCCATGTCCAATGTCGTTTGTTCTGTGTCTGCTTCACTGACGGCTTTTCACTTGCTGTCTTGTTTTGCCTCGCACCACGAGCCAGCTCTAAGTCGCCTGATCGAACAGCCGTTCGCAAGAAGCCAAAGCCCTTCTCGCTGAATCTCAGTAGATCGTAGAAGCCCCCTTCTTCTCAGCCCTCGCCCCGCTGCCCCTTGATCGCCCCCAAAACATCTGCCGCTACCCACGCAAAACTGTACATCTTCCCGTCCCGCCACCAATGAGGCCCCGACTTCGCACCGTCCGACCTGTAGCAGGCGTAATAGCAGGCGCTGGCAAGCGCCCGGAATTGCGGACAGGGCCTCAGGACGCAATCGGATTGCGCGCCGGACGTCCGCTCTTCCCGGTTGCACAGCTTGCAACCGGGCGGGTCCGAGTCTGCGGAGCGCTCTTTGAAGGCGCCCGAGAGGTGGTGCGCCGGGAGCTGGTGGGCGGCCTCGAGCCGCCAGCGGAAGTCCTTTTTGAGGTCGGTGTAGTGGAACCGCACCCTGCACAACGGTGTCTATGTCTTACTTTTTGCGGAAAAGGTGTTCAACTTTGATGTGGAGGCGCAACACAAAAAGTTGGGAATGGGTCCGCGAAAGGAAGCAAGGGAAAGCAACCCCCCGAGGGACTGAGGGACTGAGGGACCAGTTCGGGGGTAGAAGGTGCCATAATGTACAGGCTCTGAATAATTAAGAAACCGTTATTAGGTGGAAAGGCAACGAGGTGGAACAAGCTGTCTTTAAGGCTGGCCCCTTAGTTCCGAACATTCCCGGCGCAGCATCAGGATCAGCCTGATCGATCGTGTCGTTCTGGCAGCCAATGCCAGCGACTGCCGTCGAGCTTACAGCGGATCGCACTCGGTCGAGCTCTGCTCCGGCCTTACTATCAATACCTCCTGGTCGGCGTTTTTAAGATCTTCAACACATGGCGAACAACAGATCAACAGGAGCCGCAGTTTTGCGAGACGCTCCCCTCACCTGTCCCGGACTTCGGACAGCTTCCGCCGCTTCTGGAAGTCCGCGAGGTGCATCACGTTTCCGGTCACCACTTCCGCTTCCGCCCGGATTCCGTTCCGCTGCATCAGCTTCGCCAGCTCCCACTCGTACGCGGCCTTCAATCTCCGGGCCTGCCACAGCCGCGCCTCGTAGCCGTCCGCAAGAAGGGAGCGGTCGAAAGCGTCCGCGTCGAAGGCAGGCTGGGGAGGTCCGGGCTCGAGCGGTTCAACGGCAATGTCGGAATCATCGTCGTCTCGCGCCTCGGCGAGCCGGGCGACTTTGTTGTAAAGACGGCCCAGCAGCTTTGTAGACTCGTAGGTTTCCTGGGAGGGTCATTTTAACATTTTGAGGGGGTGCGCGGACGAAAGAACCAACCAGCTCGAAGAGCGGCGACCGAAAGAATTGGAGTTGAGGCGAGGAAGCGCCGGCACTCGGCCCTCCTTGGACCGTCCCAGCTTCGCGCCGGAGAAGGCGGAGGAGCAGACTAGGCCGCTGACGTCATTGACCGTCAGCATGAGGTGGGTCTTTTTGAAAGCTGGATAAGTCGACTTTCCTTCTCAAATCGCGCTGTTTTCGAGAGGAATGCATCAGCTCTGCGCTGGAAAATGAACAGAGTGCTGTGCAGCTCTGAAGACCACGTCGGACGGAAATGTCACGATGGGAGCAGGCACTTCGAGAAAGTGATTGCTTTGCCCGTTTGAATTTTTCTGATGGACATCAACGACAACGCATCGTCACGATCCCAAAGGACCACAATCACAAGTCGCAAACGGGGACCAATCCGAAAGCTGATCTGAAATGTGATTCAAAGGTAGACCAGTAGACACTTCTAGCATGCTGGCAACTGCCTTCGAGTTCTCCTCGTCGTCAGATTTCCAATGCGGAAACCATTGGCCTTGCAATGATCTAGCAGATTGTCAAACCATTAAGGATCGCACAAAGCTCCTTACCTCGCCGTTCTTCTTCTCCATGTAGCTCGGGTACTTGGCCGGCTTTAGTTCCGGCGGCATGATGGCCGGAATTCCGGTCTTCGGAAAGTCGACGGCGACTGCCGCCAGCTCCGCAAGGCGCAGGCAGCCCTCGTCCCACGCGCCCGCCGGCGACAAATCCGCATGCACCACGTGGGCGTTGCTGATTTGTCCAATGGGGTCGGTGCGGATGCTGCTCAAGAAGTTCTCGACGGCGTCCTGCGAGAATGCGCAGAGCGGATCGTTGATTCAATCCTCTACGTCTCAAAAGCTGCGAAGTGTAAGTCACAGTGTTTTCACGGTTCTTGTCGAAAACTGGGTCCACTCTGACCCTATCCGATTGGATCGGTCGGGATGCTGCTGAGGACTTTCTCGACGGCGTCCTGCGGCGAGAGTATGCGCTGAACGGTTCGTTTCGCCCATTGTTTGATTATTTCTCTGGGTACTCAGAACCAAAGCCCAAGCCGCAACGGTTTTGGAAGTCTGGAACAAAGCATTGGGTCGACTGCCGAACTTGTGAACCATCTTTTGGAATACTCAGATTCCACAGCGGGCAGGCGAAGTCAGACCGCTTACGGGAGAAGAGAGCTTAGCTTGCCTGCACCGGTTGTGTTTGGTCTGAGTAAAATGGCTCGCGAACGCCCTGTACTGATACGTGCGCTTAAGGATCCCGAACCAGCAAACGGAAGCTCGAATTTTAGGGCCCACCAAACACCGGCGGCCGATGGCCTTTGCACCCCCGTAGGAAGAAAAGTTTTGTGATGCCTCGATCGCAGACACGCAACTTCAGCTTAAGGGTAGAAAGGGGCGGCAAGCTGGCACAAGGGCAGTGTAAGAGGCGGCGGGAAATTGAGTCAACAGAATGGGTAGTGTAGAGAGCAAGGTTAAAATATTGCGGATTAGCTTATTTGGCACCATTGCGGAAAAGCCCTGTCAGGTGGGCATCACTCAAACGCTCCAAAACGTCCCATTGGTTTAGAAACCCACCTTGACGGTCACCAGCTTCTTGGAGTCTTTCCCCTGCGCCGCCGTGTAATCCATCGGGACCGCACTTCTCCCCCCCGGGGGCACCAACCGGGCGTCATAGCTCACGAAGTAAATGTCTCCGTCTAAGTCACTTCCCGAGGCCTTGTCAGGCTCCGGTCGCAGGCCCAGCTGGCTAAAAACGACCACGTTTACAAGGCCCCGGTCGCGCAGTTCGGGGACGTCGGTCGCCGAGAGGACTCGGACGTCCCCCGGGTGGAGGCACGGGTTTTTGGCGACGATGGTGAGACCGGTGACTAGGGTCGGGGAGGACTCTTCTGGACGCTGGAGCTGGAGGAAGATCTCGCCTTCCTGCGAGTGACCGTGGCGTTGTGAGTTGCTGAAGGCAGAAGCTCTACAAACGGGCTCGCTTTGCGGGTATTAGCGCGTCAGTGGTGAGCAAAGAGGAGAGGAAGATTCTGAGAAAGGGCATCAAGGAGGCTGCCTCAAAGGCCGCTCATGAGAGTCGCGAAAGAGTTGGACTCGTGAGGGTGACGTCAAGCCGCCGGACCAACGTTCTATGAATGTGTCGTATTCCAATCCTTCGAAGAAGGTGATTATAGGCCCCGATCGCTCACGAAGCAGGGAAAAGGAGCCCTGCGAAAGAACCGCAGATATCCCTGCCGAATCTGTAGGCTGCACAATCAGGAACAGAGATAGTAACCCAAAAATCCGGCCGACTCGCCTGTAGTGTGGCCGTCTCGTCCATGACGCCGTAGCACCAGCCGCCCTTTTCCACGAAGATGCGCGCCTTGGAGCGCAGTTCCTTCAGTTGAGAACTAGCAATACACTGCAACATGCCGCGCAGGTACGGCTCCGACTTGGGTCGAAACCCAGCCCTGGAGAAGAAGGACACGAGTTTGGGCGGTGAGTTCTGGTCGGTTACGGGCTGGTTAGAAGCTGGTTCTGTGTACATGACCAGATTCGGGTGGTGACCAGAAAGTTTACAAAGATAAAGCCCGGCTGTTTGTACGATAACCAGACTCAAGATTGATTGTTCAGCCTGGCTAGCAGCGAACACGGGAAGCTGGTTCTTAACGGGCTGATCGGATTGCTGAATCGGAAGCAGAGCCTGATGGCAAAAGCCAGATTGCAAGGAGAATCAGAAGAGTCTCAGACAAGAAAAGGAACAAGTCTGTGAGCCCGAGAAATGAGAGAGTCGCTGAATCAAGATTGGTAGCTTGACGTTGATCAAAATGCGGCATTTTCTTCTGAGCCTCATCGCGTACCTGCCTCAATGTACAGCAGCAACTGATAACACACTGGCGGGGTGCGGTCTGCCTGCACTTAAGATAGTCAACGCGGAGTACTCATCTGCATGTGCTTCTGCAGATGAACGAAACAGCGAGCGCACATGCAAGTGTCATTCATAAAGCAACTCTCTCATCTGCACCACGTCCCAATCTCCAGCCATTCCCCCCGCCTGCCCACCTGAGCATCTGGAGCGCCTGGTGCCCGTCCCCCGAGCACGACTTCTCCAGCACCTCGATCGCCTTCCGGTGGTCGGTGAGCATCCCCCGGACCCTCCGCAGCTGTGCGTCCTGCGGTTAAGGTTGGCTCCCTTTCAATACGCCTTGCGCTATAGAACTCCAGCAACTGAGAACCCTAAGAAAAACGGTCGGACTCCGTGTATGCATACACAAGGAATGTGTCGTATCTTTGAAAAGCCCTTTCAAAGATAATACTTCTGCACGTTTGTATGTAAGATGGAGGAAAAACAGGCCCTATACGGATGCATATGCGAACTCCAGAGGATCACACGGAACACGCTTAACAACATGAAGGGAGTGGGAGCTACGCTATTCAGTGGGTCAAAAAAAGGGTTTAGGACCCAACCCTACCTGCAGCTCCTCGAACACCCTGTCGTGTATCCCGAGCGCCACCAGCAGGGTTATGATCTGTCGGTTAAGGTAACTCGGGGAGAAGCTGCTCCAGCCCACGATCTCCAGGTCTTGGTGCATGGAGTCGAACTTGCGCATGGAGTCGCGCAGGATTAGGGTCGCGGTGCAAGTGGGGTCTGAAACGACCATTCCTTTGCAGCCGGCGTAACGGATTTGATAGGCGGACGGAACGGCGGAAAGGCCGAGGATGCGCGCGACGTCGGCCGCCGCGGCGGGGGAAATCTTGCCGACGCCGTCTGCGGGAGACCGGTGTATGAGGTGATTACGGTTGATAGTTATCACCAGCAGTTTGGACGTTGTTCAGTTCCGAGTCAGGATCAAAGAACACAGAATCGCGTTTAGCAAGCGACGAAAAGAGTTCTGGGGACGCGAAGTACAAACGCGAAAAGATGTGGAACCCGCCGGTAAGAAAATCAAGGTTGAGGGAAATCTTTCCTGATAGACTCACAGCAAAACCCTACCTTGTTGCCGCGTTTTGTGTCTGAACCTTGCTCCTTGCATACGTTATCGAGCTATCATGCGACGAAACGGCCTCGCAAGCTTTGGTTTCGTAACCTAGACAAGCATCTCAGCAGGCAGAACCGTCGGACGTCCGCACCGGAGAAGATGTGTCTGTTTCGTCGGACGTCCGGCAGCGAGCAGGCGCGATCCGGCGGTACTTTCAGCGTGCTCGTGGACGTTGAGAAGCAGAGCGCCATGCGGGCTGCCAGCTTCGACCTGTGAAGGTGCACACATCTTGAGGTCGGGCTTGAGTAGCCTGCGCAACGACTTAGGAGAAGCTGGAGATCTCGACAGGAAATGATCACCGGTCTGTTTTGATGGAGCTGACTTCTTGCCGTCTGCACTGACGGAACGGGGCTACTCCATACCAATCGTAGAAAAAGCTATCGTGACGAAGTTAGCAAGCGATACTTTTCAACCTGGACATTACGCGACTTTGCACAGAAAAGTTGAAGTAACTCTGCGGCTTCAATGGTCTCTCACTTAATTTCCAAAATCAAGAAAGAGACATTCTTACACAGTATCCTACCGCGACCTCAAGGAAATTGGTCATCTCCGGCCTAAACTCAATCTGTCCCCCTTTTAGAACTACTTGCTCCCCAAGAAATGTCTTTCCTCTCACCGGTTCGTGAAGTTCGTGAAATTGCCCATGTCCACCCAGATCGCCTCCACGCTGACGTCGCTGCTGGGCGCGAAGAACCACGCGGAGCGCTCGCGCATCTGGTTGGTCGACGCGCCGCAGAACTCGTAGCGCCGCCCCGCCAGCACGAACCCGTTTTTGCACACGGCCGCCACGCGCTCGAAGATGCGGGTGTCCGTCGGTTTGACGCGGACGTCTTTGCTCAGAAACTGGGGGACCGGGGCTCGGAGGGCGGCTGCGAGAAATAGCGCGAACAATCCTCTTTAGTGGGCATTTTATTATCTGGCAATTGTTGAATCAGAGTTTCATGCTTATGATAAGTGTCCGTCGGTTTTGACGCGGACGTTTGTGCTCAGAAGCTGGGGGGCCGGGGCTCGGAGGGCCGCTGCGGGAAGAGGAAGGATTCAGTGGGCGATCCCATTCTCCAAGGGATACTTGGTGGAACAATGATTTATAAAAGATCCGGACGTCTGTGGTTTGACACGGACGTGCTTGCTCAGAAATTGGAAGACCAGGCCCCGGAGGACCGCTGCGGAAAGAAAAGGGAATCAGTGGGCGATCCATTTCTACGAAATCCCGTTTCCCCAGGGGATACGTGTGAAAGATTATACGGCAAAGACGATCCGTTCGTTTGTCGGATTGGCGCGAATGTCTTTGCTCAGGAACTGGGAAACCAGCGCCCGGAGGGCGGCTGAGAGAATAAAGGAGACAATTTGCCGAGGTCAGCATTGCAATAAGTGGCGAGGGTTTGGTCAAAGTCTTATGTTACACTAACCGATAGTGGTTTCGGTGTCCGCGATTTCGCACGTACGGACGTCTGTCTCAGAAACTGGGGCACTGGGGCCCGGAGGGCGGCTGCAGAGACGGAGCGAAATCTGGGGAGCAATCCATGTTTCAAGTACGGAATGGTCCTTAGAGCAACATTGCTCGGCTGCTTTCAGCCGGTGAGAAACTCGGGTACGGAATTGTGCTCGTAAGAATGACCTAGAGGCTCACTTGTTGCTCCCTTAGTGCGGATTCGAAGCGAAGATTGGGAGTCTTGAATAGGCGGTCGGAAGAGGCGATTGTAGACGAAACGATAGGGACTGGATGTGTCAAATTCCACACGGGCCCGTCAAAGCTTCGACAGCAAAGATAGGCCGGATTGCCAATCTAAACGAAACAACGACAAGAGATGTGTATGTTTCGCCTCACCGTTGCCCAGATGCCCCAGATCCTCTTCAGTAAAGAACACGCGCAGGAAGCGGTCCGTCAGCTCCGGCCGCCGCCTCAGGATCCTGTTTCCTAGCTCCATGTACGGCCCTGCCACGTGGACCCGCAGCGGGGTAATCGCCACTTGACGCACCGGCAATAGCTGGCTGGCCGGGGGGAGGGGTTCTGAACTTAAGCGGGGTTTTGATTGGAGGGTTCCACGAGGGTTTGGCTGGAGGGTTTCGGGCGGGGTTTGCTGGAGGGGTCTCGGCGAAGGGGCTCGAAGGTTTTCTAACAGAGCGGCAAAGGCGGTGTCTTCGTCGTCGAGTTCGCTACTCGACTCGGAAGCCAGTTCCTCGGTCGAGGTTTCGTCGGACGACGGCGGCCGGTGTTCGAGCAGATGCCACTGCGCTAGTTGCTCTCCCAAACCCTCCGTTTGGAGGTTAACCATATTTTCGGGTGGCGCACTTAGAGCGTTTATTTTTGGAGACTTTAGGACGGTCCGGGGAGTAGAGCCGCTTTCGGACAGTCCGTCCGAGCTCGAGCTTTCGGACGCCGCGTCGCTCGCGCTTTCCGCCAGCTCCGCATCAATGAGCGTTCGCAGCTCCGCAGGGGGGTTCGCTAGGGGGGTGTTCGAGCCCCCCGTAAAGCGCATCTTTTCGAGGGCCCGTTCAGCCGCGTCCGGCGCCGTCCGTTTCAGCAGTCCGAAAAAGGCCTCGTCTAAAGTCGATTCGCTCACAATGCCGTCGAGCACCAGAGCATTCACCATAAAGGCGAGCGGGAATTCAAGGCTTCGGGGGTAAAAACGCCCAGCGGGACGGCCCCCCCGAACTTGGGCACTTTGGGGGGAGAGCCGTGCGAGACGCTGATGTCAGTGGGGGCCGCGGCGGGCCGGTGCTGGAGACGCTCCACGATGCTTTTGCAGGTTTTGTAGTGGGAGGGGGGGGCTGAGACCAGGTAGGCGAGGCTGCGGCCCATGGTCTGGTTGGGGGAGGGGTCGGTGGTGCGGATGTAGGGGTCCTCGTCCTCGTCGTACCTGAGAGGATAGTAAACTAGTCCACTTCTCAAGTATTAAAGAAGCAAGCTGGAAGTGACTCAAAACCGGTGGTATTGAAGAAGTGGAGTCACGATCGAGCAAGCAAGAGGGTCTGTCTGGAGCGGTTCCTCTGTCTTGGCAATTCTCACGAAAGCATCTCCACAACTTTCTCTACGCAGATCCATGTTCCAGAAGAAACACAACACTCAAGATAATGGCAGTTGAGATGAGCCAGCCTGGTGATCTTTACGTGGTCAATGGGTGATCTATAGCAGGCCAGGCTTGCCGCTAGTCTTGTCACCAGAGAGATGCCTCACAAATGTAAAATACTACATAATCTCTCTTGGATGTCCAAGCCGAATCACGGACAAATTTTTTAAAAGCGTACAAGCCTTCTCTTCCCTTCCAACAAGCACTCTTATAAGTAGACCAGCATAGCGCTTTGATCATAAGCAGGACATCATCTGCAGTCAAAGACTCGACCATAAGAGCTTAATAACCAGAGAGGAAGGGTATTCGCGAACAGGGCAGAAGAGCTTGGACTGCAACATTTGGCAGCAGACGTCAGACACCAAAGGGCGTGAGACATGAGACCCTCAAGGTCAACAACGTATGTTGCTGCAGACAGCGGTTGAAACCCTCTGCAAAATCCTCTGCAAACCCTCACCATAGAAAGCGTGACTGCAGCTTGGGATCTTCATATGTCTCCCGCGCCGGGAGGCGGTAGGACACCCGGGGGGGTTTCCACAGCTGGATCAGCAGCGGGACGCTCACCCGCCCCGCATTCAGAACATTCTTTAGCTCCCGCACTCTCCTGACGTCCCTCATGTGACTAGTCAGCACGACGTCGATCAGACCCTTTGCTCCCGGGGTGGAGTTTAGCTTGGAGTTGCTGGTCTGAAAGTACCAGCGAACCAGCCCCCGGGCAAAGTCAAACTCGACGTCGAGCCCCCGGTCGGAGGCGTTCCACAGAACACTCATCTCGTGGGGGGTGACGAGTGTCCCCATGTGAAGCGAGCACCGGCTGAGCTTCAGCGGGGGGCGCTTCTGCCCAGCAACGCTCGCCCCCCGCCGCGTGTTCCCCAGCCGCAATTGCAAGGTCCGGCCCCCCAGAACGAGCGCCTCGTCCCCTGACAGCCCACATGCCTCCTTTGCCCACTCCTCAGAAGCGAAATCAACGAACGCCACCAGCTCTCGTGAGGGGGGTTGGCCACGGAAGGCTTCCCCGGTGTGCTCTTTGATTGCGAACCTCAGGATCCAGTAACCCGCTCCCGCATCTAGCAGGTTGACGAGCGCTTTGGCGGTGCATTTGTCAGGCAGGTTGGTGATCGTGACCTGGGTGCTGTGCTTCTCAGGGTCAGCGTCCATAATGTGGGCGCCAATTTGCCTGCTGTATTTGTTTTCAAGAAAAAACTTCCGCCATGAAATGAGGCGGCGCGCGCGTTCAAGGGCCAATGTGGCCTTCTGAAAGCTGAAGAAGAGACTTAGGAGGACAATGTAGGTTGTTCCTGCTGATGGTGAGACAGGAAGGTGGTCTCAATCGGCGGCCCTAGACGACCCGCCTCCCGTCAAACCTCCAAGCTCCACTGTCAGTGTCACAGCTCGTGAGCTAGTTAACTCTGGTCTTTGCAGATTGCGCGCAGCATCTAGAGCTGGAATATGTGCATGAAAGCTCTACCTTTACCGGCCTTGGTCACTGACCGTCAGTGACTCTGATTTAAGAACGTTACCGTTGTCAGTCACTGCCGCTATTGAGTCGGGCTTTTCTTCCGCTTCCACTACTAGGCTTGACGTCATTCAATCGCCGACGCAGCTGCCCGGGGTCTCTGCCGGTTTCCCGGATGCATCCTGGCCGAGCCGAATTCAAAACCCTGTATAAACCCTCAGCGTCCTGCCGCGGGCCCGCGGCGGCTTGTCTCAGGCTCCAGATATTATACGAGTTTGAAGCTCTCTGGATTTCAAGTTTTCTTCTGAATGACCGCTTCCAGTCGTGCGCGATGCACTGCCGTGTAGGCACACCTGGACACGTTCTTCGTCAATCCGGGGACTGCTGCCCGGGCGCTTCTGTGAGACAGTGACAGGTGTAGATCTGCGTCAGAACGTCTGTGACCAGGAAGGAAGCCGGCGAGCTACTCAGTTGGCAGCGCTCTGAGGATTAGCGGCAGCAACTGGCGGCTGTGAATAGCTCCTTGAAAAGGTGAGATCTTCTTGCGCTTTTCCATCAGTCCTCTGTTTCGGCAGCAGCATTTGTTCATATAGGCTGCCGCCAAACAGAATCAGTTCAATGCATCGGGCTAGTGCTAACTATGCGCTCCGTCAAAACACAAAAACGTTTGTCGAAAGCTGAGATTTTCGTCCTGATTTCCCTGGCACTTGACTAACCAGATGTATTTTGATGCGCTTGACCTCATGGCGCTTACTACCGTCAGGTTGATGTTTTGTTCAGTTGAATTATGTGCTTCGACGCAGCACATGAGAATCCAAACTCTGAATACAAAATGAATTGCACTGCGTTACATCTTGGATCTCGGCTCATACCCGCCTTGGTGATTTCTGTGCTGTAGCAAGACTCCTTGTCGAGCAAGTAAGGAAAGTTTGTTCAATAGTTCCATCAGAGAAAGGCAAAATTTGCTGGCGATGCAAGTCTGAAGTTACTTCTAGCCCGGACATGAATAACGTGCTCTATGATTCCTGATTCTGAGGGACGTCTGCATATATCCCATACCAACCTCAAAGTACTGGATCCACTTTTGTCAATTTGAGTTGTACCAGTTCGCCTGCGGCTTCTGATCTACGCTTGCAAGTTCGATGCTACGTACGTCTTACTATTGTCAAGCGTTTCTTTACACAAGAGGCCTGTAGAAATTACTGATCGCACAACTTATTGCGAAAGACATTCGGCGCCTTGTTCACGTGGTTCTCCAACTTTGAAGACCCCGTCCCTTTATTCATCTCGTTGTCAACTCTTTTCCACTATGAGATTCTCACTCTTGCCGGTCACGATGTGCAGATGGTCTCTTCCGGCGGCGCTTGGTTCGGACGCAAGAAGGGCGCTGCGTCCACCGAAAGTCCGGCCCTGATCACGTCCGAACAAATCGACAAAAGCGATGCATATGAGCCGCTGCCCTCCACGTGCGGCTCTCGAAAAGATGAGCACTCAACAGCTGAGGTTCTCTCCGCCAAAGCGCGCGCCGCTGAAGCGGACGCGCTTCGAGAGCTGGCGGTCGGCGGCCTGCGCGAGGAGGTGACGCGGCTCAAGGGGGAGCTCGCGTGCGCGCGCGCGCGCCGAGAAGGCGCCCGCGAGCCTGCGCGCGCAGCTGGCGTCCGTGACCCGGGAGCTCGCGGAGGAGCGGCGCGAGAGCGCGCGAAAGACGGCGGAGACCGCGGACCTCCGAGAACAAGTTTCGGCGTTGACCAAGACGCTCCCGGAAGAGGAGCGTCAGAGTGCGAAGGAACTTGGGCGGGAGTTGGCGGAAGCGAAGCGGAACGGCGCGGAACAGGCGGCGCGCGTCGCGGAACTTGAGACCGAGCTGAGGCGCACGCACGAGGCGGGGGCGCGGTGCGGCGAGGAGCGCGAGCGGCTGAACTTCGCGCTCGCGTTCAACGCGCAAGTGGGCTCCGTTCCGCGCAGCGTCCTGGCGTCCGCTCCGGAGTCGCTGCTGTACAGAATGTACTGCGGGGATTGGGACTACGCGCGCGATGAAGTGGGGCGCGCGCTCGTTACGTGCCACCCTGACCGGTGGAACGCCGTCCTGGAGCACCTGACGACCGGAGCTGTTCCGACGGAATGGGATCCGGCGCTCCTGGCGCAGGCGCGGCACTGGAACCTGAGCCGGTTGGTCGAAGGCCTCGAGGCGCTGAGTTTCGGTGTGGTTGTGACAAACGACCCGGATCAAGAAGGATTCAAAGCCCGGTGCACGTTCGTGTCTGTGACGAACCAGCTGAGCACCGGGGAGAAAACTGCGCGCGTCGAGTTCGCTACGGGCCAGGGGTGCTGGTTTGTTGTGGAAGTAGACCGGAGCGGCGTTGCTCTGGATCCAGTGAAACCGCCTGGAATGAAACAAATGAAACACTCCCTGATCTCCTCGTGCAAGTGGCGCGTTCTGCTGCGGACCGAGGACCTCGAGACGGACCAGGGAGTTGCGGGTTCCTCTGCGGACATGCGGACGTCACGTGGGCTTTTCTGGAATCAGCTGGGCTACACGGTCCACCAGCCGCTCACGGAGCCCTTGGCGCGCGCGCGCGACAGCTTGGTAGTCGAGGTCGAAGCCCGTTTTACGGTTCTGTAGCTTTGAACATCGCGGTTGAGAACGAGATAGATGTTATGAGACGTATGGAGTTGCTTCAGTATCAGACACCCAAGAGGTCTCAAGTTTGAGTTTGACAGGACGCCTTAGGTCACCGAGTCGCAAAGCAGTAAAGCAATGTGTATGTAAGTTCTCAAAACCAGCATTCGTATCTGGAGAGCTCTGACAGGATTTTGGCCACTAATTGAGCCAAATATGTACTCAGGTCACCGAGTCGCAAAGCAGTAAAGCAATGTGCATCTAAGTTCTCACCAGCATCCGTATCTGATCAAGCTCTGACACGACTTCGGCCAGTAATTCAGCCAAAGATGCTACGTTTGTTGCATTACCCTTGTCATTGTCGAATCCTTTGGCAAATCGTTAGAAAAGTATCGTAGTATCTTCGTAAGGTGCATCGATGGCAGCGGCTACCACTTCATGATGTACTTAGCAGCATTTCCGCCTCATCAGTAGACCATCAACACGCGTCTTCTTTGCACCATGAGCATCGCTTGTGTTGACGAACAATCTTACAGGGCCACTTGGATTGAGCGAATTGCTCTCAACTTGACGCAACGTGGACCGTGCAGATTTTCGAGGCTTTGGAGATAGATGTACTCAATAGGGGCCGCTCATGCGCATTAAATGACCGTGCAATGCATCCGATAATCTAGAGCTTCTTGAGATGGTGGCTATAACGTTTTGCTTCTTTTTAATCTTAGGGTCCTGAACTATGGCCTCTATGCTTACAAATAGGTCTTCAAAAGCTTTCAGCCGTTCCTATAAGCCACTGAAAACGAGACTTGACAATCGACCTGAGCGTATATGCGATCGTCATCCTAACATATGCAAGTCAACAGATTTTCGAAACTCCATCACGTGGTGAGCATTTTGGTACCTATTGGGGAGGCATCGTCATAATAGTTAGCCACCAGCACCCATGACGGAGATATGAGCTTAGTCAATACACGTTTGCAAGCCAAACGTCCCCGTTGGGTTTTCTGCAAGCTTCTAGGTAGTCACGTTTGATCTTCATAATGAACTTCGACCTCGATCACAAGACTGTCGGGTGCCCTCGCCAGAGGCTCGCTGAGAAGCTGCTCTAAGCCGTACCCCCGAATGCCCCAACTGAATCCTACAAAGGATTCTAATCCGTGAGGAAAATCGATGGGTGCACTTTTCCACACAAGGTCTTCACTTCGTAACAGCAGCCGGACGTTCATGAACTTGAGCCTGATTCCCTTCAGGTCTTCCACTTTAGGGCTGAAAAAATTCATTGGTATCAACGATCCAAGCGCAACGCCTTTCTTTGTTATCTTCACCCCCCACCACCTTTCTTGAGGCCCTCGGAAAACAAACCGCGGGTCTTCCTTGCCGCCGCTTAGCTTTTCCATGACGGACACGAACGTGCAGCGAACTTTGAACCCTCGCAAGTCCGCGTCGTTTGTGACGGTCACGCCCGGATCCAACGCTTCCAGACCTTCCACCAAGCGCTGCAGATTCCAGTGGCGCGCCTGCGCCAGCAGCAGCGGATCCCGTTCCGCCGGAACGGCTCCGGTCGCCAGGTGCTCCAGGACGGCAGCCCAGCGCTGCGGGTGGCACGTGATGAGCGCGCGCCCCTGATCGTCGCGCGCGTAGTCCCAGTCCCCGGAGTACATCTTGTACAGGAGCGACTCCGGAGCGGACGCCAGAACGCTGCGCGGAACGGAACCCTCCTGCCCGTTGCACGCGAGCACGTAGTGGAACCGCTCGCGCTCCTTCTCGGACCGCCTGCACTCCTCTCGGTGCTTCTTAGAATCTTCCAGTAGACCGGAAACCTGTTTCTGGTGTTCCTTTTCTTTTTCCGACATCTGCTGTTGGAGTGCGGCGTTCTTTGCTCGAAGCGCCTCAACTTCGGCGCGCGCATCCGCCTGCACCGTCGCAAGAACCGCGATGAGCGTGCGGAGACTTCCGCTCTGCTCTGCGACCTCGTGCACTTCGCTCGCAGCCGGCTTCGTCTCCGCCGCGCGCGCGCTCTCCGCTGTGTCTAGCTTGCTGGAAGAGTTTCCAAGGGCCTTCGATTCCGCTTCTGTAGGATATCCAGTGTCGGATGTGAATGCAGGGGCGTCGGTTTGCACGGCTATACTCGCAGTCACCGATTCTGGCTGGGACTCAAGTGACTTCTTTAGGTCAGGGGAATCGGTGACCGAAGAAGAGCAGTGTGCTTTTCTCGAGCATCTCGAACCCCACTTCTTGAAGGAAGGAAGCCGAGAGAGCCGTGCTTCAGAAGCCATCTGTCAAAGGGAAAGGAAATTCTTGGTGTGAGGACTCATATGAACAAGCTTGGACCCAGCTGACCATCCTCAATAAAGAGGATTAGAAAGAGAGTGCCAGGTATGCAAAAAACCCTTCAAACCCGCAGTATGAATCAAAGGAAAGATGAGTTCGATAGAGATAAGAAGCACGACCTGCAGCAGGCAAAGAAAGCATCCTCATTGTCTCTAGTCTCAGGTGCTATACTTTTTCGACGAGAAGCCGAACTAGCAGATGCGACAGTGAAGTCGTAATTCCGTCGCCGATACTGTTCAAGGTATACAAGGAAACTTGAGAACGTTTTGTTCAGGTAAGGCGAGAAAACAAAAGATCTAGAGATGTAAGATAGAGGCGTTTCTTATTTTTGAGTTTGTTCAGGTTGCAGTCGGCGGAGTGTGTCTGCAATGAGATGTACAAAGATAGAAGCTCTCGAACGGCCAGAAATCCTGCAGAGTCGGACTTGCAAATACAGGTCTCAGTACGTCCTATCCAGATGACTCGGATGATATTCTTCAGATTCATTTGTTTGTTCGAAACTATCGAGACTGTGGCAAAGTGGCCACTCGCTACTCTGAGAAATGTACAGCATTGACAAAAAAGGAAGACTGACTCTTCGAACATAGTTTGGCAGGCGCTGCCTCTGATCAGCTTTGGGTCCTCACCTTCGTCAAATGACCGTCCAGCACAATCTTCTCCGACATGCAAGGTTTCTCTGCAACTTGTTCAATGACTGGCATATTGCAGAGCCGATTCCGGACAGAAATGAGCTCCGTTTGCTGTGGACTGCCGCTCTTCTCCGACAGAGTATTTGGCCGCGCGCCTGAGCCTGCCGCAGCTGAAAGAAGTACTGCGTTTACGTGGCCAGCCCTTCCGAGTCAGCCAGAACTTGCGCGGGGCGGCCGCGAATAGTAAAACCTCCAGGTCAAACCGCGCTCGAGGAGGAAGCGGTCGCACTCGCGCCCACGCGCGCGGAGCGCTTCTTGGCGCTCACAATATTCAAAGTGTCGGCGAAGATCATCACGCGTTCCCATAAGGCGTATTAGACGCATCCCCAGCATGCGTAATGTGCTCGGACCCAGCATGGCCGCCCGGTTGAAGGGCAGAATACCTGTGCCTGAGTACCGCTTGTGTATACGGAGACTCTCATAGAGCAGATTGACCCTTTAGTCTCAAGAACGGACCGTACATATTTCTTCAAAAAGGTGTACTCAGCAAATCAAACACGCGGATTCAGTGGTAGTGCATCTATGCATCTGGAGCATCTCCATGAAGTAGCTATGCTTTGCGTTGCATTCCAACATGGCGGACAAAGGCCCTTTATGATTCAAATATTAAGTCCGGAACCTGGCAACCATCCGCGTGAATTTGATGCTCAAGCCGTCAGAGTTGAAATACTGCACTGTCGCCATGACCTCAATGATACGTATATATGATGATCCCTGATATGCAGTCAACATCTTATTGTAAGCCTAAACAAGTGGTAATGCTTTCTTGTATCGTGATTAACAAGAACGGACCAGTATGTTGTTTTGTCATCAGCACCACTTTACGCGCAAGTTCAAATCTCAGCCAACCTACACGGGCATGTTTACTACCGTCCCCGTGCGTCTTACTGCTTGCTTCTAGACATAACGAACTTCGACCTCAATCACAAGGCTGTCGGGAGCCCTTGCGAGAGGCTCGCTGAGGATCTGCTGTAAGCCGTACCCGCCCAAGGTCACCCAGTCAAACCGTATACATAGTTCTTCTCCGCAGGGAAACTCTTCGTGTGCGCTTTCCATCACAGGGTCTTCAGAGCGCAATAGCAGCCGGAATTTCATGGACCTGACCTTGATCCCCTGCAGGTCTCCTAATCTTGACTTTGGGACAGTCATTGGTATCACTGACCCTAGCGTAGGGCCTCTATCGGATATTTCCACCGCCCAATATCTCTCTTGAGGCCCTGGGAAAACACAGCACAGGTCTTCCTTGCCAGCGCTCAGCTGCTTCATGACGGAAACAAACGTGCAGCGGGCTTTGAACCCCCGCAAGTCCGCGTCGTTTGTAACGGTCACGCCCGGAACCTCCAGGCCGTCCACCAGGCGCTGCAGGTTCCAGTGCCGCGCCTGCGCCAGCAGCAGCGGATCCCACTCCGCCGGAACGGCTCCGGTCGCCAGGTGCTCCAGGACGCCATACCACCGTTGCGGATGGCACGTTAAGAGCGCGCGCCCCTTGTCGTCGCGCGCGTAGTCCCAGTCCCCGGAGTACAATCTTGTACAGGAGCGACTCCGGAGCGGACGCCAGAACGCTGCGCGGAACGGAACCCTCCTGCCCGTTGCACGCGAGCACGTAGCGAAAGCGCTCGCGTTCGTCGTCAGACCGCCGGCACACTTCCCGGTGGCTCTCCAAAGCCTCCCTTAAACCCGAGACCTCTTTCTTGTGCTCATTCTCTGTTTCGGACAGATTCAGCTGGAGTGAGGCGTTCTCTGCTCGGAGCGCGGCAGCTTCGGTGCGCGCATCCGCCTGCGCTTTGGCAAGCACCGCGACCCGCGCCCGAAGGTCTTCGTTCTGCTGCGCAAACGCCTTCACCTCGTCTGCGGCCGGCTTAGCAGCGTCCGGATCTGTCTGAGTACTCACAAAGATGGTTGCAGGGGCGTCGGTCTGCACGCCGACACTTGCCTTTCCCAATTCTGGCTGTGGATCCCATGACGTCTTCAGGGCAGGGGATTCAATGATAGAATTCTTCGAAGAAGAGCAGTGTGCTTTTCTCGAGCGTCGAAACGCCCACTTCGTGAAGAAAGGGGCCCGAGAGCGCTCTGCTTTAGACGCCATCTGTCAAGTCAAATGGAAAGCTCGGTGTAAGAACTCGCTAGGTCAACTGAAAATCTCCAAGATGGAAATCCAAGCCCGAAAACGACCCAAGCCTGCGATGGAACTTCAGGGTTAAAGTAGTTCAAAGGAATAAACAGGTCAACAGTTGCGGCAAGAACGGACGTAGAAAAGAACGAAAACTCAGATCCGAAAGCGTCCTCGTCACTTTCCTTGTTGTCATTCTTAAGATTTTTCGACCAGACGCCGAAGTAGCGGATGCAAGTTGAGGATAGAAGCGCGTCGCTGACACTTGTGAAGGCGAAAATAGAAGGATACGAGGAAATTTAAGAGCGGTTTGTTCAGGTTACAACAGGAAAAAGACATTGTAAGACTTGCAAGACAAGGCTTATCCAACAACTTTGTTCATGAAGAATCATCTGGCTGACTTTACCTGCGGTGAAATCTCCCGATTGACAAACATAGAAGCTTTCGAAGCAACATGCCCAGCCACAAAACATTTGAAATAAGTCTCAGTAGGGAATGCATTGTCCAGGTTCACTTGGTTGTTCGGAATCTGCTGAGGTCATGTTTACTCTGAACATGCCGGCTAAAGGCTCTCTTAATGGACTGAACAAAGCTGGAAACTATGATCAAAGTCTACTTGGCCAGCGCTGCTTTTCTCAGCTTCAGTAGCTTACCTTCGTCAAACCGCACTCCAGCAGCACCCTTTCCTCCCAGAGTCCCTACAGCAAATCTCTGCGATTTTTCCACCGCCTGGCAGGTTGCAAAAGCCGACTTTAGAAGAATGTGAATCCTTTGTTCAGGTCGGCAACGCTTCTCGCGGGCACCAGTCTGCTAATATTCAGGAACGACTGGGCCCAACTTTCAGCCCGCGTGTGCCCGAGGCTGAGCATGCGGAGTCAGCTGATACATGCGCGGGGCGGCCGCGAAGAGTACATCATCCGATGTGAAACTGGGGTGAGGCAGGAGCGCGCGCGTGAAGGTCGCACTCGCGGCCGCGCGCGCGAGACGCTTTCTTGCGCTCAGCGTCGCGGCGCTCGCCTGGCCGCCATCGCAGGCGCGCACCGCAAAATAAAGCCGCTGAATGCATAACATGCTTCAAGGCGTCAGCTCGTTAGAAGAAGACTAAGAGGAGCACGTACGTAAGAATGCAGGCGAGCACGAGAACATCCTGAATTATGTAGCTGAAAACTTGCCGCGAAGCAGGAGTCGAAGACCTCTTCTAAAAGAGCGCGAGCGATTTGGGTACGACACCGCATCTGAAGGAGGAAGAATGGCTTTGCTTGCGCAGTGCTTTTTTCTGTCTGCTCCGGAGTCTCTCCTTTGCACCATGTACTACGGGGAACGGGTTCCCGCCCGCGACGAAGATGGACGCACGCTAGTCACGCGCCACCCTGGATTAATTGCCATCTGTCGCCCTGGGACACTTGAACTTGTTACAGAGAATCATTGTATGTTCAGTATAATTACGCGTATTCAGTATACTTACGGGGCATCTAATGCACGGCCTAGCATACGAAGAGTGCTCGGACCCAGAATGTCATTCCATGCACACGGTTTAAAAGAGAGCGACCTCGAACCACTTGCAGAGAGCAGTTAAGAAACCGAAAGAGACACTCAAAACACATACGAGTCAGATGCTTTGATGTTGCGCTCTGATTTCTTCAACAATGAATTGCTATCATCATCTGTGACTTCACGAGTGTATATCTGATCAAGTTGCTTTGCGCGCGCGCTCAAGTAGTCATGCATCAATACATCTAGACCTTCCGAGGAAGCAGCCATGTCACTTCGTTGTTTGTTTGCAACCCATAATGGCAGACAAGGCCCTTCGCCCTCGGAGCAATTGAAGCATGCAAGCTCACGGCAGTCCGTGTGAAATTGCTCAAGCCATTAACACTGACACGTCGGAATGAATCCAATGATACACGTAATAGTTTTCATAATATGCATATGCAAACAACACTTTCCTAAAACTACAGCATGGATTTCATCATCAGTGAGAATGCAGATTGAAGAGGATGTTTGATCACCAACATCCATCCCGTGAACTTGATCTTAGTCAACCTACACCGACGAGCAAAACGCCCCATTGACTTCATCCAGGTGTAAGACGTCAATCTTCATAGCGAACTTCGACTTCGATCACGAGGTTGCCGTGAGCCTTTGCGAGAGGCTCGCTGAGAAGCTGCTGTAACCCGTACCCCCACTTCAACCAAGCGAACCCTCGAAAGCTTTCTTCTCTACTGGGAAAGTTGACGGGTACGCTTGCCTGGACAAGCGCCTCGGTGCGTAACAGCACACGGAATGTCGGAGACACCTTGATCCCTTTCAAGTCTGCCACGTTTGTCGGTTGCAAAGTCCTCGGTACCAGAGATCCAAGCATAACGCCTGCGGTCGATATTTTTACCGCCCACAACCTGCCTTGAGGCCCCGGAAATGTGTAGCTCACGTCTCCCTTGCCGCCGCTGAGCTTTTCCATGACCGAGACTAAGGTGCAGCGGGCTTTGAACCCCCGATCTTCCTCGTCGTTTGTAACGGTCACGCCCGAGATCAAGGCTTCCAAGCCTTCCACCAAGCGATTCAACTTCCAGTGGCGCGCCTGCGCAACATAAGACACGAACACGAGTATCGGATTCAGGTTGAGCAACAGCTGTTGATGAGATAGGGAAGAGCCCAGAGGACGGGTGTGGTTCATTGGTTCATTGGTGTGGTTCCCAGAGGATCGGTCAGGGTGCTACGTTTGCATCTAGGGCAGTATTCCGCGGCGTCCTTTGTGAAGTTACACCTGACTCAACTCAACCCGAGATTGAGACCTATAGATACGACTCCGTCTTATGAATGATGAGCCCAATGAATGGCAGATTCAAGCCCGGGGGACGGAGGGGGTTTATCTCTGGTTAGGGTGGTTTTGAGTGAGCGCATGACTGGTCTGGATTGGATTTTTGGATTATGATTCCCCAGTGGATTGACCTTCTCAACCGCAGTCCAGCAGAAGTTTACTCCTAGAGAATTCATCACCTGCGCCAGCAGCAGCGGATCCGATTCCGCCGGAACGGCTCCCGTCGCCAGGTGCTCCAAGACGGCAGTCCACCGTTCGGGGTGGCAGGTGATGAGCGCGCGCCCCTGGTCGTCGCGCGCGTAGTCGCACTCTCCGTAGAACATTTCAAACAGAAGTGAGTCCGGAGCGGACGCCAAAACGCTGCGCGGGACGGAGCCCTCCTGTCCGGTGCACGCGAGCACGTATTGGAACCGCTCGCGCTCGTCCTCGGACCGCCGGCACGCTTCCCGTTGCTTCTCCAAAACCTCCTCTAGCTCCGAGACCTCTTTCATAAATCCCTTCTCTTTTTCCGACATTTCCTGTCGGAGTGCAGCGTTCTCTGCTTGAAGCGTGTCAGCTTCGGAGCGCGCATCCGCTTTCTCTTTCGCAAGCACCGCGACGCGTGCCCGCAGGTTCTCGTTTTGCTGCCCGAGCGCTTTCACGTCGCTCGCGGCCGCGAGCGTGCTCACTGCTGTGACCAGTTTTGCATCTGCCACAGTACCAGGCTCAAGAGAAGGAGCTTGGCCAGTGGTCTGCTCGCTCATGTTTGCTTTCAAAAAGTCTGACGGAGACTCCACAGACGTCGTCAGGAGCGGGGAAGTGATGGTCGAAGAGGAGCAACGCGCTTTTCCAGGGCACGTCCGTCCCCACCTCGAGAATAAAGGGAGCCGAGAACTTTCTGCCTTAGACGTCATCTGTCGAACATAGAGGAAATGATTGATGTGAGACCTTTTTGATAGGATAACACCTGAGACCAGCTGATCGTCTTCAAGGTAGAGAGTCAGCACAATCACAACCAAGCATGCAGGTTGACTTCGGGTTTGCAGTTAAACCAGGGAACAATCGGTTCGAAGACGAAGGTGAGGAGAATTTGAGAAGCAGATGAATCTGTATGGTAAAACGCATCAATATCCTTGTCGCCTCTAATCTAAGTTTCTACAGCTCGCCGAAAAAACAGATACGACTTGGAGTTGAAGACAGAACCACGCTGTCGGTAGTTGTGAAGTCAAAAGTAGAAGCATACCCGAGAAAGAGACCGGTTTGTTCAGGTGAGTGGAGAATACAAGAGACTGGAAATAACGGCAAGCCAGAAGTTTGAACGAGCTTTTTCAGGATGCAATTTGCAGAGTGTGTCTGCGGTGGATATACAAGCACGGAAGCTCAGCTTGGAGAAACTTGTTCAGCCAAACAAGTCTTTTCCGTTGCAAAGTCAGGTTCCGGAAAACATCTTGTTACTAGGCTTCATACTGCAATTGGTCACATGCAATTGGAGATATGCAATCTGCTGAGGTGTGCAAGTTATCTTGACATCCTGAGCAGACCAGAAGAAGGCTTTCATCAGAGAGTTATAGTTTGAACAAACACGGAAGAACATCCAAACTTCTTTGGACAGCGGTGCTTGCTTTCAGCGTCAGCCCCTTACCTTCTTCAAGTGGCTCCACATGAGCTGGATTTCCTCACATGTCAAGGCACTACTAATTATTCCAAAAAATGGTCCCAGAAGGTTTGCAGAGTCCTACCCCGGACTGTCAATCTGCCATCAGGCTTGCGGTGCATTACTGGGGCTTGCGACCGCGCCTCTAAGCATGCGGCGGCTGACGTAGCGCGCCCGCTCGACCGCGCTACTGAGTCCGCCAATGACAGCCTGAGCTTATATATGATGCGCATTGCGCGGGGCCGCCGCGAACGGTACAACCGTCGGGCAAAGCGCGCGCGCCGTGGGATTAAGCGCGCGCGTGAAGTTCATGGTCGCGGCCGCACGCGCGGGGCGCCTATGGCGCTCAGTGTCCGGCGCGCCGCAAAGTAGCTGCTGGATGTGTAAAGCGCTTCGAGCGCGGGTCGTTGCTTTGGTTATCGAAGAAGTAAGACTACAGGCGAGCAAGTCGAGAGCAAGCCTCGCTGAGGAAGTGTCAAGCGCTTGAAGCCAGCTTGGAGGCACGATCCTCAAGTTTGACAGCTATTCTCAGAGCAATATCGCCGTCCTCCAGACTCGCACGCAAACCTGAGCTACAGTGGGGACGTTCCCAGATGGCTGAAATAGACATCCCTGGCCACCGCCAATATCGTGGGCGAACTGACGATTATCGAGATCGTGCGCCAGGTCATGAACCTGAGCATTACCAGGGACGTTGCCAGCCAACACGCTCTGGGTTCGGGCGGAAGACGGAAGACTCTCGGCTGGATCGGTACAGCGGCTCTCCATCCGTTAGAAATGCTTGACAGATCGATGTCCTTAGAGTAATCAACAACGAAAACCGCAGGCCTGAGCACGTTGGAAAAAACACAACTTCGAAACAACTGCCAGTGAACCCCCCTATTCTGGTTGGGCTCTGCACCGCGGGCAACTCTCTGACATCTTTTTTTGGCCGCATCAGGTAGCAACTTGTGCCTGTCGATAGCAACTGAAGGATCAGGAGAAGGGGTAGGCCGCGCGCTGTGGCTGCAATCGTGCAGCTGGCACAAACTCCTAACTCCGCTTCAGGAACTGATGGGTCACGACTTCGACGCGCTTCGAAGCTCCCCGCTTGCTCACATGTGTCAACGAACGTACGTCTCCTGACGAAATGTTGCAGACCTTGGCAGAAACTGAGCTTCAGCAAGGTGGTAAGCTGGGCAGGCGCACACTTAGCGTATATTGAGGGAGGCCATACGTACCCTGATGAAGAATGAAAGCTCATACGGTTCGAGAAACCATGTCAATGCATATCCTTTACCAGCTTGTGCTTGTGTACGTGAGAGGACAACAAGCACTCAGAGGTCGGAACCAGCGCCCCGATCGCTAGAATGATAATAGAAACGCCCATCCAACCTTTTGTAAAAATGCCTCGTATGCATATAGTCTCGTGTGCATTTGAAAGTCTGAAACGTGGGCGTCCAGCGAAGGCAATCCCGACCCATGCCTGGCATGCTGATTTTCATTTAGGCCCGGAGGATCTGACATTTGCCCTTGGCAAAGCGGGGCCGGCCGCGGCTTGTACCAACGGGTCGTATAAGTACGTAGCGGCGAATCATACTTCTTGATTTGCAGCATTTCAACAGGCCATTGCCAACCAGCTCAAATCACAATTGCGCACAATCAATCCACATTGGAGTCGATGGTAGCTTATTAGTGAGAAATGACTGGGGCTTTCCAGTCTCTTTCCATGTTCATTACCCGTACGTGCCTTTTCTTAAAAACAACTCTGGTATTCTCTAAACCCCAGAACGACCACGCACGGAGCGGGTTTAGGACTGAGGATGCAAAGCATGGACCGTAAAGGGCGGCGCGAGAAAGAGCCTCACACCGACTCTGAAATCGACAAGGCAGTCGACGTTTTCCCCAATCTTAGAAGCCATTCTAAAGAAAGCCTTCAACGAAGGATGTAAAGAGCGTCCACGTGGATTCCTTCAAAAATACACCAGATCCAGCACATAAAATGTCACGGCTCTTCCAACATCCGCATGCCACGATCATGGCTTTTTTTGGAAGTCTTGGAGAAGTCCGTTAAAGGGCAGTCACGTTTCCAACGCATTTGCTTTGGAGAAGTATATTTCAGACAACCGCGCGGGCAATGGCTCCTCGTACAAAGACGAGGCAGAGCCGGACGTCAGGACTCTAGCAGAAGAAAAAGACTGCATGGACTTTCGCATATAACAGCGTACGAGATACTTTCAGTGACTTCGATCTTTCTAAGCGGGCTTTGTCCATGTCATAGCAGACAGTGGTGCCTTCGTAAGCAAGTAGTATGCATGGATACATTTTGGACGAAACCGGATCAGAGGTAGCAAAAGTTGATAAACCCCGGCATTCAGATTCTCCGCAGATTGACGCTCTGAACAGCGCTGTGTTCGCATCTTTTTTTTGTCACGTCGTAGCCTTTGCGGAGCCGCCGTCGACTTTGGCACGTCACAATGTGCGTCTAACGCCGGTTCCTCGTTGTTGGTCAAGTTCAGCCCCAGATTAGATTGCTAGCGAGTCGACGCAACCCTGACCTTCTGGGCCTTCATCTAGCGAGTGAACACAGTACTGCTCACGTGTATTGTTACGTCATGGCCTCTGCGCACCGCAGATCCAGGGGCACAGTCAAAAAGCAGTCGGCCCGCAGATTTTCTCCAGCTCAAAACCTTGCTCGCCCAACAGTATGAGCGCAACGTCAAAGCAGCTTTGACATTCCTTCCCTGCCTGTATGTGAGCTAGCATCACAGCCTTTGTCATGCTTCATAGTTTGCACAAAAGCCGCGCTTTTGAAAAAATTCGCAGCAACGCTCTGCGTTGACAAGTGAGCAAGTGCAGTCCGTTGCGAACATTCGTGATTGATGACCGTTACAAGGGCGTACCCAACAGCAGTACCCTGTCAACGAGCCACAACCTTTGAACTCAGATGTAAAGCTCGATCTGCGAGAGCAGTAGGCCAATCACCATGAGCACTCGAGCACTTCCAGCCGACGTACATTTTCTCCACGGGCCTACCAACAGACATTGCGACCTACATGCGGAAGAAACCCGAACAAAGGGGATCTGCTCAATGGGCGTAGCCCATCAAGCTTAAAAATGCATCGTCGATCAGCTCAGATTACAAGATGTCCGTCTCTGTCTTCCATAGAATGACTTGGACAAAAGGCTTCGCCCATCAGAGCTCCAATACTGCGAATCAGCTTTCCGTAAGCAATATGAAGTGAACCCCAGCCAGTGAAGAATGACGAAAGTACACGGGGTTGTGCAACTAGCGGACCACCCCCCATTCACTTTGGTTACGAGCAACTAAGGTGCTCTTCTATCAAACAAGCCCTGAAAGGATGACTAGTCATGGGGAGGGAGTAAGACCGTGCCATTGGGCGTTAACGGAAGTTCCATTGTAAAGAAGGGATGAAGACTGATGGTGCGTGTTTCGCTCGGACTGCCAGATAATCTATCAATGAAGGAGGCAACGAGGATGGCGTCCGTTTGTAACCCTCAGTGTGCGACTGCTCGGTATGAGGTCTTTCCTGGCCACTGTGGCAATTCCAGCCCAAGTCGACGGTAAACTCAGCTCAAAATTCGAGAGTAACAGAAGTGTGGCATGTTGCGCAACTTCTCATTCCTGGATGAGTACCCCGTGAAAGGTGGCGGTGCGTTGAAACGTGAGGCAGCTGCAACGTGCAGCCGGCCCGGCGCAACTCGCGACCAAAAGGGCCAACGCGACTACTCAAACAACGACCATGACCCTTCCAACGAAAAGAGTACCAAACGTTACCCATCAGCGTATGCACCGGAGCTGACGCCTTCTCAAAAGGAGACTCTTCGACAAATGCTGACGAAGAGCAGGGCAGCAAAAGTAACCATACGGATCGGCTCTAAGAGCACAGCAATTACCTTCATGTATGTCAAACGTGAGCCAACTTCTGCCCAAAGCCTATTGTCTTCATAGCCTCCGCCGAACAGCACGCCGCGAGTTGATCCAAAGTCGTCTCACGTGCATACGGCAGGCGTATTAATGTAAATAGACAATGCAACGTCGCCAAGCAAAGAAACCGTTACGTCTACTTGACATCCCTGACACGTCGCCAAGTTGAAAACAATCCACGCCCGAATGAGACGATTACATTCATCAGGGGCCTACAATGAGCAATCAGCAAAGACTTGTTTCCAGAGGACCCTGTACTTGAAGTGGCTTCTCGTAGACCACAGACTTTGCATCTGCACGGCGGCTCAAAGGACGAGAATGTTCTACGGGGATAAGGTAAGAGAGCCACATGCTAACGAAAGAAAAGGCTTCATATTTGAAAACGACGCGGCATCACTTAACCGAGACCTGTGAGCAGACCGGCGCCCACCATCTCACTATCACGGCCGCTCGTAACACTTGATAGTTCTTTTACTAGCTTTCGTCCCAAAGCGGAAAGCACGTCCTTCTGATATTATGCCCGTCGCCCGCGTTTGCCCTTCAATGGTTGAGTGGAATTTCGACGCATTGTCAAAAGTGTGAGGACAACTGACTCGCGATGCATCACTGTCCGGATCCGTCAATCCTGAGGCAATCAGAAGCTCGCTTTCAGACAAGAGCTGCTCGGTTGAGTCTCTGGCTTCGTTGAGCGGATTGTATTTGTCTATTTGGTCCATCATTCCCGCCGGCCACCACAACTCCATCTTGGGTGCCACGAAATAGGAAAAGCCCCAGAAGCACGCGCGGCAATCTAAACAAACCTCAGGTGGTTGCAATGTAGATCACCAAAGTCACACGAAGAAGACGAAGGAAGCGACTCTTTGTGGAAGATCGCAGGATGCCCTGGGCCACGGTGGATGCTGATTTCAAGATACACAATCTGTGCGATTATGCTTGTATTCAACCGACTCTCTTGTGGCTGTCCGTGTTGAGCAAAGAAAACTACTTATAGCGTCCATGGAAGCATCATACTTCAGCATTGGATCCGATTCATTGCGAATCAACTTCACGAGATCCGCATGCTATTCCAATAATTGCCATCATGGCAATACCTATCGAGGGGCATCCAAGAAACCTTAAGAGAGAACAAAGCAGTCACTGCACAGGGTTCACAGCGAGAAAGTCTGACAAAATGAAAACCTTTGGGCTCACGAATTTAAACCAAGTGTCAGATCCTACAACATATCGCCCCACAGTGTCCAATTACAATGTATTCCTACACCATCTCCTACTGTCGTCGTGTCCTAAGAAATCAGGCGGCAGTAAACGTTTTGAACCCCAGTACAAACGATTACAATTTCTCAAAACCCGCAGCTAACACGATACCTCGGCTCGCCCGTCTCTTTCCAGAGCGGGCCGACCCACTTCGGCCCCGCAGAAAAGAGCACGCCCCCGGCAGCTTTTCGGGCACGTCATCAACAGCATCAGCGGCAGCAGGGGTTCCCGGGTCCTGGAGGGGCCACTTGACGGTGAAGGTTAGCAAAGAACACCTGGTTTAGAACGTTTCATAACTTCGAAGCTATCAACGGCGAGAAGCCCAGCATCCATTTGCCATTCTTGCCGGGACAGCAGAGAGATGACTCAATGACCGGGGGCGACAACTAAGGCTATAGAGGCGATGACGAAGCCACTGATTCGCTTACTTTTTTCAAAGTGGCGTGCAATAAAGCCTCCTTAGCACGCTCCTTATCTGTACCCTGAGATACTGGACAACTACGCGTAACTCGGACCCGCAGAATCTCTTTCCAATCAAGAAAGTACGTTGTAAGCCACAGGGTAAGCTTCTCGCCCTAATTTTTCGCGCGAAGTTCCCATCAAAACAGCGACCGCTGGGACGGGTGTCTCTCTTGAGGTTTCAACTGCCCACTTACCGAGTTCTCTCCTCGTTTCCTCCTCCCTGTTTCCGTCCGTTTGGTTCCGTCGTCCCCTTCGTCGACGGTCCACCTCTGCTCTCGCACCTCCTGAGCGACGCCATCACATACGCCCAGGCCCCTTTCTTCTGTGTAAGCTGACTGGCCCACCCTTCCATCTCCCTCTTCTGTCTCTTTCCTTTCGATTCACTTTCCGCTCGAGCGCTCGCTTCCTGGCCGTAAACATGGCAACCGGACTTCTCCCAAGCTTTGCTGTCAGCTCAATGACGTCATCGCATGAGTGACCGGCTGCTTATGAGAGACCTTTCTTCTCCAACATCGGCCTCCTTTCTCACCCCGTTCCAAGCTCTCTTTCTTCCCGCTTCCGCTTAAGCGCCTGCTGCCTTACCGTCAGCCGCTCGACCCGCTTCCCTTTCGCGGCTTCCTGGTCATCATCGCTGACGTCACCGCTTTCGCCGCTGCTGACGTCATCGCTCTCGTCACTGCTGCTCTCTTTCCGGCCCGGCCTCCTCACGTCTTCGCTCTCCCCGCTGCTCTCCCCACTGCTGACGCCACCGCTCTCTCCGTTGCTGACGTCATCGCTCCCCTCCCCGCTCTCTTCGCCACTATCCAAGCTACTTACTGCGCCGCCTCTGCCACTACTTTTCGTTTCCCCTCCGCTCCTGTTCCCGCCGCTCACATTCTTCCGACCCCGTTTGCGCGGCGCCTTCCCGCTGACATCATCGTCCTCCTCGTCGCTCTCTTCCCCGCTCTCGTCACTACTTTCCGACTCACCGCTACTCTCTCTGCCTCCTCCCCATTGTCCGCCTATGCCGGTCCTTGTTGTGTCCCCGCGCTGTCTCCCCGTCGTACGGCTTGTCACCCTTTCCTCCTCAACCTCAGCCAGCCACTCATCAGCAATCTCTAGAACACCAAACACGCTTTCATCCTCTTCTCTCAGATTTCCGCTATCCTTCTCTTCTACTGCCACCACCGCGGTCGTCTGGTCCGCTGCAACGGACACTGACTTTCCGGTTCCGCTCGGCCCCGCTGTTAGCCCCGAAACGGACGGCTCGACCGTCTCAGTCTCCGCCAGCGACTTCGCAACTTCGCCCCTCGGGTACATGCTCCTTAACCACTCCGAGATGCCCCCTAACCCCGCCGCCGCCCCAGTCAGCGGCGGCGCGCTCACCGATTTGACGTCAGTCATTGCAGGAACCTCCGCAATAACCAAACCTTTCGACAAACTCCGATCTGCAATCCCACTGGGCGCAGCCTGGGTGTGCTGCAAAAGCATACCCCTAAACCCCCGCCGTACACCCGGTTTCGCCCCTGACCCAGCCTCTAACTCAGGCCCTTCGTTCGCCTCCATAGACTGCAAACCCTTCCCCGAAGTCGACTGGATTAACTCCCTCCCCGTCACCAATCCGCCTTGTAATCCGCTCGCTTCGGTTGACTTTACAAGACTCGCTAACAAATCCTTTTTGTGCTTCTCTTTGCCCCGTACGGCAGCCTCCCTCTCCCGCGCCCCTTCCCAGAAGCGTTCGTCTCTTCTCTTCCGTTCGCGTCTGAGCACTTTCACGTACGCTTCCGCTTCTCCGAACCGCGCCTCCAACTCGCGCGCAAACTTTTCTCCGTCGAACCCTTTGCCGCCCTCGCAACGGAACAGCCGCAGGACACTCTGCGCGTACTCGTTCGGCGGTCCGTACAAGTACGCGGACACCGCGGCCTTGGTCCGGAGCCACGTGGCCAGCTCGTTTTCCCGGTCCCCCCCCTCGATCAGCCCTCTTTCCACCCCCCCACTCCCCCGCTCTTTCTCTGCTACCCCCATCCTCCCGCCCCCACCTCTAGTTTCGTTGTCCGTTGTACGCAAGAAGAGGTCCCAATCATGCCTCAAAACATCCCGCCCAAACTGCTGCTCACGCCAGCTGTCGAGCCGCCACAGCCACACGTCAGCAAAGTCCCTTGCCACATCATCGCTGCGTCGCAATGAACCCACTTCTGGGCCCCCAAGACTTCTCCCCCGAGTCGAGTGGACTCTTGCACTGTCAGCAGTAATCCCCAAAGTGATTGGGGGAGAGTTGGCTGAGTCCTTTGCGGCGACCCACCAGCGCTCAATACAGCCCAGCAGGTCGCCCCATGCTGTGGTATCTCTGGGCTCCGCTTCGAGAAACTTGGCCAGGGCCGCCATAAACACGGTGACGCTGACGTCACCTGAGGAAATCAAAAAGCGAATTAGTAACGAGAAGAATCATCACTTCGCCGCAAAACGACTCATAAAGCACAAAAATGAGAGAACGCCGAGATGTTGATGGGCCGTTTACCCTGGGTCACGTTGGTAGTCGGAGTCGACTTCTGGTGGAACAGGTGATCTGAAAGTGGTAGTGCCAATCCGTCGGGCTGTGACAACAGCCACGTGCGGGAATATAATACGAGAGCGTGCGGCTGATCACGAACTCACTCTAGAATCGACTGGCATCGATATCAGATCCGCCGCAATGCGGCTCCGGCGTTCAAAATGCTGACCCACTGGACAATATCTTTCAGGCTGCGTTCGTGAGACGCTGAACTATAAACAAGCTGGTGACGATGTCCAATAGCGGCCTACCTTTTTCGTACAGCGTTCGTAGGCCCGTGAGCCCTGCTTCCGCTCCTGGGTCGACCTGGAGCAGCTCTAGATAGCACCGCTCGAGCGCCGCCGGATCGACCGGATCTTCCGCCTCCAACAAGAGAAGCAAGCTCCTGCACAAACCCCCATTTGCGTCACTCCCGCGAAAGTTCTTTTGATCAGGAAAGACAATCTGCGTGGCATTCATCGAGAAACGACACCGTGGGTGCTGCCTCAACCGAGCTCTATTCTCCTAAACGGCTCTCTACACGTGGCATGGCTGGATGGTTCAAGGCTCTTACTTTGCACCACACGCCGCAATCAAACGCTTCACCAATGGCACTAAATGCCCCATGTCGTTGTCGCATGCATGACAATTGAGCGACGTAAAGTGCCGGTGACCTTACTCGTAGCACTCCACGTCGTGCGTCTTCTCGCAGAGTGACGTCAGCTTCTGGATCATCACTTCTCGGGAGAGCCGCTCGACTACTCCGGGCGCCCGGCCGGCCGCCGGCCCCAGCTCTGCAGCCGCCGCCTCAAGCTGTCACTCGGACAGAAGATGACGTCAGCCTACAACCAGGAACTTGACCACCTGGGAATATCGCCAGAACGGGGTTGACTGGTTACCATGTAGCAGGCAGTTTTAATAAAGAAGATTCTGCAGTTCTCGCGAACAGCTGTCGGGAGGGGACGTTTGAGCTACCTCGAAGGACTCCGCAGAAAGGTGAAACCTGAGCGAGGGCCTCTTCTCAAAGGCCTACTCGTAATGACCAACGAACGAAGCTGAAGGGAAAAAAAAGAGAAAAGCATGGCTCTAATCGCTGTTTGCCTACAGACTCCAGGTCAATCAGGAAGTATCAACTGCGAATCGACAGAGTTTCATTGCAAACGCCTTCTCTATCCTCTACAAAGGTGGAAAAGCAAGCAACGGCACGAACCCCAGAACTACTTCCTCCGCGTGTACGACGACCGAACAGTGGAAACCTCCGCTTTCAACCGAGCAATAGGGGCTTATAAACGAAGACGCACCTGCCGCCTCAAGTTGAAGATAAGCGGCGAGTCAGGCTCCAAGCTCTCCGCGGTTTCGAAGTGCGACGCGGCCAGGCGGAGGTGTTCGTGCGTTCGGACGCTCGCGCCGGCCGCTGACTGGGCGTCCGATTGCACCCGTCGGGCGTCCGCTTCGACGCTGTTCAGCCAGAGGGCGTGCTGGAGGAGGCCCACGTACACGTGGTAGATGGGCACGTGCTTATGCAGGGAGGAGAGCAATAACCTGTTGAAGAGAAAAGAACGCGTATGCAGAGACTGAGTGTAAAAGGGAGCAGCGAGGAAAGAAGAGAGAAGGCAGATTCAGACATTTCAAGGATACTTGCAATCATTCTCTTTGCCGGATAAAATGCATCGCCTGACGCCTACTTCCAGCGGTGCGCAAACGACGTAGGAAACGAGAAGAATCACGAAGTGTAGTGCTTGAGAACGAAAATGGAAACAACTTGAGCCACGCATGAACCAGATCATTTGCAAGGTTTGGCGGAAGACACGGGGGACAATGGAAAAGGACCAGAGAAGCATGAGGTGTACACGGATGAGGCTTCAAGAAACGGACGGCCAACAGTCAAGGACACGTGGGATGCAACTTGAGCAACACCGAAAGAAAGACGAGCAACCACGCAATAAGGCTCTCCTTTCTTTTCCCCCTCCTGCCACTCACGGCTTGACGGCGTCGTACGCTCGCTCGACCTCCCCCCGGTGCATGAGGAAGGTGGCCAGCTCCATCTGCAGCGTTCCGTGCCCCGGGGCGGAATCCTTTCCGGCGCAGAAACCTGTCGGGCGGACCTCCAGGCGCGCGAGCAGCTTGCGGTACAGCCGGACGCAGTGGTCGAACGACAGGGCGAGCGCCGATTGACACCGCAGGACGAGCTCCAGCAGCGCCTGCGGAGTACCAGCAGCTTGGTGTCAAAATCGACAACGTACGTGAAACGTGTTTCCGTTGCTGACGCAAAATTGACGGACTCATGTCGACATGATGAGTGTTGAAGGTGTCAGTAATTCTCGACGGAGTCCGCCAGAACGGTAATAGCGAAGTAAGCGTCAGTCTGGAAGGCGGAGTGCCTGTGTACATGTGCTGGCTATCCTTGGCGGCATTGGTAACGACCCGGAAAGCTGGCTTTGGTAGCACCCGCTCAAGGCAGCAACGCCGCGGTCACCATCTGCTCGACCCACAACAAATAGACACGAATTGGTAGCTTGACCGGGCCGACAAAAAAAGTAGATCCTTCTTCCAGAAACGCGACGTGGCATTCAGAGCGCCGATTCAACAGAGAGCCTGAGCGAACAATCACCCAAGACCTGAGCTCATCATAGCCGCCGAGCAGAATACAATCAGCGAAAGCACTTTGCGCATCCAATTAACGGCGTCTTCTTCTGTGATATTTCCGTCCTCTTTCCGTAGGCTCCAAATCTATGCGATGCAGGACGACTGGACCGCGGCAGACTTGACGGAAACCTTGTCGTTAAGGGGGAATCCCCACAAAGCGCATTCGCGACACAGAAAGGACCCGCAGAACAGCAACGATGATCCATCGGGCCTATCGAACTATTGCAGCACATATCGCTCAAAGCGCACTCTTTATGACCGAGCTTTTAAGCCACAAAGCACGCCCTCTAATTAGCGGGGCAAGGGCAAGAGTATGAAAACATCACCCACTATTTTTTCACTAGGGCTGTCGGGCACTACTTCTGCTCATACACTGTCGCTTCGACTGGTTCGACAATATGTAGGCTTGCGCAGGACTGCTCGTAGTTTTGACAGTCAAGAAACCAGATACCGCACAATCGACAAGTCCACGCCGGCGTCTACACCGTTAACCATGAGCATGGATGACACCTCAGTGTCCAGTGCTGCAGAGCATCATCGCCGCTGGAAGATTCCTTTTCAAGAAACGAAGTAGCTTTCTGGGCGACGAAAAAGGGGAGTGGTTGCATATTCAAGTCCGCGCTGTGACTGGCAACCGGCTCAAATGCTTTACTACCCGGTTATAGGAGTGCAAGCACCGACAATGTTCAACCACAGGAAAGAGTGCGTGTGGCCTCAATTATACTTCCAAAAATACTTTCAGATAACAACTCAAAACTCCCCTCCTGTCATGAACTGTTGGCCATCAGTCCGGACTGCTCCAATGATTCGCATGCGCCGACCTCTTGTTGTCTCAAACCATAGGCAGATCGGGCTTCCAATCGCCGTCACTATATCCGTGATTCGTAGGTCCAACAAGAGCAAGTTGCGAACGTTGATAGTTTGCGAGTAAAGAATCATGTCACCCAATCAATTTTGTGCACCTCATACCAAGAAACCGCCTCTTGCACAGGCTGCAGATCAAAAATGGTGGGCAGAGAATGATGAGCAAGGCCAGTAACCAGACTTTGCATTTCCGCTTGGAAGCGGGCAAAAGACGGTCTTCGCAATTCACTAATTACTAAGACGAGTAGAAATGACGGAACCTAAAGAGTATGTTTTTGAGCGTTGGTGCAATCGGGGAAAGATTCAGGAATAGCCAATCAACAAACACGAGGCCTCTTGTAAACGCCTGCCTTTGCTCTTTACATCCCAACAGCGCTTCTAACTAAGGGCAACAACATCCAGAGCATGCTCAGCAGCCAAGAACCTGATTGGATTCTCCCGAGGCACCCTCGTCACACTGAAGCGAGAGGCGTAAAAACAATGGCAGCTTATCGCCGCTGGAATTGCAACCAACAACCTGTGCCAAAGGAAACCTGACAATCAATGCTCCAGCAGCAGATTAATGCCCGTTTGCGTTTGTTCTCAACCAAGCCAAGTGGCTTTCCAACATGCGCGGTACATTGAGCGACAAGTCGCTCATAGTAAAGGTTTTCTTGACCAGTCCTTGCCACTTGGCTGAAGAGAGCGATAGCTCGCAGCTTTTGGTGAAAGAATGTCAGTTGTCCAAGGAAGATGCGTCTTGAAGGCAACAGACACTGAAAACTTCGTGGCTAGACTGCTTTTGAATGACGCCGTACCAAGCCTGATGCAGGGTGGCGCGACTTACACAAGTAAGGACCAGATGCCCCATCCTGGTGAACAAAAGAGAATGCAAGGAGCAAACTGCGAGAAGAACTCCCACCTTTGTGCTTCTTTTGAAAGTATCGAGAACAAGACCAGTGTTTCACCCGCAGAGAAAGACAGGAAAACGATCGACAAGCGCAATCGAGGCATGAGAGTGCAATCGTGGGGGCAGACGTTGAAGAGGCGTCAGCCTACCAGCCAACAGAAAGGCTGCCAACGTGGTTTTCCGAGGGGGAATGTTTGCAAGTCAAATGCTGACCGTGGAGTGAGTCGGCCAGCAATGTAAGCGGCACTTGGCATCGGGTAGAAGTAATAAACCCTGAGCTCAACCATGCTCTACTTTGTGACTCGTCATAGCCAATCACCAAGACACTCGCCGACCCTTGCTCTCAAAGCTGTCGCACAGAGAGAGCTATATATAGTCTCTAAGTTCGTTGAACGACTTCTTGTCGATTATTTTTCGACGACAGGAACGTGCCTGCTTCCTTCGTGATGACAAACTCCTCGACAATGGTAAGAAGCTGGACGAAAGAGAGGTTTCCTACAGGTGCATTCTGGAGAATACGACTCAAGCTTTAAGATGTATCTGAGCCGATTGGACCCCAATTCACTTTCACCATCATCGTTTCGCTGGCGCTGCCCTTCATCACAACCGAGGCAGACTTTGCCTGGGCAACACGCAATCGGACTACCTTAAAAACAGATAAGGAATGTATACACATCGCGGCAAGCAGCACCCACAAGAAACATGGAAAGGAGCAGAAACGGGTTACCATCAAGAAAGATCGGCAGCGGAGACCGTCGTTTCGCACACATGGTTCTACGTCACCATCCGTAGCATAGGAGTATACTGTATTGACCCGCACGTTTCGGGCTCCATTGGCCCACACGCATTAAGATTCTTGCTTTGCAAAGAAGAATACAGCACGGATGGCATCAGCAAGTCGAGGTACAGACGTGAGCTTCCGAGAACCTCACTCTCTGCTTCGTCACAGCCTTGTCGACTGGCGGAGTAGGCAGCAGACCGTGCAAAGCAAGGACCAGGTAAAGTCCAGGCAACCAACGGAAGCCTCGACTACAAGCTGCCTCTGACTCTGAAACACGCGCCTCGAAACAGGCACCACGTGGATCTTGACCATTCTAGGTACAAGACAGGGGGCCTCAAACGGCCAGCGCTTGAAGTCACCAAACGATTCCCTAAGTGCGTGGAACCAAAAGTAGTACTGCAATGTTGCTTCAGAAAGCAGCCAGCCGAAAGAATGGGCGCGAGTCCAGTCAGTCACGGCCTCGACGTCAGCAGACTCATCAAAAAATTAGGAAAAGCTGGAGCGGGTCTGTTCAGCCCGACCTGTGGACCGTTTGCACGTGTCGGTAAGTCTGAGCTTCAAGTACAAGCCTTCGTCAACCGAGAAGGAGAGTAGCGGCATATCCTGTGTGAGCCGATTTGAGCTTGGGATCCCAAGAATCTTATTGACCTCAACCGTTTGATTTTGGCCCAAAGAAGTAGCCACTGCATTCACCTATCTGTCAACAAGATTCACAATGAAGGCCTGAAAGTTTAATGGCACACTCAAACCATTCAAGTTCCACGAGCCTTCCTATTTGCAGCCTCTCCAATCCTAGCAGTAAGACGGCATCCCTCGTACAAGCGAACTCCGAGTGAGCGAATCTTCGCCCAGAGTTGTGAACCTTCCTTGCCATCAAGCAGTGCACCGCAGGAATAGTACACATGTAATTGCAACCGTCGAAGCTCGAAGATAGTTAAAAGGGGGGTGAAACATGCACAGCCCCGCGGAACAGACAGACTGTGTCGGTCTCACCGGATCAGTTGTTGTTGATGGAAGCCACTGCCGCTCATTCAGATCAAGCAACCGGGGAGATCGCCCAATCATGCAGAGCGATGCAGAAGAGCGCTTTGTTTTGCTCAGACTTGGCTCTCTTAATCATCAGACTGGGAAGCAAAGGTAGAATATGCAAGGAAAAATGGACAAGCACTGGAGCCAGCTTGTAAGAGATAGGGGCCATTATCGACAGAAAAACGAGTACCTCGGAAAAGTGAGCCATCCCGTCTTCGAAATCGACTCCTAATCAGCAACCCAAGCCTACATATCCAAGTCCATTCGCAGTGTTTGGTGGAGATGCCCCTTCGCATCGTATTAAACCCCAATAAGTCAAGACGCGATCAAGACAGCAGTTGTCGGAAGCAAACAAAAATGCATGTCAAGCAAAAGCAAACGCTAAGGAATGATGACCTGCTAACGAGGGCCACGGACAGGACAAGACTTGTTATGACGGTATCTGGAGCGTGTGAGCGTATGAGCGGACTGTGCTCAGAGCTTTGGTCCATCAATACCCTTGGCCTGTACACAGCAAATATTCTTCTCACATTGACAGCCAGGAGGTCCAAAGTGGAAAGATAAACTGGGCTCGACGAAGACCATTGCCGTGACCCACGATAAGAACTGGACCCCAGCAACCCGCCTGTCTGAGACCCAGCCCAATCCGGCTGATTGATTGCTTACATGATGGTCGAGGTTTGCAGATGTCGACGTCTTTCAGGTGCGGCCTCAAAAATTGAACACGTGATACAGGTAATATAAAGGAATCAGTCGCTTTTACGAAACGCGGATCACACCGGAACCACTTAGCAAACCTATATCCTGTGCCCTTGAGAAATTCAGCTTCCTAGAAGCAATTTGCAAAACGTGATTTTGTTTTGCCACCAGCAGATACCAATGCAATATGTACGAGTTTTTGAAGAGACGCGTTAGGGAGCAGTGGGACTGCGGCATCCGCTGTCCCAAGAATGACTGGCCAAAGCCAAGCCACGTGGCCGATTCGTCATAGCCAATTTCACATCACTTCAACGCCCCACAACCAGACGCACATAGGAGAAGCGCGCGTTCTTTGACTTGAGGGACAGATTGTGCATGCACAAGCGAATTGGCCAGAAACTTTACGACTCGGATAATTTCAAATTCAGCCAGCAGGGATAAAACATCTGAGCGAGACCGGGGCGACTTTATTCGACAGGCCAGGTGCAAATACTCGCTTAAATCAGTAGATTTTCTCGCCAACGAGCTACATCCCAGAAATGATCGTACCTTCTTGCCTTCCGCAGAGGCCTTTTGGCTAAGCTATTAAGAGGTTCAAGATGAACGCCAAAGGGTCGAAGGCAGGTGAAATCAAGACCTGCAAGGTGCAGCGGTGAAGCTTATTCTCGTACATCAGCCAGCATGATTGTTAAAGGTAAGGTCGAGCGTTCTCAATGAACGAGCGAAGCTTTTGTTGCCGGGTCGCTCCCCTCACAGCATCAATGACCGGAAGAGCCCAACGAAAGACACCGCTCGTGGGACCGACAACCTCAGACCCGCACGAAAAGTTTGTGGCATACTATTCCGATGCTAACGGCAGCGAGAAGTACCTGGTTGAATGGCTTAAGTGATACTTACGGACGTTGAGCCGCATCTTGCTCGAGTAACGTGTCTCGTCATGGCCTCCAGCAGCAAACTTCGGGTTCGAGAAAAGCCGAAAAATACAAAAAATCTCTCTTCAGTCCACAGTCCCACCATCCTTTTTCCTGAATTAATGCCAGCCTTCAGGAATCAGCACCCATGCGCACATACACAGGACACAATGCTCTGTAAACAGTGTTCGCCGAAACTCCAAGGCTGCTTGAAAGTCCAAAGAAAAGTTCGCTTGCGACCGTACGACACAGCGGCATTCGGCCAACACCGTTGCAAAAACAAAAGGATACCAAAAATCTCGTAGGAGGAAGAAGGTTTGTGATATGGCACGAGCCGGATGTGGAGTCGCATTGGGACCAACGAGAGACAATCGTGGGCACAGCAGGGCCCAAAATACTTGCACATCATCGCCGCCCTGCCAGCGTCTTTCGTTCCAGACCCCTTTGAATTGACCAAGGCAAGCCTTAACTGTTTTGCCCTCACTGGGTTGTGGTACGCCACATGAACAGAAATGAGCGAGGTGCAAAGGTTTGTGGCATTGGTCACAACCCAATTGGGTTTTTTCAGCCCATGTTGCTCAGTCCAGGACAGAATCTATCCTAGCACTACTACCAAAGCTTCAGTATTGGAAGCACTCGGTCTCTGACTAGTTAGGGCAGAGCAGCGGCAAGAAGAGCTCAGTTTGAAGACATTGTTCACGCGTCAAGGACGTCCAGACCTGCAGACCAACACTACTACAAAGAGGAAAAGGGGAGTTGCGGGATCTCTCATGCCGGCAGTTGAGTAAACAAGGGAGTTCGACGGTATCAAGACCGCAATCTGCCACAACATGTCGTGAGCAACATGCTTGGAGTCCCGCAGCTCCAGTCCCGAGAGCGGGCTTTTCAAACGAGCCCGCTCTTGATTGTAGTTTGGTTGACTTGTTAAGTCGACGGCCCTACAGTTCAACCTGCCCAAGCCAATATTTATTCAGATTGGGCCCGGACCACATCTCGAGCACTACCTGCTAGCAATTTTCTGTGCAGCAATCATCACAAAGAAGTAAGCCACATGTCCGGGTCATATCTTTCTGATGCGTGTCCACAAAAGCAGGACATGAAGCAGGATGCTGACTTCTAGGAGAGTCCCTACCACAATGGACCGGCTCTGTGACCTGAGGAAGGCGTGAGCAGACCACTGCTCAAGGCATCATAACTTCACCGCCGCTGTCGAGCACCGCCCTTCTAAGACTTTAGAAGTACGACGATTCGAGGACATTAAGAGACCAAGTTTACTTTTGGGCGGCAGGAATGCAGCACTGCAATTGACGTACATTTTGAGGAAACTGGGCGTGCCGGGGGCTCTTGAGGACCCAGGTGCTTTGTAGTGTCAGCAGACGCAAGCAAAGCATATTCCCTTATCTGTTGACACTGAATTGACAATCGGTCACCAGACTGTCGAACCTGGTGCAAACGCCCTGGTGCAAACGTGCACGCTCTTCAATGACACCAATTCAAGTTGCAATATCGGTGTGAGCTCGACACCCGGCCGGCTTCCAGACGTGCATATATGCACCGAATGTTGCTTCTAGTGTCACTTTTCATCAATACGCTGCTCTGCTGGGATATTGACACAGAAAATAAAATCGGTGCGACCACTCACAGTCCTGCCTGCGAGTACAGCGTAATCACTACCAAAAACCGGGAGGAAGTGCCAACCAATCCAGACTGCGGCTCGCCGCGGAGCCTTGACACCACATCACAGTCTGCCTCGGTCCTTATTATTAACACCAACTCAGCTGCAGTGTTAACGTGGAGTCTGAAACCGAAGTTGGCGTTAAGCTTACGTCACTCAACCAATCAGATCGCCGGTATGGGTCCTGAAGACTCTGTAAGAGCCCCCTAAACAACACCAAGGACGCACGTGAAATCGGAGGCTTTTGGTAACACTTGATTTGAAGAAAGCAGCGCCCAAGCTACATTTACATTTGTCATCTCGCGTCACAAGGGTCCACAGTCAATGACATTGAGAGGATGCCAGAGTCCGTTTCCGGATTGAATTTCTCTGCTGCACATTGGTTTTGAAATCGTTGAAAAAGCTTGACGCAGGTTTATGGCCCCCACAGGACAGGCGGTCCACATAAGTCAACAAGACGACAAACGAGCTGACAAAAAGGATGACGAAATCGCTGTAAGAAAGAAGGCCCGCCAGACTTTGACTAAGGAAAATTCTGTGAGCAAGCGAAGCTCAAATTTCCAGCTCATCATAGCCGCTCGAGAATAATCGTCGTAACATGTTCAACCCTCAAGCGAAAAGATGCATCTCAACGCAAGCTGGCACCGAAATACAAGCCAAATGAGGGTGATCACTGAAAAACTTTCTGGATGGACGAGGTTCTCTGAACTGGGAAGCGCCTGATAGCCTGAGCTGACTTGACAAACCACTTGTCGATCATGATGAAGAAACAGAATCGATCCTTGTTGGACTCAATACCAATAGCTAATGAAACTCGTCTTGAAGCGTAAATCTGACAAGGCCAGTCAGCACCAGCTAGGCTCTTCCATGCATCCCCATTGCTTTTCAACAAAAAAGCGGACTTCCAAAATTTCACATTCCTCACCGACAAGCAGGTGAAAGCATCGTCGTCTGACGAAGTGTGCGTGCCGTGTTTAGCTGTTGACCGGCGCCAATCGATGCACCCCCTATTGACACCACAACTGCATTGCCCACACATATCCGTTGAACTCTTGTTCCTTTACAGAATTAACCCTCTTCAACTCTCACAAAACACCATGGGTTACATTGATGCCCTCTGCCGTCATCAAAAGTCGTCTGCCGTCGTCAGAAGAAGCCAGCATCCTACTAGGATTGGAATCAAAGGCAGCTCGTGCAACAAAAGCGCCTCACCCGATACTCTGGCAGGTACTTGAGCTCGCGGCAGCTGATTCCCTGCTCCCGTTCCCCAACCCCTGGGTGCGCCGTCAGCAGAACCGCCACCACTCCTGCGGCCGCCTCCCACTGGTGCACCAGGAGCAGCTCCCGCAGCAGGCGGTGCAAGTTTCTGGGGTAAAGTGTTAACTCGCCCGGTTAGAATGTTGGTTACAGGAGAGATTAGAGACCTTCCTGTACATAGAGTGGCACCTAAGGGTGAACAAGAGTGGCTTGGGGAATGACGGGATGCGCTTTCAGACCAGTAGAGAGTCTTGCACCGACAGTGCTCTTGCATGTGCCAAGGAACACTGAGGGCCTGCAATGCAATATTGGAGTGCACGAGTATAGAACCATGCGCAGTTAACCTAGTTATCAACCGCCTAGCGGTCAGGCAACTAAGTGGCCGAGGCTTTGCACAGAATGTCTGAAAAAGATACCAACATTTTAAGAGTTTAAGACCATTTATGCACGAAGACATGCCTGCGCCTTAAACCACACATAGATGGGGGACTGTCCAAACTCAAAAGTTTCCTCCCAATTGCTAATCTGCCCTCTTGACAGATACCATGCCTTAGCGCAAACAATATTCTCTTAAATGCAGTTTGAGAAAGATATTAATGAAATGATATTTGCTTCTGAACTGGCAAGTTTGCAGTCGGACTGGCCAGGAATCACACAACTTATACTTTCTACCACCACCTTCTCATCGCACCTTTCATTTTCAAAGCACTACTTCTTCCAGAGAATCTGTCCAACTTCCGGCAGCACAAACTTCTTTGGAACGTCTATCGAGTGTTTGTAACTTTCCATGCGCTTCCCCCACATTGCATTCTGCGAATCCACTCCAAGGACATTTTGGAAATCAAGTCTCACCTCCGATGGAAGATGTGCAGCATCTGATAGTTGGCCCCCGTGTCATATAGGTTCAGCTCCAGCCCGCCACGTTTCTCCACCAAGTTGTGTATGTCAAGCTTCCTTGCCTGTTCGCGCATTTTGTCCCGCTCAGCTCTCGAGGGGCCCGGCTGTGGGGCCCCACCCGGTGGAGCAGCCTGCTTGGGCGCCATGCACACCACCAATTCACAGAATAAGAGGCTTATCTCCAGAAGGCGCCACCATTGGTACCAACAATTGAGCTAGAGAATCTTGAACGTTATTACTTGGAGCCAAGAGCGGTGCTCATGTTGACTTCTCTTACAAGCCCGTGCACTATCAAAGGCATGGGGCGATTGGTGGGGCCGTTTTACATGCATCCAGGGGCATTACATTCACCCGGGACCCGCACATGTGTCAGTGTTAGTGATCTGCAGCGCAACCTTGGTGGCAGAGACGCTGGCCTCTCGCTCCAAGACACCCGATCACCGACCATGTTCCAGGGCACAGGTGAACAGCCCCTGATGATGCATATCTTGGTTACCAGCAGCGGACGGGTTTGGTTAAAACCGCAGACCTTGACCCGTGTCCCAGGGCATAGTCGAGAATCCGTAACCAGAGACCTGATTTCACTTTGCGAAGAACCGATTCTGTTTAGAATCGTCAGCCAACGGCATGGACAAAATGCAGCTTAAATTTGCGCATTAGAATCAAAGCAACTCTTCTACATAGAACGCCCATGAAGCGGTCGGTAAACGTTGCCCGGGAGACAGCTCTGCATCGTTGCCTGATCCGCCGTCGAGTGTTGCTTCCCGAATCGACGGTCAAAGAAGTGGTGGTGAGTGACGAAGACGAACGAAGACTCACGTGCAGAAACCAAGCCTGCCAACTTTGAAAGCTGTGACCCCTCTGGCGCCAGCGAAGTGAGGCCGTACGATTTTTGACTTTGCCCCTCATCGACGCTCTCGATCGAGGTGGATTCAAATCAGAGAGCAACCATGAACCGCTCGATGAATTCTGTTGATGATCGACTGTCAAATTAAGGGTGGCGGAAATCGGAACGCCCAGGATGCCATAAGCCGATGACCTTTTTGAGAGGCGTGGGACATTGGCCTGGCGGCCAATTGGCAATGCCCTCCGCGACTAGCTAAAGTACCGGTGTATAAGGTGGCTGAATATTAAGCGGCAATATCGAATAAAAGGGGATATATTCTATCCTTGTTACCTTGACGCCTAACGTTTTCCAGAATGATGGCGTCTCAAGCTGGACCGCTCGATTGCTCCACAAGGAGCGCACCGCACATGGGGACTGCTCGCGTACATTCATATACATTATATGAATCAGTCTAACTTCAATGCTAGCGCGCATATTGCGGGCGGTATGACGGTATCGCCCGTCAGTGAGATCTGACGGCCGGCGAAGTCGACCTCACAAAATACTCTCAACAAATTTCGTAGACTGTTAGTTCTAAGTTCTGACTTCGTCGACGAATCTCGGAGCTTTAAAAGGGGAGTAGACCGCAGATACAATCTCCTTAAATACGAGCATTGTGGGAAGTTGGCCACCAGGTTGGTCCCAACTGTCCATGGCCCTTCGGCCTTGGCTGCGGCATTTGGATCTCAAGCTGGAGGACTAGAGTAGAGAGCCATGCAGGTGGTGGTGGCGCCTTAGCCACCAGGCTTTGGAGCCGCTGGTGGGCATAACGCGATAGCCACATGCGAGCCGTGCTGTGGTTGAAGATCTCCTACATAGGAATGAGTAACTCCAGGCCCAATGCCATCAGCATTGACAAGTGGCTGATCATAAGCCTTTACTGTTAGTGAAAGAAGACCAGAACCAAATGGAGGGTTATGAGGTCCTGGTCCTCGCTGCCGAGGGGGACGGCGTTGGCCCATCTCTCCTCCTGTCTCCGATTCCCCCTCTGAAGGGCCCACAGTACCTGTTCAACTGTCCGGAGGGCTTTGCGCGGCTGGCTATCGAGTACAAAGTGCGCCCCTCGGGCCAGCTTGCGGCGGTCTTCCTGACGTCGCTCCTGCCGCAGGCTGCGGTACGTCTGTTGTCTGGACAGGACGACCATTTTCCTCTGACAATCTTGAGCTGCACCTTTCTTTTGGGGACGGTTTGCTGTTGCTCGCGCCCCTCTGCTTGCTTGATCTGACCGCGCATGGTGTCCCGTTGGGCACATCAAGATCATCCAATGGGCTTGCTAGACACAATTTCTTCAAACCAACTTGCTTGCTAAAGTAGTCAATCTGGAGTTTGATGAAGAGACAACCTTCAGGTTTTTGGAGCATGCTCCTTTCAGACACTTTCTGGTTAGCAAGCCCTTCCTCGCACCACACCACCCAGCTATCGAGGCCGGTTTGCAGGTCAATGCCATTCCGGTCTATATCTTGCATGCCCCTTTTTTGAGTTCACCCAAAAGCACTTTTCAGTGTGCTGCTGCTGCATTAGCGGCTCCCAGCTTGTCTTCTGTACACCAGAACTGTGTTGCCTTTCTGGTAATCTTGCACCCCAAGGAAGCTCAACTCCAGCAGGGCGCCCGTGTCAAGATATATATCAAACTCCCGCTGAAAGAGGGCGTCTAACCATGTGGTACCCCGGCGGCCACTTCTTGTACGAATTTGTCGCCAAGAATTTCTGTCACATGGTACCAAATTTAGCAACCTGAACTGCGGTCTATCTGGTCGCCCCAGCGTTATGGGTCACACGACGCTCCCTTCAAGCTTTCCTCATCGTACTGCAGGCTGGCCTCCCAGGCCTCTTCCTCCGCCTCGCCGTCGACGGCCACGAAAAGCTCGAGACATGCGGCCCCCCGGGGACTGCCGCGTACGTCCACGCGCAGCGCCACATCGTTCACTGGGTCCATCCAAGGGTGACCGTCAACCAGGCCTCTTCTGGGGGGGTGCCGAAACCCATCTTCCAAGACGGGCGCCTTTCAGTTCTGCCCATCTTTGAGGGGACGGGGGAAGTGAGCTGTCCGTGCTGTTTGGAAGGAGAGGCGTCGGGCGGGGTCGGAGAGGGGGCCGAGGCGGCACAGAAGGTAGCGGGGGAAAAGAAAGAACCTGCAAGGATGGATCTGAGCAGCTCAAGTAGTGAGAGTGACAGTGAGGAGGAGGACGGGAGGAGCGGTGAGAAAGAAGGGAACTTTGACGGCGGCGGCGTCTCACAAGTCCAGCCTCAGGGGGTATGCGAAGACCAGGCTTTGGTGGGGACACCGTTGGAAGCAGTTGGGGAGGAAACGGATGATGGCGAGTGCGCAGCTCTATTATGGACAAGGCCCTCGAGCAGCCTCGGGGGGATCCCTCTGGGGGCAGTCCTGGGCGAGCCTGTGGAGGCATCTGAGGGGGGTGCGAACGGGCAAAGGGACGTGGATCAAACATTGGGTGCCGAAGGTGGGCCGGACGCGGAAGGTGGGGAGCAAAAAGATGAGGTTTTGGAGAACAAGGGGAAGGTGTTGGAGTTGGCCGAAGGCAGCAAGCGGTGTGAGTCAGAAGCGAAACCCGAGGCTCCCGCCGGGAAGAGTCCCCTGACCGTTGACTTGAGCACGTCGTTCAGCGTAGCGAGCGAGAACGGAAGTGAGGGTGAGAGCGAAAGTGAGGCAGAAGCGAAGAGCCTGCTGAGTGCCAGAAAGAAGATCATGCTCGGACTTCCACCTAAACCGACGAGGGGAACGGGTCGGAAACCGGAGAAGAGTGCTCTGTTTGCGGAGCTGGACTCGATTTTCATGGGGGGCGCGAAAAATGGAAAGACGGTGCGCCAGCAAGCCCTGTCGACTTTGACAGCTGGGCCCCCTGAGAAAGTTGAGACCGTGCTTGGGGGTGCCGATGGAAGAAGGAAGCAGGAACTTGGAGAGGGGGCAAAACGGATACGGAGAAAGAGGCGCAAAGGAGAAGACGGCAGGAAGGGCGAGAGGATGGAAGGAAAGTTGGAAAGGGGGTCTGAAGAGAATGAGAAAGAGGGAAAGCCAGTTGGGGTGCCGCCATTCAAGCGGCGGAAGAAGGTAGTTGAGATCACAAGTAGCGGGGGGGAGGCGTTCTCAGTGGAGGAGTCGTTTGAGGTGGAGGTGACGCCGTTAAAGACTAATGCGGGGCTGACATCACATGCAGGGTGCGCTGGCGATGTCTGCGTGCAAAGTAAAGGAGGAGAAGGGGCTCGAGAAAGTGAGTGCGCTGAGCACAGAGCGGTTGTTCGGCGGGGCACGAATCGAGAATCAGGTGAACGAACAACTAAAACGGAACGTGACGTTTTTGGATCGCGCGATGGCATGGGATCGAAGAATGAAAAGTCGCCTGGGAGAAAGGGGGACGAAGGAGGCGAAGCAAGTGAGGAGTCTTCGGAAAGCGAGGAAGATGGAGAGTGTCTGAAACAGCTGCTCTCTCCACCTGGTTCGAAGAGGCGCGGCGCAGGGAAGGGGCGCGGTATTGGGGAGGCGAAGGAGGCCCTGTTCGCCCATCTGGACGACATTTTCAATTCGGAGGGCAGTGCTTCGAAGGCCCGGAACAGGGCCCTGGAGACGTTGGGGCGGCCGGCATTTGTGGGCGCTCTGGGCAAGGGAAACGGCGGAGCGGGATCTTTCGGTGCCCAAAGACAGAAAGTGACGGAGAAGCGAGGAAGCAAGGGCGGTGAAACTGGACTGGGGGGGTCGAAGAAGAGTGGGCGTGACGGCGAAGAGACGAATGGGGCGGGCTTGGCTGCGGGAGTCGGCTTGGAGAGTGTTCAAGGCGAGGGTGCGGGTGGTTCATTGGAAAAGCAGAGCGCTCCTGAAAATGGAATCGGAAAGATGCAGGCGACGGCGATACCAGAACCGGAGGTAGAGACTCCGTCGTCAGGTCACGGTGCGGCGAGCCCGTCTGGTGGGCTCAGGCTCAGAGGAGGGGGCCCGAGAAACTTTCAGCGCGGGGGGCCGCAGCAAGGATGGGGGTCAATCAATGGCGGAAGAGAAGGGGGACTTCAAGGCGGGGGTGTTCCAGGCGGGGGTTTTGCTGGTGGGGGCTTCACAGGAGCACCGCCTTTTATGGGTGGCCGTAATGGGGGTGGTTTTGGACAGCACCCGGGACTGTTTGGAGGGGGAGGGAGTGCGAGGGGGGGGTCCGAGGTCCCCCTCTGGAAGAAGCGCTTCCGGCAGCAGCCGGAAAGCAACAGCGAGGACAGCGACACGTGGCAGGAGGAGGCGCGCGAGTCCGGGATGCACTGGCTGCTGCAGTCGGCGAGCGTGCGGCGCACGCGGAAGCTGCGCAAGGGGCTGCCAGCTGGCGGCCCAGGAGTGATACCTGGCGGGGGTGTCGCGGCAGCTGGCGGCGCGCCCCCCCGGCCGAAGCCGCGGGTCCAGATCGACTCGCACACCCCGTCGACGAACCCCGTTTACGTGCGCACAAAGGCGGGCGTTCTGCCAATGGAGGAGGGTTTGGGGGTCCTGAAGCAGACGGTGCCAGCTGGCGGGGGATCCCTCTTGGGCTACCTCTGTTTCTTTGGCCCGCCTGTGAACGGGTCGGTTCTGATGGTCGACTGTCGGGACGAGAACGCGTGCGCTCAGCTGAAGACGATCCGGCTCCCCGCGTGCGTGCGCGCCCAGAGGGGTGCGCATCGGCTGATGGCGGTGTTCCACTTCACGCCTGCTGACGTGGCAGCTCGTGAGCCCTATAAGGAATGGGTGCGCAGCTTTGGGGGCCACGTGAGGCACGTGATGCTTTCGGACGGCGGTTTGGACCTGGGGTACCGGGCGACGTACGGGACACTGGCGCGGCTCAACCTGGTCGACAAGGGGATCTTTCCGCTGACGGGAAACGCCACCGGAAAGAGTTCGGCGAGCCTGGAACGTCCGTCCAATGAAGGTGACGTCCCAGAGGGTCCGCAGTCCGACATCAGAAACGAGCATCAGGGGGTGCCAGAAACATACGATGAGGGAAAGAGTGCAAAGAAAAGCGGGGCCGGGAACGATGCGAAGGGCCGGGGCTTTGAACCGGGCGGTGTGGGGCTGCTGGCGAGAGTGAATCTGCGGGGTCTGCGGCCCGGTTCGGACGCTCCGGCTGAAGTGGATGAGTCTCGGTGCTTGCCGGGGGTAAATGTGGAGGGGATTCAGGCGCAGGTGCTGAGGGACCAGCCGGCGCTGGCGTTTTGGAAGGAGGGCGGACGCATTGAAGATTTCGAGGCAGAAAAGGGGGGTGGCGCTGAGAAAGTTGGTGAGGCTGAGGGGCGAGGAGGAAACGGGGGGACTGGGGCTAAGGCTGGAGGGGCGGGTGGGGCAGAAAGGGAGACTGGGAAAGGGGGAGCGGAAGCGGTCAGGATAGGAAGCGGGAATGTGGAGGGAGAAAGGGATGGGAAAGATGATGGAAAAGCAGATGAGCAAGGTGACGGGAAGGATGCCAAAATTGCCAGGACTCAAGAGGTGCGCGGAGCGCCAGAGGGTGCGGCAAACGAAAAGACAAATGTCGACGCGCGTAACTCTAAAGACGGGGTCACAGGAGACGAAAAGGCCGCCAAGCATGGGGAGGGGGTCGCCAACCAGGGGGGACACGTGGCAGCCTTTCGGCCGTCGGGCATCGGGCGCAACGCGACGCAGGCGGAGCTGATGTACGAGCGCCAGCTGGCAGAGCAGGCGGCGGTGCTCGCGCAGCAGTGGCACTACCTCACGCCCACCATCAACAAGGCGCACTGCGGGTTAGCCAAACCGCAGCCTAACCCTACTCCGGAGACCGTTACTGGTCCGGGTTCGGAACCTAGCCCCGAAGCTAACGGAAAGACGGTTCCGAAAACGGATCCAAATGCCGAAAACCAGACTGCCCAGAAGCAGGACGGAGGCGCTTCCGAAGGCCTCCGTTTCAGGGGGGCAGTTCCGCAGGTTCTTTTCCTGGGGACGGGGTCCGCGGAGCCCAGCAAGTACCGGGGGGGGAGCGCGATCCTGCTAACCCTGACCCCCGGAAACGCGCTGCTTATGGACTGCGGGGAGGGCGCGGCCGGGCAGCTGTTCCGGACGGGGGGGCTCGTTCCGTCCGAAGGTCCGGAAACGGAACGCCCGCTTGCGCGAGCGCAGCAAGTGGCGCGCTCGGTTCGTGTACTCTGGGTGTCGCATAAGCACGCAGACCACTGCTTGGGGGTGGTCGGGGTGCTGAACATGAGGGGCGGGGGGGATCCCCGGCTGCTGATCGTGGGGCCGGTGGCTGTGCAGAAGTGGCTGGAGGAGGTAAGCTTGTGACGGGTGGTGGCTGTGCAGGTGGAATGCTTGGTATACTCTTTTTGAATCGTATTTCGTGCGTCGTTCTTTATTGCATTTGCCGGTGTGCGTTGTAAGCGTTTTTATTGGAGGCGCTTTGCAGACAGACTTTTCCTTTCCGGAAGTCAGAAGTTAGACCTTCGAAAGGGATTACTGAAGAGAGCCCCTTGAAATCTGAATTTTTGAAACGTTGCGATTACCTAACCCAACGGTCTAGCATGCCACACCACTGGACAGTCTCTTGGTCGTTCTTCGAAACCTGCCGTTGGGTGTGAGAAAAGATGTTGTTTGCTTACCGCCTTCATTCTCTCCGCGCAGGTTGGAGCGGCTATGCAGGAAAACGGCCACACCCTCCCTCCTTACATCTTCCGACACTGCCGCGAGCTCGGCTCAATCATTGATAACGTTAACCAGCCCCGTGTCCCCAGCAACCCCCCAATCCAGCCTCTTAACCCTGGGTTAAGCCCCGCACCACCCTTTTCCGCCCCACAGCATCGGCAGCGGCCGAGCTTTGGCCAGCCCCCTAGAGCTTCCCGGTTTGTGCCGCAGTACCACCCCGAAACTTTCTTAGCGGGTCCGCAGCAGCGACTCGTTCAAGGCGCGCACCAGCAGTATAGCCAGCAACTAGAGGAGCCTCGTTTCCAGCAGCAGATGTATACGCAGCCCCCTCGTTTCAGCGGCCACTTTGGAGGGATCCCCCAACATGCGTACGTGCAGCAAGCACCGAGCATGGTTCAATCCTTTCAGCCTCGGCCGTTCGATCACCAAACCCAGTTCTTTGCGCAAAACACTCCTCAGCACTTACCCTTCCAAAGCGGCCCATTCGCCTTCAACCAACATCTGGTCAACTACCTTCCACAGCCGTTCGGAAGCCACCACCCCTCGTCAAATCTCGTAAACCTTCCCAGACTCGTAAACCCTACAAACCCTCTAAACCCCGCTAACCCCGTAAACCCTCCGAACCCTCCAAACACTATGAACCTTGTAAACCCTGTAAACCCCTCCCCCGCCAGTCAAGCGATCGCGCCCCTCAACCTCGTTCGAGCCCAGGCGGTCCCTGTGCACCACTGCGCCGATTCCTGGGGCCTCGTAATCCACCACGCCGACGGCTGGTCGCTGGTTTATTCGGGCGACACGCGCCCGACGAGGCCTCTCATCGAGGCGGGGCGGGGCTGCACGCTGCTCATCCACGAGGCGACATTCGAGGGGAAGTTGCTGGACCACGCGAGGCGGAAACGGCACAGGTAACGCTCGGCTTTTCGAAAAAGGCAATCATTATTTCGCGCTTGTGGTTTCGTTATATAACTTTGCCTGAGTTCGTATCGCTGTTCTTTGCCTGATTTCCTTTTTTGGGTGTTGTTTCGTTCTTTGAAGCTTACCCGCTTGGGTCGAGCGGTGAACGGTTGGCCGACTCTGGATCGTAAATGGCGCATTTGCTCGTTCCCGGGATTAAGGATAGAATAAATCCAAAAGGCCAGTTAGTCCAACAATTGGCATTTTGTTGTTCGACCTACTTCTCACTGAGGAGGAATTTACGGTTTTCGTTCTTCGGTTGAGCGCTCTTCTCGCTTAGGATCAACTTGCAGCGACATCCGAATGCGAAATCTCTGAACATGTAAAGATAGTTGGGCATAACGTATTTTTTTTGTGGAGAAGGGGCACTTCTTCATCTAGTTCTACCAGCCTCTCTCACCCTGGAAAAGCACTTCACGCTTCTACAGCGCATCTGCTCATTCCTCTTTTCCCAATCTTTTTGACAAATTTGTTCTTCTGTTGGCTTTTGTATTTGATTGAATGTTTCCGTTCTTTTCAGCACCACGGAGGAGGCCCTCGACGTGGCCGCCCAAATGGGCGCCCGCCGCACGATCCTGACGCACTTCAGCCAGCGGTACCCAAAGGCCGTCGAGTTCGAATCGAACCTGCCCGCTGCCGACAGCACCTGCATCGCGTTCGACGGGATGGCCGTTCCCTTTTCGGAGCTGGCCCGCCTCCCGTCGCTGCTGCAGCCCATTAGATTGGCGCTCGCGGATGTGGAGAAGGCGGAAGAAAGGGACGGGGCTTGAGGTTCGTTGTGAGGTCCTGGTGCGGAACCCGTCGTCAGCAGAGGGGTTCCAAGTTCGGAGACAAAGCTTCTTTGATAGGTTAGGCGAGCGAGATTAGGGATTTGGCAGAAAAGAGGACCGAACCTCGTAGGGTAGGCAGTCGTCGAAAATTGGCAAAATTGATTGGTCACGTACCGGATAGACTGTGTATCAGAGTTCGTAGTGTCGTGGGTGGGCGCAGGACAGCTTACTGACGCCTTTTCGCGACGGGCTTGTGTATGCGAGTGCCCCGGTCACAGTCAGTGTACGCTAACGTGCTTCTGAGTGCCCCATGCAGATTGGATAGGTTTCGGATCAGTGAGCTGTTTGTATACGTTAGAGAATAGAAAGGTCGAGCAATCGGCGCACTTGCGAGTAGCAGGCATCGAATGCTATAGAGCGGCAAGCGCACTGAATAGTACTTTGCCGCAAAAAGCGAACCTCGACAGAGAGCCTGCTCCATGGAGCTTGGATCAGTCTTGCAATCGAGGACGATATGCTGATGAGCATGCTTACCGCGTACTAAGTACCCTTCATGCATGCATGTGCTATGCTTAACAGGACAGCAACTAAGCGTCATGTACAACTGAATAGATCAAAACGGAAGTTCGTCGTTGGAGCCTAACCCGTATACTGACCTTGCAACAGTCACGTACTGCCTGAGATAATTTCAGCAGTAAAGAAGAGCTCTCGGGTCACTGCCGGCCATGAAAACTAGCTGTCAATGGATCGAACGTTTACAGCTCTGCCTCCCCAATCTTACGATTGATCGGTAGATTGGCCCTAGCTCACCGTACTTTTCGACGCGTTACATATTATAGTCTAAGATACCAAGGAATCTGGAAAGTCGCCAGAATCTAAGAGCGCACATGGCCCCTTAAGGCAATATGCACGTAATTTGCCGTCGGCACGCATCAAGTTGCACTAATTCAACCCGGAAGTATGATTAAGAGGGTCACTCGAGTATGAGCTTTTGATGGGCATCTTCTCTGCATGTGACCTGCCAAGGCGGTACGTTTCAGCATGGTCATGCACCCAGGATTTGGTATGGGTCAAAGGCATAGAAATCAGTCTGTACACGACTAGGATTGTAATTAATACGAATACAGTTGAAGTGGATTAGATGACCCTGAGACCAACTTGCACATTGTTCAAGAGAAGCGATTATTTGAAATTTGTACATGGATTTACAACAACACTGACTGCTTTTAGTACGTCAATCAAAACGGAAAAGAAACCCGAGTTCAGACTCTCCGCAAAGTTCAAAGTCTCCACAAGAATATAATGGGGCGATATGTGTACATGTGAGCCGGCCTCGACCTTTAGCTCTCCACATGCGATCTGCAACATATACTGGCGATGTCCTTCCAGTGAAGCAGGTCTAAGACTTTGGTCTACCTTTGTCTTGACTGAGCATGCTCGAAACACTCTCTTTTACTGTGGTTCCGATCTTCTGAAGATTGTTGAACGTGTGCTCCGCTAATCGTCCTGCAGACCGCTGAAACCTGCAAAACGAACACAAATGGAGGTTATGAGCCAGCAATCTTCTGGGACACTCGTAAGCGCGCAGACACTGGAAGACCCACTATATCACCCACTATAACATTCGCCTTCATGAAACGTCTCCAATTCAACAAGGTGTCCGTCGTTGAGTATCATCGTATCGAACTCATTCATTAGAGGTGGCAAAGCGCAAGCGTTTTTCACCTGAGTCTGAAGTCCTCTGCAGGAAAGGGGGTGGTCGGTCGAGGAGTCGGGAAAGGGGACTCTTTTCGAGGGTCGCCTGCATAAGATTCGGAGAAGAGTGAGTGCAGCCAACCCACTATGCCCGATTCGGGTCCTGGCCTCTGCGAGGCACTGAGAGCCTCCTGTGACCCAATTCACTTAGTTCCACTAACAAAACTATAAACCTGGTGCACCCTGGTTCGGACGATTTTGATTCCGGACGGGGCAGATCCGGAATCCAACTCCGGACTTCTTTAACCCAATACGTCACTTTTCGAAGTCGCATTCAAAGTACCACCACGACACGAGCCGCGCGCTGACACATGCTACACACAGGCACATGCAGCCGCAGACTGGTTCAAATAGTCCGAAACTGACTCTCGGATTGGCCCGTCCGAAACCGAGGCGCACTTGTCCGAAAATGCGAGTTCCTGATGAGTAGAAAGGCGGACCGCGAAAGATCACAAATTGAGTTGCAACCGCCCAGTTTTCACATAACAACTCCAACACGGTTCAAGCATGGGCAGCGCGAACGCCAAAGACAGGTTCCGCAAAGGGCTGTGCCAAACAGGGAATAATTTTTCACAAACGACAACTCTGCAGCGTCTATCATCAGACCTTGAAAGATAGTCGGCAGCGACTCGACTCAGTACTGTCCCCCAGCCATACAACTCCTGCGCTTAGCCAGTAGGAAACATTAAAATAGGCCCCCACAAGAATCCGACGCACATCAAGAACAATCAGAGTATTTCCTGACTCGAAGATCAGGGGCCTACCTTGCGTCGAGGCGGACGGCGTGCTTGGAGACGTTGCCTCCTGCGCATCCTTGGTCGCGATGAACTGCACGTTGAGATCCAAAACAGCCCTATAAGTACCGGGTAGTCTGAGAGCTACTCCCCGAGGGCCAATTATTATCTTGATAAGAGAATGCTTCCATGGAGACACACTCCCACCCTCTTTGCAGCGATCCAGAAACCTGGGGCAATCAGTAGGTAAGATGCACCAGCATCTCAAAAGTTGCACGTCAGGCAGGCACACCCTCCACAATATCTTCTAACGATAAAAGTGGCTTCAAAAGCAAAAGAATGTGCTGAACTGACTCCCAGCACACGACCAGCACACTCTCGTCAGTATGTGTCAATCTTCCGAAACTAGAGAGCGCTACCTTACCTCCAATCCCATGCACAAAACCGCCGGCATTTGCGCCCCGGCATCCGGTCCACTGGCGGAGGTGCCGTCCTCCCACACCGAATACCCGACGCACGCATACTTGAACTCTTGTCGCGCCTGCCGCTCCTTGCCCGCTTCTGGCCCCCTCAATTCTGCACGGAGGGAATTCCTTTTAAGTGCCTTGTCGACCACATGAGTGTCTTGTCAAGCATCTAAGAAGCCACCTCGTCGAACAATCACTCTGTTTACATAAGAGAAGAGGAAAACCTTGCTAGATCTCACCTCGCCACATGATCCATCTGCACGATGAATCACCCAAGCTGCCGGAAGCGAAGAAGTGAAGAGGGCGGATGCCCTAGAGGTCAACCGTCCAGCACATGACACCAAACCAGAACTTTACAGAATCTCAACAACACTTCTCTGTGCTCAAATGACACCAAGAGGCATCAAGACAGCGGTCCTGCGCAAACCTATAGAGTCCGTCTGCCCATTGTGAAGGCCGCCCGTCCAAAAAACCGCACCGTGCCTCACCTTGCGCCTCTTCCTTGCGAGAAAGTCCGAGGCAGAACGGCTTGCCGCCTCTGGCCGCGCGCATATTCGAATAGTACAGACACCCCTTGCAACTCTTGGCCGGGAGCGGGTGCATCCTTTTGCTTCCTGCTTGAGAACCAGTCTCGGAACCACTGGTTGTGGGAGCGTCACTCGAGGGATGGGGTGTAGAGGCGGGATCAATCGATGTTGCATGCCAGCTCGTACCCCCTCCCACCAATACTGGCTCGGTAGCGCCTGGCCGACCGGCACAGGAAGCATCGGTTCCATTTGTTGCGGGCGCAACCTCCACCATTGAACCCTAAATTGGCCTCCGAAGTGACAAGATGATCTAGCTGTTTGTGCTGTTGGACTATATGAGGGTTTTTAGCTTGCAGTGCCGCATCAAAGCTTTTGACAGGGCAGAGCGTCCAGCAACCTGCGTCCAATTCCTGCTTGCGTCTTGAAGTTCAGCTGAAAAATGGAACTTGAGCTTAGAACTGAAGATCTGCTGTTCAGACCTGTTCTGCATGCTTCACACTGGAGAGCGCGAGGCGCCGGCGGCCGCGCTCTTGTGGGCCGCGGCCGCGAGCGAGGAGGCGGCACGGGGGCAAGGCCGGCAAAGAAGACGGCACCTTCGCCGTGATATTTGACTCATTCTGTGCGTTCAAGGGCGTTAACGGCACGCTAACGGTTCTCAGAAGTCGACAGATCTTCCAGAGTTGCCCCGCTGGTCTGGCAGTGGAGGATGATCCAGTCGACGTCGTCATGCTGGCATTCAATGGCTACCGCCCCTGTGTGCAGCAGCCAGAGAGACTCCTTAGAAGCATTTTAGATCGACGCTCTTCCTCTGCAGAGACATCTCTTGGGTGGCACAAACCTCGTCACCAGCCTTACGATGCCCTACCGCCAGCTCTAGTTCGCCCATCGCCGGGGTGGCGCGGCGGTGGCTCGTCAGAATGGCGCACGCCTTCTCCGGCGCCAAGGCCGCGGCCTCCCTCCCCCCCCTGCCCGCTGATTCCTCCGCTCTCTCTGCCGCTTTCAACCCCCAGAATGTGACCCGACAGGCGTGGGGGGGTGCAGCGAAAAATGCTGCGTCGGGGGGGTCCTATGCCCAGGCAGCGAGGCAGAGCCCCATGCGGGGGGCTCTGTTGGCACAGGGTGAGAGCCAGCTGGAAAAGAAAGGAAGTACGGGGGTGGTGGGGTCGCAGACAACTAGATTGGGCGGGCAAAGGCCACCGTCAATGACGTACGCGCCCGCAATGCAGAGCAGACTCGGGGCTCGGACGGGGGCGGACATCAGGTTTGGGAGCTTTGTGTCGGCCTGCGGCGCTGAAAGGGCGTTTCTAGGTAACGGTCTCGCGGCGGCATGCATGAGCGGTCAGTCCGGGGCGGCCCAGAATAAGGGGCTTGCGAAAGGGGCACCCGGGGCGTCGCGGAAACATTCCGCAAGCGGGCGCTCGATGGTGACTTGCAAGGCTGTGCACCGGGGGTTTGGGAAACCGGCGAACGGTGTGGGGGGTGCAATCACCCCCCGCCGGCAGCGGGGGGCCGCTCACGGCAGCCCCCTGAAAGTGGCGGCCTTGCAAAGTAGAAACCCAAGCAGTAAGCCGTTGAACTTGGAAGACGTCTCAGCGTTTCCGAAGCTCACGCCGCCCCCTGTTCTGAGACGAGCGGTCGCCGTTCGGGCTGTGAAGGGCAAAAAGGGGGGCGCCGGCAAGGGGGAGGAAGAAAGCGGGCCGCTGAAAAGGGGGGTCATGGTGGAGTTTGAGCGCGAAGGGGGGGGCGGAAATAAGGTGTATCATGTGGGGGTGCTGCAGCGGCCGGACGGGAAGAAGAATTGGATGGTGACGGATCAGTTGGGAAACAACCACAGCATACGCCCGCAGCAGATTACGTTCTTGGTGCCCCCAAAGAAGAACCAGGTGAGCGGGAGGGTTTTCGCGGCACCTCGCAATGAGATTCTGATGAACAAAAGCTGTATTGTATCGGAGACAGTCTAAATTGGTCCAGGAACGCAGGTTCCTGCATTGGAAGGGGCAATCTGTTGCACCAGGAGACGACAGCGCATGTTTCTATTGCATTGTCACCATGCGCGTAGCCAAGTCTTTCTCGAAAAAGACCGAAAGAGGGTCATTGGCGCCTGCTTAGCGAGTCAGGGCTGTAAAGCAGACGGTTGATTGTTTAGCTTGAGCCGTATCGAAGGTATCGCTTCGCTCTTCACATGGTTCCGAAAGGTGTCAGCAGACCACCATCTCTTGCACACTTGGCAACTTCGAAGAAGCTTCCCGCATGAACCTGGACGAACTCCATTTTGAGAAATTTTCCGAATCGTTTCACTTCCCCAGGATCCTTACTCGGCAGCCGACATCCAGCCGCTCATTGAGCAAGCAGACCAAACGGCGGCCGACAGCGACTTGTTGGAACTCGCTTGGGAGTCCCTGATTGCGGAGCCGGGGACATCACTTGACGCGCACGGCATGGCGGAACTGCTCTTCACGGGGACTTCTTCTGTCGAGTGCCTCTCGGCCCACCGGCTGTTGTCCGCGGACCGGTGAGGACCTCGTATTCGGACGCAGGGAGAATTGAAATGGGAAGGACGCGTGCAATTTGGCTCTTACGCCGGTCTTCTGGTTGATGTTGAAGAAGAAGTGTTTGGGTTACAGGTATTCTGATGAGCCAAGTGCTTGGTTGTTCTGCCAGCTGCCGTATTAATGAGCTGCTTATTGCGAGCGGCGGTCAGCAGCTCACTTTAGGATGTCCGGGTGTTCACCAGAGGGAATTTTGACCAGAAATCGTCTGCAGTAGCCAACTTGAAGATGGCGGACAGTTTTTCTGTAACGAGATTGTTGTCGGAAGCAAGGAGCTTGGACGTTTCGTCAGCTGGCCGTTTGGACCAATTTCTACGCTTTCACGAATTGGTGATGGTCGGAGACCTGCATGTCGACGGAGTACACTAGTTTGTAGAAGAACGAGGTGCCTCGTTTGCTTTTTGGACGGGTCAACACCTCCGGAAAAGCTCAAATACCTTTCGACGAACCTCAGCCGTTGTCAAATCTTCCGCCCACTGAGCTCAACAAACGACTCCGCTAGCCTTTTTGAATACTGCTTGGGGGCGACGCAGCACAGTAAGATTTACAAAGCTCTTGACGGCACAGACTTCATCCCAACTGTCGAAAGAGGCGACAGCCATCAGCAGAGCGTTTCTAACCTCGTAGGCCGCCTTCCAAATCGGCTGCCGGCCTGATGAGTATCGCAGATGTTCCAACAACCAACTGACGCTTTCACAATCATCCCCCTCAACGAAGGACGAGCGAACCATATATCAGCATCTCTTAGATTCTCTACCCCCTCTAAGCCAGCACAGAGCATGTCGGGCTTTCGCATACTCCCTTTCACCTGTATGCCAAGGTACAGATGGGAACCCCCCCTTTTGATGTGCAGGACGTTCTTCAAGCCCACGAAGCGCAAGTCCGCCGATGACCTCTGGGTGCTCCACTACGAGCCCCGTGCCGCGACCGTTGTCGAGGACATCAAACGGCAGATGCGCCAGGAGGAGGAGCGGAAGGCTCTTGTTTCTGATTTCGCACGCTTCGCGGTCGCGGCGGCGGGGGCGCCGCGCGGGGAGAAACCCGCCCCCCTGGAGTGGGAGCAGAACGAGAGCTTCGCGATGCGCACGGCGGCGCTGAGGCGGTTCGCGATGGACGATCTGGAGGACGATTCGGACCGGAGGATCGCGTCCGAGGTTCTGGACGCGATGGGCTGTCCGAAGAACCCGGCGGTGGTGTTCGAGCTGCTGGTGAAGATGGGCGTGCTCCAGGCGCACTCGAGCCTCGAGCTGATGACGGGCGCGATCCGGAGCGCGTTCCCGGACGAAGTCCAGGCGGTGAGAATGCGCTCAGCCTTTTTTATGAAAAGATTCCGAGCCTTGAGCTGATGACGGGCGCGATCTGAAGTCCGTTTTCGGTCAGAGTCTGGCGATGAGAATGGGCTCCGCCATTCCAGAGAGCGTTTCGAGTCTTGAGCTATGGAAGGACGCGATCCGGAGCGCGTTTGCGGACAAGGCGCTCTGCTTTTTCTCAAAAGCTTGAGGAGAGTGTTGTTTTGTTAGAGGGGCGGCGCATTCTAGTCTCAAGGGGAAGGTCCTCGTGGGGAGGGTTCAGTACGAGGGGACTCCACGTTCGCAGTAGCAGACGGAGCTTGCTTTGGTGGGAGTCTGATCAGGCATTCAAAGCGGGTGCAATAGTGAGTTCTGAAAGGTGGTAGGCTTTTTCATACAACTCGTGTGGAGGCATTTGAGGCGTGTGCAATAGCGATTTTCTGAAAGGTGGTAGCCTCGTCACGCAACTCGTGTGTACATAGAGGTGCGGCCGTTCTTAAAAAAGGTGGATCCCCGGTCGAGACGAAGAAAGGCGCCCCTTGAAGTTTAGTTGCATAAACTCACAGTCACTCGTCCGCTCGGAAGGTGCTTGCAGCGGCCAACGGGTTTCACGGCTCTCTTTTTCACCTTTAGCGTTTACTTCAACGCCTTTCAGAAAAGTCGAATGGGCGAACAACCGCTGCGTTTTTTGCACCCTATCGCCCAGCCTTTTCGAGATTGCGAAACCGTGATGCCCTTTGAAAAACACCGGAAGGACTCTGCGTTCCATAGATCACCCGCTCAGACCGTTTCCTCACCCATATTTACGTTGTCCAAACAGGAAGCCGATCGGCGTGCCGAAACCCCGCCACCGGACCCACTTTCGGACGTCCGCGTCGACTTGCGGCATCTCAAAGTGTACATGATCGATTCGGACGACACATTAGAAGTCGACGACGGGGTGTCCGTCGAACGGTTACCGGACGGCCGGAAACGGTTATGGGTCCACGTGGCAGACCCCACCCGGTGGACATCCCCGGGGGACGTGTTAGATTACGAAGCTAGACTGAGGGCGACATCGGCGTATCTACCGACCGGCGCGGTGCCGATGTTTCCAATGGCGCTCGCGGGGGGAGGGATGAGTTTGTTACAGGGGCAGGAGTGCACGGCGATGAGCGTGGGGGTGGTGTTGCGGGATGACGGCAGGTGAGGCGGGACAGTAGAGTTGTTCTTGCACTCTTACAACTGGGAAGTCGGGAACATCATTCCAAAAGGTAGTCAAGGACCCGAATGTCGACTCGGTATCAACGTCCGCTTTGGTGATGTGACAGCGCTGGCTAGATTCCGAAGTGATCAACGGGCTTGTAAGCAAAATAACGAGCTCTCGAAACTAGCCGTTAACAAAGCACAATACGGTTTGCGTTAAACTCCGCAGCATAGCGAGACGACGCTGGTGACGTCGCGCGTGGGGCCGATGTACCGGCTACAGCATTAAAAAATGTCAGAAGAAACGCATATTTGAGAATGGTTGATTTGTCATTCTTGCAGGGTCGATTGATTGAACTTTCCCTCTTTATATTCGCAGCATCGGCGAGACGACGCTGGTGGCGTCGCGTGTGGCCCCGACGTACCGGCTGAGCTACGAGGAGGTGGACGAGCTGCTGAACCTGGGCCTGGATGAGGAGCCCGAGCTGCGGACGCTCCTCGAGGAGGCGCACCGCCGCCACGAGTACCGCTACGAACAGGTGCGCGGACGTTCGAACTGGGTTGGCTTTGGTCTCAAGTGCAGAGTGGTTTTCGCCAGCAATTCTGGGCTGTTGGGTTTGGGTTGACTGGTGAGGTCACAAAATAGGTTACTGCTTTGAATAGGTGAGCAGGCGCCTGAAAGATAGAGGTTTCCTTTGAGGGGTTGTGGTGGAGTTTGTCGTGGTAGGTCTCCTTTCAGGAAGTTAGATCAGTCTGAGTCCCTGCGTATCAAAATTTGCTGCAACGGGTACAGCTACGAGGAATGCGGAAGTTCGAGCATGGGCTTGCAACCTGCGTGCAGGGATTATTGTAACTCTTGAAAGGTGCAGTCTCCGGGCAAAGTTTTATTCTCTCCTGGTTTCGTACTTCCAGCGGAGCCCGTCAGAGCAGGAGGCCCAAAAGAGCCGCTATCAGCAGTTGCTCTTTATCGCGGGTTTTTCCATAACTTGGCGAGGCCAGCTACATCATTTTGCCGTTTTTCTGTGTTGTTCTTATGCCTCCGTCATCGTCCTCTGTTTCTGCCGTTCACCGCCCCCAAGTAAGCTATCCATCCCGCCTTTTGATTGCCATCTCAAACCTCCGCTTAAGCGGGCGTACGTATCTTCCGTGCAGCACGCGATCGAGATCAAGATGCCGGACTACGACATCCGGGCGTTCGACCTCGATGCGGAACCCCCTCGCGTGACGATCAAGTTGATCAACGAGCGCGCGCCGTCGCGGCGGCTGGTCGAAGAAATGATGATCATGGCGGGCGAGGCGGTGGCGCTCTGGGGGGGGGAGCACGGGGTGGCACTGCCGTACAGGGGGCAGGTGAGTTCTGAGGAGCACTCTCTTCGTGTGTCAAATCTGGTTCTTTTACTAAATTAGCCACTTTCTTGGACAGTTTGCAAGTGGTTTGGACCGAAACCGGCCGCTGCTTTACCAGGCGCATGCGAGACATTGGACCAAGGAATGGTTGATTGTCAAGGTTTGCCCTCGAGACATATGTATGAGGTGTAACCCAACCGTTGGACCTGAGCCTCAAAAGCCTGCGGGAGAAGCCGGACCTGCCCTTCGACCACGGGCTGGTCCAGAATGTTGCGTCAGTGCAATGCTGGAACTCTCTGTCTCCAATTGTCTTGAAGATTCTTGATTCCATCTCAGGCACCCCCAGGTGTAGAGAACGTTATGTTTTCTAACTTTCAATCCTAAACCCGCACTAAACGTCAAACCCTAAACACGCAGGAGGAGCCGGACCAGCTTTTCGACCACTTGCTGGACCATTTCTCCGTTGTCCCGCAACTTTGAATCTCCTGTTCCTTTTTCTTCTTGGAGCTCCAAAGTCCAAGGTTATAAACCTTCAACTCAAGCTCCTGATTCTTTTCTCAACCTTTTTATTTTAAACCCGCAGGAGGAGCCGGACCTGCCGTCCGACCACGTGCTGGACCAGGTTCCCGTCGGGTACTGCCAGTCGGTGATCATCCGGCGGTGCATGACGCGCAGCCAGATTAACTGCCGGGGGCCCATCCAGCACTCTAGCCTGGGCCTCCACGCGTACGTGCAGTTCAGTTCGCCCATCCGGCGGTACGCTGATCTGCTAGCGCATTACCAGGTGAGTAATCCCGGGTTGTGCTTACGGTTCGATTCTGGGGCCCTGGACACTGCTTTTCGAATTTCAGTAAGCTTTGATTGGCTGCTTGTAGTTTGGGACGTTGGTTAAGGTGGTTTGAGTGGTCCGTCAGTGTGCTTGGCTGGTTGGTGGCTTTGTCGGTTGGTTGGTCGGTTGACATGGCGGCATTGGTGGACGTAACGGCTGAGAGTTTTGGTTGGTACCGTTGATCGACTTGTCTGGTTGCTCAATCTCATGGTTCCGTTGCCGGCGCTTCACGAAGAAGGTCGAAATCTGTCCTTATCACCGGTATTTATCCGGCAAAGCTGTCTGCGGAGCCCTTTGAGCTTCTTGAAAGTGGGCAAGTTCGATTTGCATTCCCTCTCGCCAGGTCAAGTTCGTGCCGTGCCCCCTTGTGTTCAGTGCCGATGAGCTGCCAGATATTGCGAGAAGGGTATGAAACGAGTTCCGTCTTTGTTGTCGATTCGAGACATCCTCCTAAACGATCTCCGACTATTTATGATGGAGGCTTTGAAACGAGAGTTACCCCTTCGTTGTAGCGCAAGTTAGCAATTGTCAAAACCAATCGATCGGGAAAAGAAGCAATTTACCTGAAGACAAGGGACTTATCCAGGTTGACGACGCACGCGTAACCCCCTGTACCAGATCGAGCGGGCTGCACAGCGGGCCGCCCTCCTTTCAGCGACGACCAGCTGTCGGGCATACTGCTATTTGCGTCGAATCTGGCACCCGAGCTTGGATTGAAACGCGCGGTTCTTGCACGAGTTGCAGTGTCGATTCTTGCTGTTCCCCCCCGGAATGACTCTGGATATCAAACATAACATAATGATTACCAGGGACTGCGGTCGGCCAAACTACATGTATTTTTTTCAGGGGGCATGTCTATCAAGGATCGAAAACCGACTTCACGACTCGAGATCGAGGACCGCCCGTTTCGATCCGGTTTGACGCAAACAGCAGTAATATCTTCAAGGAAGCAAATCATTCTCTAAAATCAATCGGCTGGAAGTTTTAGGTACCCAAAAGCTAACTGTGCATCAATCACCTCTGTCCAGATCAAGGCCGTATTACGGGGAGGGCCGCCCCCGTTCAGCGCGGACGAGCTGTCGGGCATGATGAGCGGCGTGGAGGCGCAGATGCGCGAGGTGAAGCGGCTGACGCGGCTGAGCGAGCGGTACTGGACGCTCGAGTTCTTCCGGCAGCAGCCCAAGGCCGCCACGTGGCGCGCGCTCCTGCTCAAGTGGCTCAAGGAGGACGACCTGGTCGCGCTCATCCTCATCTACGACGTGAGAACCCGGGGACTCCGCTTTTGTTTCCTACGCCGTTTCTTTTAATGTCGCCTTTTGCGAAAGCAAGCATAACCACATCAAACATGGCCGATTGCGAAGACGCCCTGTGGGGGAGCGGGTGTAGAAAGGAAGACGTTTTATGTTCGAAACTTTCTGAGAAAATAGGCGTTGGACATTGAGGCAGCCAGAGACTGTTCGTGCTGAGACAAGTGAAAACGATCGGGGTCTGCTTTTTGGCCAATGACGGAACGTGCTTCAGCCAAACTCCACAACCTGCTTCTGGCGCCCGCCCTTCCCTCCCACAGCTACTCGTTCCGTTGGACGGAAAGTGGGCTCAAATCTGTTACCGTCAAGTTGCGGCCCGGCGCATATCTGATGCCGTTTAGTCACGGCCCGGCGCCTCTCAGCCTCTCTCTTAAGATTCGCTTGCACTAGTCTCCGTTGCTGACGTCACCCTCTCTGTCCCCCCAGCTAGGCCTGGAGCTCCCGGTGCGGCTGCAACGGTCGGTGCGCGTGGGGTCGGACATCCAGGTGCGCGTCCTCCGGGTGAACGTCCGTCAGGACGTCCTAGAGTTAGTAGAAACGTACCAGCCGCAGAACGGAAGTTCGGACCCGTCCTCGTCGGGCTTGCCGCTCGGGGATGCGGAGCTCGCGGCCGCGGAGACGTCGCTCTCGGACGCGCTTTCGGACGCGAGCTTCGACGAAGAGGTTAGAAACATAGTGGGTGGCGATGAGGCCGGTACGTCGGAAAACGGAGAAAGTCACGGAAGCCTCGAGGGGGATGAAAGTGCGGAACTTGCATATGGTGCGAGGAACGGACATCCTCGGAACGGGGTGTCTGAGTTGGAAAATGGTTTAGGTGCAGAGGAGCGGAAGTCAGACCGCATTCTTGTGAGAGAAGCCGGCAGCTGAGCATCTTCATGGACGCTCGCTTAAGCTCTTTATAAGCTCGCGAATATAGCGGTTGCACAAGGCAACCTCATCTGGGCGCTCACATCATCGTGTGACGCCATCTTCAAAAGACGTACGAGTGTTGTAGGCCATCATTTGAGTGCTATGTCCTGCTGGTCTGTATGTCTAGCTGGTTCTGGTGGTCCTCGGATTATTGTGCCGGCAGAATGAAAATCGGTGTGATGTCACATGTACATTTTCTTTTCGGACCTGTACGAGGTGCTGGTCCGTCGGGCTCTGTGTCTGCTTGAAAGGGCTGCCATTCTCATATGCAGTGCATTTTCCTGAGACATTTGCGATACATGTCGAATAACATAAGTGAATACTAAGGCGACGGTCGAACAGTGCAGAGCCAATTGCCTGCGAATAGCTCCGCCTGTCGCTGCTAGCTAAGTAGTCTCACATGCATATACTAGGATATCATAAGTAGATCAAGAGACTCATATGGGCCTGCAAGGCATCGTAGCATATCCGGCCCGTGTGCAAGAAAGTAAATATCGTGTAAGATCAGCAATTGAGAGCCGATCACGTACGTTTTTATCAAGTTGTGTGCAGAATGAATCAAATTGCATGCATGGGCTGACTGACGCGAACTGAACGACATCCCTCCATGGTTGAGTCCACATGCAGCGAGCTATAAATGATCGACGATGCCTCGATTGCCCATGCATGCGTATGCGGCTTATTCTCGTCGACTTCAGATTGAATGTAAGCTTTGAATCCATCCAGAATCTACCTGCTCGTCATCTCTTCTTTTCAAGTTCAGGTTATTAAACACAAACTGAACGAAGCATTCATTGGTCTCCAGATTAGACACGAGTAGATGAAAACCAACAAAACCTTGAGGGTTGAGAATCACGCTTGTTGCCACCCATGAAGATAAGGACTGCAGCCCTCTCGAACAAAAATTTTCGTCATGCTGTGGACTAAGATTGAAGAAGCGGCTCAATATTCCATTTGCGCTCTTACAAGAAAGTCAATTTCGACAAAGAATGCCCCATTCCCTTTCACAAGTCCAACTTCAATATTCCTTTTACGTCGTTTCTGCAGACACCATATATCTAGCTTGCTGATAGTTGTTTCATCCTTTGATCTAGCAGGTTGTTTGTACATAGTCCTCCAGATATCGTTTCTCGCAAGAACTATATCTTTTACGGCTCAACAACAAGGCACGGCTTCTTCACTGACTCGTCTCCTACAGCCTGTGCCTTTCTCTTGCCACCGATGGTCTCGAGCTTCTTTGTTGCTTGCCTCGTCTGGACTGGTTCTAGGACCGCAGCTTTCGGAGCTGGAGCTACTGCGATCACTGGCTCGGTCTGATCACCACGATCAGCGACCTGCTTCTCCTGGGGCTTGGCTTCGGCTTTGCTGTCCTCTCCTGGCTGCTGTGTCAGAGTCGCTTCACCGTCCTCTTGTGTATGCACCTGCATTGAATAAAGACAGATTGCACATGCAGCCACGACAAACATGGTTCAAGGATGCTGTCTTTTCGCACAGATTCTGCCGGATATATCAGAATTTGAAAGATGCTGTCGGCTGGGAAGCGCTTCGCGAGGCAGTCTTCTGATCATCACAAACAGATGCAAAGGTAGACGAGCATCTTTTCAAATGTCCAGAAGCTGGTCTGAGATAGCTACTCTGATTTGGAAAGGGCGTTCGATACCAAGGTACCACAGCTTATGCACAACTGCTTACATGAAGTGGAAACAGGATCAGTAGAGTAAACTCATTGAAACAGAGAAATTAAGAAGATCAACTGATGAAAACATCTAGAGAGCCTGAAACACTCACCGCATGCTGCAAGTCTGCTGGCTGCTGTGTCAAATCTACATCCGCGTGCTCCGATGCCATCTGCAACACATTGATGCCGTGTAAAATTGATTTCCAGAGAATATTTGGTTGGCAACGTCGACTTATTGTCCTCCAGCTGAAAATTCTGTGAAGTCGAAAATAACTTTGTAATGATTCTAAATGATAACCATTCTCGTCATTTTCATCGTTCCTGGGAAACCTATAAGTCATCGAACAAGAATGAAAGTATGAGAAGTCCATTCTGCTTGAGTTGAGCAGTCGTGTCATTAATCCCAACAGCCAAGCTGCACTTGTGAATACAACAAGTGTAGCAGATTAGGAGAGCAAAAAGTAAGAACTTGAAATGAGTTCATGTATGTTCACGTTTCAATGTACTCTTGCGTCTGAATTCACCAGGAAGCTCACCAGATGGTTCACATCAGCATCTTCTGAATGGGAGTCCAGCTTCAGATCTGCAGTCTTGTCTTCCTTCTTCTCTTCGGTCGTGTTTTGAACGCTGGTTGAAAGATCGTTTACTCTCTCCTTGTTGAGATCCTCAGGCTCAGATCCAGACTGCTGGTTGGATGAAGCAACGATGTCAGCTTTCTCGGTGGCCATCTTCAATACAGGAGGTGCTTCGAAGGTGAGAGAAAGGTAGTCGGCTGAAAGGAACTGGAGAGCTAATACTGAAAGATGTGAAAAATGTGGTGAAATGAGGATTGTGGAAGTAATTCAAGGATAAAATAGGTTTCAAGAAGTCAAACTGAGCCTGTGTCTGCCTCGGACCAGAATTCGACTGAGAAACGAAGACTGAATCTGAGCTCGAAAGCAACTGCATATCTTAGAAGCCTCGTAAAGATTCGAACGGGCTGGCGCAAATATTTCCCGCCATTGCTGCCAGGTAAGATGTTTGCAGCACTCCTCTTCGGTTCAAATATCTAATAGGCCTCGGTCGTTGGCCCAGCGGATATCTGAATCTCAAGATGAGCACTCCAGAATGCAAGAGGAATTTGGAAGGTTGCGCTCTGCGTTTCAGAAAACGACAAGACGCCGTACGCAAAACGACAACGCATCCCGCAATTTCAGGGACCTTCGAAAGAGAATGCATGTCGCAAGCAGGTCGCAAGCATCACTTCAAGGAACACGTGAGCCCTGTGTGAGTGTGGCAACTGTGACTCGTAGTACGACTGTACTCCGACTTCTTCGTCACTGCAGTTGTGAACATGTATTTTCAACCCGTCTTCGCATGGCAGCGTGACAAGGGCGCTGAACACGTGGCACTTGATGTCAGGGCAAAACTTCTGTAGAGCAGCTCGCGGACGTGCGCACGCGCACAACCTCACTGATTTGAAATCCTCTCTGATCGAACACGTGGCACTTGAAGTCATGGCCGGTAAAAGTGGTACTGGTAACTCAGGAGTGACTTAACAGGTGAGTGACTTAAAATTCACGAATCCCGACCAAACAAACTAAAAGCCTAACCCAAAGAATCACCCGCTCCGCACCCGAACCCACCCTAACCACCATGCCAACCCCACCCGTCCCCCGGGCGCCTATCTTAAGTCACTCGCCTGTTAAGCCACTCTTTGGTTTCCAGAGTGTAAAAATTATGTGGAGCAGCTACCGTCATCGATTTCGGAATCCTTTCTGGCCGGATGCAGCTGCGGCTGCGAAAGGCTCTCCTTGCATCATGATGTTGACTAGGATTTTTGAAATGATGAGCCTTGAATTTTTCCAGACTCTTTACCTACAAAGCTTTCAAAGCGGCGAGCATGAGCAAAGGCGCTTCACGCTCTCAATTTGAAACGAAGGTGCAAGTTCGAGAAGGTGTCGAAATCCAATGTATGAGTCGGGTCTCTAGAATCTCGTAACACGGCATCTGCGTTCCAATCGACCGTGCTTCGACCTCCCTGCCGGCGAGCAGAGCCGCTGATCGTCTCCGAAGCCAACTGAATCAAGTTCATTTGCACTAGCTTTGCAACGTATTTTCGTAGCGGTCTCCTCCGTTATTGGTATCAAAAGGTCGATGCAGAGCAGCAAGTATCTTATGGGATGCCACAATAGCCTTCATCCGTTTGACTCGTCATCCGAAAGGAGGAAGCCACGGCAAGCCAACATTATTCTGACTTACGATGTCCTTGTTGGCATGAATTTATCAATCTCTTGGTGCAGGCGTAAACTAGACGAAGGTGTGGTAGAACAATTCAGCAGCAGTGCACCTATGTACTTGAGTAATATGGTAACATACTGCGCGTTTTCAACAGCTTTTTCAAAGAGGTCTGAAATCTTGATCGCTTGCAAAGCCAGGACTGGAAGTCAAAACAACAATCTATCTGGCACGCGGAGTATGTCGCTTGCAGGATAGCTGCAGCATGAGAAATCACGCTCTTAAGTCATGCGGCCTAACAAGATTTGTGTCGAGCTAATCATCTGAAAAGCTGAACCTAGAAGTTGGACCAAAACCGGGCCATGGCCTATGGACGTTTCACCAGTGCTAATCCAAGGCCACACGTGTTGAGAATACCGACAACTGGTTTTCGACGAATCCTCAGCAGATGTCAAATCAAGGTTCACATAAGCGAGCCTCCACCTCTATCACCAGGCTGTCGTGCGTCCGAGCGAGCGGCTCGGTGACCAGCTGTTGGAAGCTAAACCCCCATCGCTCCCAGTATTGCCCCCATCCTGTCTCCGTGTTCGCAGGGTACACCACACTGCCTGTGTCCCTTTCGAGCTCCTCGGAGCGCAGTAGCAGGCGCCATTTCAGGGTTAGGAGCTTGACCCGCTTGATTTCGGTCCCCCCGGGCGGTACCACCGACCACAAGTAGGTGCCCCTCTCGTGCAGCTGCACCGCCCACCAGCGCCCGGGAGGCGCAGCGAAAACGAGGCGGGTGGACTTGTCCCCGGTGGTCAGTTGGCTCAACACGGACACAAACATACAACGGGCTTTGAAACCTTTCGCGTCAGGATCGTTTGTGACAACCACCCCCGGAGTCAGCGCCTCAAGGCCTCTCACCAGTCTGTTCAGATTCCAGTAGCGCGCCTGTTCCAGCAGCAGCGGATCCCGTTCCGCCGGAACCGCTCCGGTCGTCAAATGCTCCAGAACGGCTGCCCACCGCTTCGGATGGCACGTGATGAGAGCGCGCCCCTTCTCATCGCGCGCGTAGTCCCAGTCTCCGCAGAACATCTTGTAGAGAACCGACTCTGGGTCCGAAGCCAGGACGCTGCGGGGGACTGAACCTACTTGGCCGTTCAACGCGAGGACGTATTCCAGCCGGTCGGCCTCATCCTTTCGCCGCGCCCACACCTCGCGCGCGATTATCAGGTCTTCCTCAAGCTTCGCAAGGCGAACCACCGTTCCCTCCTCCTCTCGCCTCCTCTCCTCCTTTGCAACGCAAAGTCTGCCCCTGAACACCGCGACCTGCCCTTGCAAGCCCTCCATTTCGACACTCTTTTGCGCGTTCTCTTGTCTCTCCCTCAGCAGCTCCTCTGCTTTACCCGCCTTCTCTCGTTTCTCTTCCGCAAGCTTCCGGCCGACGTCTTCCAGTTTCGCGCGAAGGCTCTGCATGTCCGCTCGGTTCACGGCCGGCGCGACTGCGAGGTGCGCGCGCGCGCGCGCGAGCTCTGCCTTCACCCGCCCCACCTCGTCCCGCAGACCGACAACCGAAACCCGGAGTAACTCTGCTTCTGCGCGAGCATCGCGCGCTTTGTCTGTCGAGGCCGTCTCTACCTCCGTTTCATTCCAAGCCCCACAGGTGCACCGTGCTGATTAGTCGTTATTCAGTCCCGTTCGAGTCCAGGCGTCACCATATGCATTCGAAACGTTCGCAACGCAACCGGATGCCTCGTCCGTCCTTATCTGCGGCTTGCTCTTTGCTTCCGCGGTTTCGGAGTTTAAGCGGAAGGATGTCCACCTTGGCGGACGGGCTATTGGACGCGTGATTCGTCGTCCAAACCAAGTCCAAACCAAGTACTGGGTGAGGAGACCATCTGCAGATTAAAGGAGGAGAAAAAGAAAGGGTTGTTGATTTATCGAGACGTTTTTTCAATCTGTTCGTTTCAACAAGAGGGCAGCCCTTGACCGTCATGACTGGTCCAGATTGATATGAATGGATGGTTTTGTGCGAGCTCTGAAATTGCCTTACCGTAAGAGTCTCATTATAATGAGATCCATGGGTCAAATTCGCTTCATTGAAGCTATCAAAAGGCGGAGTATCTCCAAAGAAAGATCTCGACCTTCCAAGCCCTGAGATCACAGAAAAGTCCGTGGCCGCTTGCAGAATCCCAACTGCTTAATCTGTTCTTTTGACTTCTGGCCCGTTCAGCTGTCTTCATGCACGGGCCAGGTGGTGAAACGTATCTCAATATTCTGGGTGGATCAAGCGAAGCGCAAGACAGATGCAATGCAAAGAGCATATAGGCAGTCCGTGTGAGAAAAGAATAGTGCAAAACTCCTTTACAACACATTTATGAGGGTACGGAAAAAGCTGGTGGAGGAATACAGGTCTTTCAACAGATTACATCAATGGAGTCAGGTGCTTGGTGTCTGCTTACACTGCCGCAAACGTGTTGAGCTTAAAATCTATTTTAAAAGGTGCTGCGCTGAAGATAGGTAGTAGTATAATAGGAGGACTCATACTGATGGGATTACAACGTTTGAGGTCTTCCCTCATGTGATTGTCTACGATGCCTGCTCTCTTGATCAAGAATCTCAAGGCACCAACCATCTCAAGATCCAGGATGGGCAAGCGATGCTTTTCTGCTTCAATCCGAAGTTCAAGATATGATCTTTGTGAGTAAGGCTTTGTGCCACTGAGTAAGCTTCAAGTCCAGTCGCTCTATTGGTGAAGATTGGCACGGAAGTATTACCCGGCTGCATGCATTCCACATGTCCAATCAACATGCAACAGGGTTCTCTAAGACACGGTACACGCACATGTGTATCTCACCCTCTGCCACGCTGCTCAAATACAGTTAATACCCCAGAAGTCAGCCGTCAACATTCTTGTCGTCCAGGCTCGCTCTCTTCTTATCCTCTTCTCCTCGCTCCACCGCTGGCTCTCTTTAGCAGCGCTGCATCTGCATCCCCAATAGTCCCTCGTATCACTATCAGTGTAAGCAATGTACGTTCAAAGCGCGATCAGGATGAACTCGGAAGCTGTGATACGCAGGAACTTTACTCCAGCTAACTCTGCTCCAGCTAACTCCTGGCCGATTTTGTGAGCCAGCGTGGCGATATTTCAACAGTACCCCGGGCAGGGGTTGCACCGAGTAGCACGTACCGAGCATCGAGAAGTCTGCGTACCGAGTGCTCCTGTCGCCGATGAGTCAGAGGGGTTAAAGCTTGGTTAGGGAGTCGAAGCAGCGGTCTTAGGTCTAGAATAAATCATGTGAAGGACTGGATGTAGAAACTATTACCATGTGTACCTATATCTCAATCTTGCTCGCGCTCGAGCCTCGGGGTCTTCCATGATTTGGAGTCTCGCCGGTCCTAAGAATTTGGCCCCAAGAACCCAACTGGGCAGTGGGGTATGCCCAGGTAGGATACCCAGGTAGGACTGCTCGGCAGTAGGTACGGTACCCCGATACCGTGGCTCTACGGTACCTACTCTGTGCGCAACGCAAGTCGAGAATGTTGGACACTGAAGTTTGAACCGGAAGAGTGGCACGGTTGGTCCGGCCAGGCTCATGTCTGGCCCCCGGGTACCTACCCCTAAGGTTTGACTGCCGACCGCATCTCCAATCGCAAGAAAGCATACTGCCACGCTGGCTTACTTCTGTCCACGTCGGACCAATGGAATCGGCCGGAGTTAGCTGGATCGGACGTAGCTGGAGTAAAGTTCCTGAGTATATAAGCTGTGCAGCAGCGCGCATCCTGCGCCGCGGCGCTGCTGCTGAATTTTTTGGGGGGGTTTCAGAGGGTTTTCCTGAAACTCTCACGTGGCACAAGCGGCCGCGAGCCACTGATCTGCGCGGCCGCGAGGGATCTTTGGCGGCCGTCGGCGTCGGCGCGCGTTAGCCTTGAGCTAGGGCCGGCTGGAGCTGCAAGCCTGCATCGCATGGTGCATTGGTGGGCAGTAGGTAAATCAGAGCTGTTCACTTGATTGGCGCTGCCGCCATGGCTCTTCCTGTCTCCTAAGCCCTTCTGACGGGGTGGCAAGGCGCGATCATGATCTGAAATCCGTACTTTAGCCTGTACTTTTCAGCAGCATTGTCCTCGGCATGGGGTTAAGCAGCCAGCTTCCGCGGGCGCTGGCCGCAGCTGCCCAAAAGTTGATCCTCAAAGACCCCGCGTCTCCGCAGGCCGTTGAAAAGGGCTGGGGTTTGCTTCATCGTGCCAACCCCTTGGACAGAAACCTCACGTACCATGCTAAGTCTCAGTTTCCGAGAACCTCTGGCAAACCTGATGCAGTCTCAAGGGGCCCAAAGCTCGGTGGGCAAGCCAGCAGAGGATTTGCAACTAGCGCCGGCAGAACACCAGTGGCCGCAGATGTAGCGCCACCCCCGCCGCAGGGAGGCTCGCCTCTCAAGTCGCTGTCGTGGCTTCTATCAATTCCAGTGGGCTTTGCAGCCTACTATGCATACACGCAGTCGAAGCGGCCTCCGGTAGTGACCTCAGGTGAGCTTAGTTTTGCCTCTCGAAGTGTCTGGTGAAATGCAGGGTCTTAGCTGGAGTTGTCCTTTTTGGTTTATCGCCTCCGAGTCTGAAGATTGTATCGACCACCTTCGGTCTTCTACAAAGAGAATTCCATGTCACATTGGTAGCAAACTGGGTGCATTCTAAGGGAAGAAAGCCAGGCCACGTCTTGGTTCTCTGCCAGAAATATACGTGAACAGCCTATACTTCCCCCACGGGCTTGCTTGATCAGCCTTGTGGCCATCATGGATCACAGGCCCTTTCTTTGCTCCCAAAGCTTTGAAACTGTTTTACAACCGTTGAAACGCTGCTGATCTTCTCACAACTCAAACCTTCTCCTGCTTCCTTACTCCCCCAATATTGACCTTGATCTGAAGAAGGAGGATTGTGTGCTCAGAAACGGCCTAGACCAGTCTAGCAAGCCTATTGAAACCGGTCCTCATCTTTTAAGCAACCTGGGCACACACTCAACAATCCCTCATCTGCACATCCAGACCCTGACGCCTACTATTCTGAACTTCCAAAACTCCCGTCTTTCTAGTTGGCGACGATGCGGATCCACACGTGATCCAGAACTGGAGCGGCACGCACGAGGTGCGCCCCAAGGTGTTTTTCCAGCCCGAAACGGAGGAGGAGCTCGAGAAGATCGTGGCAGAGGCGCAGGAGACGGGCACCAAGATCCGTCCGATGGGCTCGGGGCTCTCCCCAAACGGGCTGGCGTTCCAGGAGGATGGCATGCTCAGCCTAGCGCTGCTGGACAAGGTGGGGGGATTGAACAGATTTGGGGATTTCAAAAGGTTCGGGGATTTAGCACGAAGTGGTTGTAGGGCTCTCGCCTAAGGGGCTGGCGTTCCAGGAGGATGGTATGCTCAGCCTAGCACTGCTGGACAAGGTGTGCGGATGTTTTGCAACTCTGCTGTTTGAGAGTATCTGGGATTCAGCTTGAAGGGATCATGGGGCTATCGCCCAACAGGGCTGGCGTTCCAGGAACTTGGCATTGGTCAGCCTAGCGCTGCTGGACAAGGTGGGGCGAAATTTGCAGGACCTGGGTTGCGGGATTTCAGCTGTGAAGGGGTGTGAGGTTTGAGACGCGTGTCTGAGGAGATTGAATGCTTGAGAGCTACTTCTGTGCTTCTTAACGAGGTACTTAAAATTCTTCGAGAGTCGTTGTATTAAGAGGAAACGACTCAAAAGAATCTTAACCGCTCAGCACCTGTAACATGAAATTCTGTTCGACTGGTAAAGAGATGTCGTTTTGAAAGGACAGTAAATGCAAAATGGTTGCAGAAATATTCAAAGAAGCAACAACCGATGGCCTCTGACCACTATTGCTCCTAGATATCACTCGAAATCACGACCGTATAATTCTGATACTAGCGCGGCTCTTCTCAGGTTGTGGCAGTCGATAAGGAGAAGAAGCAGGTGACGGTGCAGGCAGGAATCCGTGTGCAGCAACTAGCGGAGGCGCTCGCGGAGCACGGGCTCACTCTCGAGAACTTTGCGAGCATCCAGGAGCAGCAGGTGGGGGTTGTTGGCGGCTCTTCCAAATATTTCCTTTATAGGCTGGGTGGATTCTCGTCAAGGTCAAATGAGACTCTCGAACATGGGCGAAGAGGCCGTCGGATGTGCCGCCGCAAGTTTGAATCGAAGCTTCTCAGAAAGTAAGGTCTTCTCAGTGAACAAGTTGAAAATGAACGAGCTGAACTCCTGAAAGATTTGCATATGATCACTTCACCATGTCTTGCTACGCGAGCCATGCTTCTGGACCCGAGAAGGCATAGTGCAAAGGTGACAGTGTTAGCTTCCCATGAGCCACCACGGAACGTGACGACAGGTGATTCCTTCAGAGACAAGTGGGCAGCGTTCATTTTTCTGCGACCAGTGAGCCGAAGAATCATTGCATCCGTTGCAGAGGGGCATCTCCTATTGCCATCTGTAAACCGGGGGTGCCTGAAGCCTCCCTCCATTTCAAAAACCCACCTGGTTTTACCCCGTGCGCAGGTTGGAGGCTTCACCCAAGTCAGCGCCCACGGCACCGGCGCCCGCATCCCCACCGTCGACCAGTCAGTGGTCGCCCTCAAAGTCGTCACCCCGGCAAAAGGCACCCTCACACTCTCCGAGTCCCAAAACCCCGAGCTCTTCCGGCTGGTCCGCGTCGGCCTCGGCGGGCTCGGCATCGTCACCGAGCTGACACTGCAGTGCGTGCCGAGCCACAAGCTGGTCGAGAAGACGTGGACGGTGTCAAGGGGGGAAGCCAAGCGGAATCTTGGGAAGTGGCTGCGGGAGTACCGGCATATCCGGTACATGTGGATTCCGTACACGGACACTGTGGTGGTGGTTGCCAGCAATCCGGAGGGGAGCGAGCGGGGCTGGTTCTCGTGGCTCTGGGGCGCGGGTGAGAATTTCTTGTTGCTTCTGAAGATGTTCCAGAGTATAAGGTCTGCATGGGGCATTCAAGAGTGTCTCTAAGCCGCCACCTACTTAGGCTCCCTCAAGAATCACGATAAAACTGACTTAGTCTTACCACAGTCTTACCTTCAAGGCGAGGCTTCGAACAGACGCTGCTGTTGAGGCCGCCCAGCGTTTGCGCTCAGTCCGCTGGTCTTGTGACGGATGTTATGTCAGAATAAGGCCACGGGTTGTCTCCATAAGTTCGTGAAGGTGTCAGGCCGAGGTAGAGTCTCTCCAAGAAGGGAATCTTTTCGAAGCCTGCTCGTGAAAGCGCTTCGTTCCCTTTGAATATTGTTTCGAGGCACTTTTTTACGACGCAAACGAATTTTTCCTAGCCTGCTGCGCTTTTCAAGCCTGCAGCCGTCGGGCCAAACGCTGACCTGATAACCAAGCATCTCAGAAGTGGAGAACCACCTAAGACGTCCTGGAATCAGTACCTCTAATCTGCAAAACTCTTTTTATCGTGTTCGATTGCAGCCAATTCCGCACTGCTTGTCTTCATCCGTAGCGTCCCCTTGGACATCTTTCTTTCTCCACCTAGAAGAAGCGACGGCTCTCTACCTTCCCAAGTTTCTCGTCCCCCGTCTTCTGAATGCTTCCGTTTGGTTTGCAACCCTGTCCTCTCCTTCCCTCCGTGCAGCCAAGCCCGCGAAGCAGTACAGCGAAGACGAGCAGCTCGCGCCCGCGCGCACTCTCATGCGCGAGGTCGAGGCCACCAAGCACCCCCCCCAGGCGCCGAAGCTCCCCCCCGACGCACTCGACTCACTCACCTTCTTCGAGCTGCGCGACAAATTGCTGGCGGCGGACCCCCTGGACTGGGAGCACGTGAAGAAGGTAAACGAGGCCGAGGCGGAGTTTTGGAAGATGCGCGAGGGGTCGCGCGTCGCGTGGAGCCACGAGATACTGCAGTTCGACTGCGGGGGGCAGCAGTGGGTGCTGGAAGCGGCGTTCCCCGCGGGGACTGTGAATAAGCCCTCCGACGCGAGCATAGCGTTTATGGAGGAGGTGTTGGAACTAGTGGAGGGGGAAAAGATCGCGGCGCCGGCCCCAATCGAGCAGCGGTGGACCAAGAAGAGCGACTCGCCGATGAGCCCGGGTTACGCTCCCCCGGGCGCGCCGAAAGACTCGATCCACTCTTGGGTTGGGATCATTATGTATCTCCCGACCATGGAACTGGTGGAGCGCATGCGCATCCGAAGCGCGTTCGAGGAGTATAAGAAGAAGTGCGAGGTCGCGGTGTGGGAGAAGTACGGCGCGGTCGAGCATTGGGCGAAAGTGGAGATTCCGGAGGAGAAAGAGGATCAGAAGCGGTTGCGGGAGCGCTTTAGGCGAAAGTACCCGTTGGAAAGATATAAGGAGGCGCGGCGGGAGTTAGACCCTAAGGATCTGCTGGGGAACCGGTTGTTGAAGTTCATCTCTCAGGAAGACAAGGTGAGCAGACTCCAAAATTCTTGAAAATTGAGGGGTGTCAGGAGTTCGCGATCTTAAATCTGTACAGAATCTTTGTGTCACAGTCTCAGGGTGGGGGGTAACTAATTCTGTAGGCTTGGAGGGTCTTATTGTTATGCCCTCGTTGACAGCCTTGACTGCAGTTTCTGCCAACCTCCAATGAGTTCCCCTTCCGGACGTCTGAGCCGTCCGCTTTTCAGGGCTGTCGGTAGGGCTGTTTGCACGTTGTCGAAACAGATAAAATGTTCGACACCAGGAACTGATGCCTTACCTGCTTTCGAACTAGACCTGAGAGGAAAGCTCAGCTGTACAGTCCGGTTGGCTTCTTCCGCGATCAATGTGCTTAAAGAAGTCTCGTTCTGACCAGCACTTGACCCAGTGCTCATAGATAACCCTAGTGACAAGGACAAGTTGAGACGCACGGAAGTTCATGCGATTTGCCTTTGGCGATCCCGCTTTGCTTTTCTCACTTGAAAACCACGGACGGAACAACACTCTTGAAATATGCAGGTTGATGAATCATGACGACTGTGGCGGAACAGCAAGGGGCGCGTTCAAAGTTGTACACACGTTGGGAGGGCTGACTCACGTCAAGGAGGCTGACGGACTCGTTGTACCGTAATTTGCGACTTTGAAAATCCTGGGCAGAGCAAGAAAAAGCCGTAGTGTCTATGCACAACTGCGCGGCTTGAAGAGGGCTCGAGAACATTCTTGTTATCCGGCCCCAGCCCACGCAGTCTGACCGAGGCACAGGAGCCAGCCGAATCGTCGAGTATGATACATAACCTGAGTCAATTGGCAACTGTAAGTTAGATCATGCGGCCAATCATCTAAGAACATGATATTCTTGCCGCTCCTTCACATCTGTTGAAGATACATGCGTGCGAGCTTGCTGGAAGCCGATACTGCATGCCGGAATCTGCAAATGTTGGTGCATGCAGATGCGTCATGATCAGACGTCGACCAAATGTGAAAATTGCAATGTGCAAATACAACGTACTAGCTGTTTGTATGCCAGAGCATACGTTCGACTATATATACACCTTTGAAAGGGTTTGGCGATACATCGTGGAATCAATGTACATATCCAATTGTGACTTTTCACATACCACTGACGTTACGGATGCTGTATATCAATTAAGCGTCCTAGCTAGTGGCGCGATCGGTCATGCATGGGGAGATGCAACTGTATATTGCAGATCGAGCCAAGCGCATGTGCACCGTACTTGGTAATTCAACCAACGCGCGGCCAATGGTCTGTGTTGGAATCCAAGCAAATGGGGAAAACCGCCACGCCGCAGTGGTGCAGATAGCATTCAGTGCATATTATCATATGTACAACTCAAACAGGACAGAGGCCAGAACATGGCGCCGAGTATGTTTGCCAATTACTTTCCTGTGCTTGTTCGTTCTCGTTGTCGTATCAGTGTTGCAAGGTTGAGGTCCCAAAGCTCCACTCGGATTGGCATCTCTACTTCATAGAAAGGATTTTTGAGAACATAATCGGAGTAAAGCTCATAGATGCTTTTCAAGAGGAGATCGACCCCGGCCGCCCCCGTTTCTCCCGTGACGAAGAATTTCGTACCTGTGAAGACACCAGAAATAGAATTCCTCTCCGTTTCCTGTTGACTAACGACTTCCAGACACACGAGCAACATACACTCCACCCGGCATGCAGATTCAAACCAACGAGGGCCAGTGTAACACCCACATTAGCAGGTCATGGAATGAGAAAGTGTTACTAGGAAGCAGCACTAGCGGGTTGATAAGTTGAGCCCTTGTCAAGAATCGTGGAATCCAGACAATGCTAAACGTAGCGTTTACATTTCAGACTCCGGTGCAACCTTGCCACTCCACAAAGTATGTATTTAACTGTACCAGGTTCGATGGCACTGCGGCTCTGAAGGCCACGCCAATGTTCCTTCTTCCGCATCCGATAGCTATACTTTCCTGTGTCTTCGTGCCTCCGGGTTGAGACATAGAGCCATCCAAGCTTCTACACTCTTTGACGTGCTTTTAGAGCTTGAACACAGAACTTCTGGGAAGGATGTGCGTACCTGTTGCGGTCTGGAAGCAGTGCAAGTCAAATGTGTCGGCCTCCAGCAGCTCAATCCCAGTGCACCCCGTCACCGGCGAGAGCTGGCTGGAGATAGCGTGGAGAGAGTGCCAAACGCTGGCCAGCCGCAGACTGTCATTTGTGTCGAGCTTGGCAATGGAGCCAAAGTCCTGCAGAAGAGCAGGCCCGACCATGTTAGGCCCCCCTTCTTTCCTGCCACGGCAGAAACTTTGTTCACAACAAGCCCCAGTGCACCTTTTGGTGCTTGTATTAGTCAACCACCGGTCTCCAAACGACTCAGACGGCTGAAAGTAGGACTTGACTAACAGTTCTGCAGAGAGGTGTGAGCGGAAGGAACTTCGAACAAGCACAAGCCAAATATGAGTTACACCTGCGTTTGACGGCAACATAAATGTTTTGAAGAGCTTCTCCATCAGAGTCAGCAAACCTGCCCTTGACATGTCTGCTTCAGCAAAAACGAGCCCCTGGAGTATACACTCAAAAGGGAGTCTGAACTATCCGAGCTTGACGATTCTCCACCAACACTCTGGAAGGCATTTTCTACACTGGCAGACTCTTAAAAGCCCTTTGAGCAGCTATGCATTACAGGGAGACTTTTGTCGGCAACCAGTAGTATCATCTGATTTCCATTAACTTCTGACTCATAGTATCATCTGTTCCAGATAGTATCCTGACAACAAGCCCTGACACTCTTCGAAGCGGGCACTACTTCGTGGTTTCCTTGACACCGCTCAGTTCCTGATTGTACCACCTCTGCGCATGAGCGCTCTTGCTTGGCGAAATTGAGACTCGCAATTATTGACGATCTTCACACAATGTCATCTCAAAGCTGCTCCTCTGTTCCCATGTCAGCAAGTTCTGCAAGGGTCAGATCAAGTCTCTACCTTAAAAAGCCATGTTTCAAGCGGCATATCGAAACTGCTGCTGGAGGAAATCTGACGTGCATTGGTGGTCAGAAGAAACTTTGCAGCTTTCAAGAAGAGCAAGAGGATCCCACCTTGTAATATATCAGGCCGCCTGACTTGTTGATCACAAAGATATTGTAAATCGTGGACATTTTTCAGGTGCATTCCTGGGCCTGCCTGCACCTACAGATAATCAGGGCACAGCTCACAGGCTTGGATACTTAAGTTTCTTCGATAAGTGGTAGCTGCAATTCTAATGAGTTTTAAAATGTTTCCCTCTCCCGCCTGGCGCCAAAGTCCAATCCTTGCCTTTCTACAGGTTTGTAGTACAGGGACTCAAATGCACAGCTTTAGGACGGGCTTCAGTGATGTACCAAGGATACCTTGTAAATCACCAGGCTGCATCAGCCGCCCACCACTCCCTTGCTTTCATGCTTTCTCCTTGTGCATTCTGAAGAGTATAGCTAGCTCCCCGGCCAAGCCCTGTTGCGCTCAACTTGATAGTATATATATTTACTAGTGGTCCCCTCAGCCATGTGTCCTGGTTAGCTCAGTTGGCTAGAGCGCAAGGCTGTTAACCTTGAGGTCGCTGGTTCGACCCCAGCACCAGGAGACTTCTGCGAAACTTTTGCCGCCGCGATCGACCTCTTTTGAAGGAACTTTTGCCCGAGTGTTCCGTCACTGGGAAAGGCCGCCCGACGGGGACGAATGGAACCCGCCCTAATTGCGCTAGCTTTCGAAGTTTATTAGGGACACAATTCGCCATGCCATGCACTGTAAGAGATGAAACCAACACATCGATCCATGCCAACAAAGCTAGGGCCGCCAGTAATGCATGAGGGCCACGGCGCGCGAGCGATCTTGGACATCCTCTCGGACATTTTGCCGTTGCAATTTTTAGTTGAAGCAATATCATAAGATCAGGAATCAACGTTGTGCAAGGGCTTTGTAACCACTGAGGTGGGTCGGTCTATGGCATGCATGTGGAGGAGACCACGAATCATGGTCCTGTGGTTTCGGCGACATACGATAAGCATTTTCACTTTCTCATCGAGTCGACAAGCGAAAGCAATTGAAAAAGTCGCGCGTGTCACAGGAAGTCTTGCGTAAATATTTGCTTTTCCATATGACATATGAGAGCATTCTCCAGACCTCATTGTAACGCCTCGGACAAATTCCAAGCTAGTTGGTCTTGTGGACGTCTTTTGATGGCTCCAAGCTGAAACCATCCTTGGTTTTCTTTGTTTTTCTTGGGGGCTCGCACACGAACGATCGGAATCTTGGGGGTTGGCACCAGAATAAATACAAGAGGGAAATATCGATGGCGCATGAAGGTCTTAACTTTGTTTTTCACACTGTACTTCGCCTAACTTGCAGACACCTCCACTTGACTTTTGACACCAGACTGAATCTTCCGTGTATCAGTTTTTCACGGTCTTATCGTTCACGAGCGGCTGACAAGAGACGGCGCAACACCTCGAGAAGCGAGTAACGACTGCTTCGCTTTGCCATCCCCGGGCGTGACAGCCCCCCCGGGGCTTGGAACGCTTTCTCTCCGATCCGTTCGACCCGGTTGCGAACCGGACCCTTTTCGACTTTGAAGCTCCTTTACCGAGGCCCGCATGTTGAACCCCCTCGTGGCTTCCAGCGTATCCGATGCAGCCTTCGTATACATCTTCGCGTTGAGCCGGTTGGCTCGTTTGGCAAGGGCTGAGCTCTGCTCCAGAACCTGTCGAAGAACACTGCTTAGATTTAGTGTTTTGCACGTGATTCGAACGGAGGATGTTAGAAAGAGGATGGGCTATGCTGAACGAGAAGAAGGATCAGGGTCCTTTTATCATCTTCGACTGTGTACAACGTGTCTCCATCTACTGTAACAAGTTCAACGCCAAAACCAATACGTTGGACCAGCTTCGGCACGTCGGTGCACCTTTGGCTGGCCGTCGGCGCCACGAACGGAGAAGATATGTCCACGTTGTGGACAACAGAATTGCAGGTACGTCGAATGCATCGATAAAAATGACTCTCGGGCTTTTTTCACTCAAAAATGTTCACAGACATTGCAGCCTTGTCCTTCGAACGGCCCCCAGAGAATACTCAGTTCTCTATGCGGGCGCGGTGGGCAACTTGGGAACGAAAGGACGGCTTGAAACGCCTTTGACAAATGAGACACTTCCGTCAGCTCCAAGGTCTCGTCTCGTTGTTTGTCAAGCATGACAAGAGCCAAACAATCACTCGATGTCGGGCTTTACATCCTCGTGAGAAAGTCATGAGGAAGCGGACTCCCGCCTTGCTTCACAGCCTTTCACGGGCGCGCTTTTTGCAGCCGACCAGCCACCACTCAATCTTATAAGTCCACCACCTTGCTTGCTTTACAAACGCAGAAACGCCTCCGTCCAGCACTTTACGAACCGCACTCCAAGAGCGCCTTGCGGGCGCTCAGCCGAGTCCCATTCGTCTCTGATTGCCCCGCTTACCTGGTTGAACTCCTCGGTCTGCTTTTTGATGTCCGCCAATAGCGCGTCCTTTTCCGCACGCTTTACCGTCAGCCCCCTCTCGAGCGCCTCCAGCTTTGGTTCCACGTGGGCCAGCTCTTTGTCCAGGCGCGCAATCTCTTCCGTGTCTGCCGCGATCTGCTCTTTGGCAAGCCTGTTCTTTTCCTGTAACAAAACACGAATCATCAGGGCCGAGAAGAATGCTGCAAGCACCGTGGTTTTTGCGACCGCTTGAGGCGCCGTAATCTTAAGAGCTCGGCGCTCTATGCCATCATGTGGCCACTCAAAAGCCCCCTACGGAGCCCTCACAATAGTAACTGGGAAAAGACTGAAATGGTAGATTATTACTCATGTACCAAAGCCCTTGTTTGGGTTGAATCTTGCCATGCCAAAAGGAGGTCGAAATTCTGGTCAAGAAGAAGATGCTTGACTTTGTTCCGAACTCAAAGAGCAGTCAAGACTTCATCAATTTCGAGATACTACATTCTGAAGGAAAAGCAGCCGACATGTATGAGCACGATTTGAGCGGATGAAATGAAGGTACCTTGGGCCTCAAACACTGAGGCCGCCTTCCAATCGCTCAAGCGCAACGGCTCAATGCGGTAAACCACTTTCTTTAAAGTCTAGGCCAATCGTTTCCTTGCTTCTTACTTGGGGTTTACGCACAGTGAGTAGAAACTGCATATCTTGATTAAGATCGCTGACTGCGCAATTAACAATCAAGACGCTCCTGCTTCATTATGAGGCTGCCTATGCTTGCTCAGTTCCTCACCTGTAAATGTGCCATCAGCTGGTCTAGATTCTTGATCCCCCTCGACACTGCATTCGGGTCTCGGTTCATGATGGAGTCTGCCCCGGGCTTCTTGGTCGCCTTTTTGCTCCCTGTGCTGCTAGCTGCGCTGGCTCTGCTGTCAGAGCGACCAGAAAAGCCGGCCGCCTGCGACGAAAGGGCCCGGGAGCTGCGGGGCCTGCTGACAGCCTTAGGGGTGCCCCCACTGGAGCTGGCCATATTGCTATGACAGCTTTGAAAGTTGCGTAAGTATGAAAGCTTTTAGAGATGCGTAAGTATGTTGGTGATGTATTACTTCGTGCCTCCTTGAGTCGCACCACGAATGCTTAGTACAGACCTGGAGGGATGCTGCGAGAGGGAGTGAAAGAGCTCAGGTAGGAGTGAAATCTCTAATTTGTCGCAGAAGATTTGGAGTACACTGTAATGAGAGGGTGACAAGAGCTGCTCGTTGAGGTTGCTTTGTCTACTAGTATAAGATCGGCACCGAGGAGCTGCCTGTTAGAGCGCTCTTGATCAAACTGAGAGTCTATGCATGGAGCACAAGGACGTGGGGCTTGCCTCAAAGATTGAAAGCTTTTGTATCTCTTTCCCAATCCGGAAATTCAAGGCTGAGCAGAATGAAGAGCTCGAATGAGCTGTCCCGTGAGAGTCAATGTTTGCAAGAACGTACGAGTGAGAAATTAGTTTTGCTGCAGCTCAGGCCAAGCGCCAGCTTCAACGTACATGGCACCTTGCCACATCTTGCACAGGGGATAGCGAGAGATCTGACAAAATATGTGTGAGGGGGGCAGGCTCTGATGTCCAGTTATGCGTGACAGGCGCAGACGTCAGCCGCACTAGTTTCTTGCGTTATTAGATTTGAGTTGTGGAGCAGGCTGAGCTTCAGCCTGGCTTCAGCTGAATATTGGACCATTTTGCGCGCGCATCTTAATCAGAGCCTTTTGAAGCCGTCGATATCCCAACGAGACGCCCTTTTGCCGTGGATCTTCGAGCTGGCTAGGCGGCCCTTCTCGCAGCCTGCTCAGAATGGCCACTCGGGAAAAGTTCCTTGTGAACGTCGTGGTGAATGTGAAGGGCGCCAAGAAGGTCATGGCGTCCAAGAAGAAGCAGAAGATCAGCGGCGTGGCCTCCACGAAGGCTACAAAAGCATCGCAGGGTCCTCGCGCGAAGAAACCAAAGCTGTCCAACCTGGAACCTGAGTTTGCGCTAGATCCGGCTGAAGCTGAGCATTCAGGACGGCAGGTTGGACAGCCGGGCCAGTCGTATGAGCTGGAGAACGGCTCGCATCCTTACGGGGTGCGGCCGATGGGGAACATGTACTTTGAGAAGGCGGAGGTGAATGTGAGGGATGCTGGGCTGGGAGAACTGTGCAATTTGAGTGACGAGCAGGTGTTGGATATTCTGGGGAGGCTGGACTCTAAGGACCTTAGTAGAGTGGCACAGGTGAGCGATGTGATGGTGGTAGTGGTGGTAATGGCTACGGTAGTTGTCTGAGAGGTGGCATTCACAGCGACATTTGTCTGATGGTCTTTCACACCGACATGTTTGCAGCATTACGTCTGCAAATCAGCAGGGTGAAAATCGAATATTTGAAGATGAGAGAACGGGGACCATTGGCGTCGATATGCAGCCCATCTGGCTGAAAAGGTCAGCTTCGCTGGTGGACAGCTTTCCTAATAATTGTGGGGGCGCCTCCAAGGTTTTCATAACCTCCTGTCAAAACTGAATGAACGCTGAGAACCCTGATCTGTGTCAAATTTCGCCCCCTTTCATTGATCCCAGCTCTTGTTTCCCAGGTTAGCAAGTCGCTGTACGTTTTTGCCCATCACGACGAGCTCTGGCGGGCGCTCACCCTACAAGAGTTCAGCGGGGGTTTTAGCTACGCCCCAGAAGGCTGGAAGCAAACGTTTGTAACACACCTACTTAACGCCACCGCAAACCCTAACCCTAATACAAGCAGCAGGCCCCAGTTGCATTCTCTGCAACAAGACCCTCCAGCGAACGGGGCTAGGCAATCAGGGAAAGAGGAAAGAAGTCTGCAGGCAAGCGCTTTAGGGACAGCAATTGCTGTACATAAACCGCTGCAAGTATCAGGGTTCTATTCAGATTACCTCTTCCAGTCCTGGCTGTGTGCTAGCATCTCTGTCAAGCAAGAGTGGTTAGAGCGAAGCACGGTGCCCCGTAGAAGCAACCTCTCACTCCAGCAGTTCATCGACGATTTTGAGCGACCCAATCGACCTGTGATCATCACTGATGTTGTAAAGGAGTGGCCGGCGTTTCAGAAGTGGGACCGGGAGTATCTGCTGAAAGCGGTGGGGGATGAGAAGTTTGCATGCGGGCCGGTAGAGTTTACGCTGGACGAGTATCATGCATACGGGGACTGGGCGAGGGAGGAGCGGCCTCTGTACTTGTTTGACAGGTACGTGCTCTGTTCTCAGTAGGCCTTTGTTCTGCGTTGGATGTCAGATTTCCTTCCACGTCATGATCAATTTGCCCCGTATCTTTCTTCCAGAACCTGGGAAACCGAACTCAAGGAACGTCCGTTTCATTTCGTTGACGATGCTCTGTTGTTGGGGGTGGTCTTTGAGAACTCCTTCTGTTCTGCAGTCTCTGCAGAGTACGTTGTGGGTTTGCGCATCCAAGTTGTGTCAAGCACAGAGCGTCAAGCGCCTCAACATTGTGGACCTTTACATGATCGTGCTAATGCGCCCCGCTGCTTTGCACAGTCAGCATCAGGCACCCAATCTTACGCTGCAACAATTCCCTTTGAGCCAGTTCTGATAGATTCTGGTCGCATTAATGGCAAAACAAGACAGGTTTCCAGGTTGCGCCTTTCCTTTTCTCCTAAAGAAGCGCGGGCTCTAAATCCTTTCTCAAATTCCTTGTGATCGTGCAGCAAGTTCGGTGAAAAGGTCCCCCAATTGGTGGCGGACTACGAGGTTCCCGAGTATTTCCGGGAGGATCTGTTTGGTTTGCTGGGCGACAAGCGGCCCGACTTCCGGTGGCTCATCATTGGGCCAGCACGATCCGGCAGCTCCTGGGTGAGCCTCTCGTAGGATGCTCAAGATCGGCTCTCCAACCATGTTCTGACCTTGGGAGGTGTAAGCCACAAATTAGGTAGAGCCGATTCATCCCGTCTGACACGCCGGGATTTGGAAATCCAATTGAACAATTGGAAAAGGCTGCCAGAGGAGTTGGACATTCCTGGTTTTGGAGACGATTTGGCGCACAGCCTGAAGTTAGCTTGCTCCATCCCGCATCTGCCCCTTACAAGTCCACTCTCTTCCGGTTGACACTATTTGCTTTGTCTTTCCCTGGATGGACTCTATCACTCTTTGCTTCTCGATGAAAATGATCGATCAACGGAGGAGACTACGAAACGCCAAGCTAGAGCGTTTAGTATTCTTCATTCAGCCGCCACACGTTGCGTTCGTCTCACTTCACGCGGTCCTCCTGCAGCACATCGATCCAAACTCCACCTCCGCTTGGAACGCCGTCATCAGGGGGTCAAAGAAGTGGATTCTGTACCCCCCCAACATGACGCCGCCCGGCGTGCGCCCCAGCGCGGACGGCGCTGACGTGGTCGCGCCGGTGTCCATTGCCGAGTGGTTCATGAACTTTTATGACGAGACGAGGTGAGTGTAAGCCGTGGGTTCGGGTGTTCTGACGGCGTCGGTATACTTCCCCAAAAAGTTTTGCTCGTTCATGCCTGGAGAGCGGCGACCTGCCTTTTTGAAGTCGAGTCAGGAGTACGGATGATGGATCTGGGCCATCAGAGTCGTGGACTCGATCGGTGACACCTGCACTAGTTGTCGGAAGTCGCCTGGACTCAACCCGCAATTTGCCCCAAGGCCTTGCTTGTCCTTGGATAGGGATGACCCACAAAACCTTTCTCGTCCAGAACAACGAAAGAAGAATTGTACAGAGAGTGTCAACATGGCTCTCACTTTCTCCTTCGCAGACAGGGCGACGCCATGCGACCCCTCGAGTGCATATGCCGAGCGGGCGAGGTGCTCTTCGTCCCACGTGGCTGGTGGCACACCGTAATCAATCTGGAGGAGTCGGTGGCTGTAACGCAGGTGAGACAGCAGCATACTCTCTTCCGTCGAGAAAAACTGCGTAGCAAACGGAATAGTTGGCGTTTATGAGGTCTGCATGCGGCCAGCGACGGTAAAGAGCTCTTTCTGTGGGTCGGAATGATCGAGGCAATCTGTGAGAGCAGAAATTGCGGCAATAGGCGCATATGATGCGTCATTTCTCTTGGGAGCTCCTTCACTATCTTTGGCAGTCATGAGTTACGACTTTCTGACTCAGGTTTTGAGTCTGTCGGACTCGTCTCGTTCTAGTACTCCAGAACCCTGGTGCTCTTTACACTGTCCTTCCGACAATCCCAGTGTCTAACGAAAGCTGGCGGCCTCGCTCGCATACATGCCGACACGTGGTCGCCTTACTCGCCTTGCTGACGCCACCTCCCCCTTGCAGAACTACGTCAGCAGGCGCAACATCCTGGAGACCCTGTCGTTCCTCGCGCGGCCGAATGCCAAGGATCTGGTGTCTGGGACGCGAGACAGGGAGAGCCTGCACGGGGCCTTCAAAGCAGCGTTTGAGAACAAGTTTCCGGGTAAGAGTGCGCCTGCTTACCGTTGAAAGCTTCCACCTTGGACTTCCTACAAGGTCTCTTAGGGCTCTCCTATTATTGATTCGTGGGGGTCGGATGGCTTGGAGAAGCAAGGGATCATTTCAAGTTTGCCTGCATGTTTGCGAGACAGGGTTCAGTGCGAACGGTTCTGTGGTTGGATCAATTACGGGAAGAAAGAGTGAAGGGCAGTTTTTGCAGACCTTCACTTTCAAGCCGTTTTGTGGGCCGCCAGCATTCGAATTGATTTTCTTTCGGGCCTGTGCCTGTTCAGTTCTCGTTCAGCCTTGGAAGGTAGAGGATTCGATATGAGATTTCAGGAACGGTGAAATGGGGAGCTGGTTCTATCATTGGATATGCACGTTCGGTCCTTACAGGCCCCTGCAGCTGCTTTTTCACCTGCGTTAACATCAGTCACGGGCCCACTTGACAGAATTCAGTGTCTTCTGGGTTTTGAGAAGTTCTGAACTTTTCATGTTCTCTCTGTAAGGGTCATCTGAAGGACGTCTTACACGATGTCCTGTGCAGGGGAGTTGGAACGTCTCGAAGCGGAGGCTGCCGCCGAGAAGGCGAGGAAAGAACGAAAGAAGTCGTTTTGGGAGTCCGTCACAGACGCAGGCGCGCCGGCGTTCAGTCTTGGGACGGCGCTCGCAGGGGCGACCAGTGAAGAGAAGCCTGCCGCTGCAACCGCCGATCCTTGTCCAGGCGGCTTCAAGTTTAACTTCGGTCCGTTGAGTTGACAACAGCAGTGAACGCATGAGTTGCCCTCGATACATGGGTCTGACTTTGCACGCACAGTTCTAAGTTCCGTCAATGGCCGTATGAGTCGACTCTTCTGCAAAGGCAGCCGAAAGCGAACAGGAAACGTCTGTAATCCCATGCGCAAGCAACAACCGTATGGTCGATCTGTCAGCATCGAGTGGATGTACGTTGAGAGAGCGCGTTATGCAACTTGGCGGCTCTTGGTGCAAGCCTACTGACGAGAGCACATTATCATTCGGTCGTAGAATATATGCGTGCTTCATGCATTCCGTTGGAATATTTTGATGCAATGATCAATCATGCTGAATATACCTAGCTCAAGGTCTACACGTACATATACATGTTGCTGGTTTGCATGAGCTCGAACTCAGCTCCGTGCGGTCAGCTAGCCAGATCGAGAGTTTCCGTATGCATCAATCACGCGGCATCCGATCGACCGGACAATTGCGCAACGTGCATATCTAAGCAGTGCCGTGAGTCTGGCCACATGTAGATTGAGTGCATGCTACGGACTGTTGTTCATTGCAAGCTTGCTAGATCTAGATCATGTTGTCCATGGTATACGTGATCGACTCAGAATAACTCAGTGACACGCGCATGACTGAGTGACTTCCATCGCAAGCTAATTGGGCGCTAGCTGTGGGCGCAGACATCAAGCATGACCATGCAGACTACGCGTATGCACGGTTTTACTTGCACATTTGGATCAAACCTGTGCTAACATAGAGACGGTATAAGCTGACTATTCGCGTGCATAAAGCTTGAAGATGCAGGTCACACAACGCGCTGTGTATGGCTCTCGACTCCGTCTGATTGCGGCGTTTGGACGCCGTCCCCCGTCCGATTGTAGATGTCCCGCCGCGGGAAAACCGCCGCCAGCAGTGCCTGCATCCGTCAGCAAAAGGATCGTCAGCATATGACGAGAGGGAAAACCTGGCCCTTTCTTTTCAATTCTGGGTTTGTCAACTCTTACGTGATTCCAAAGGAGTCCCCTAATGCGTGCGGGGCATAATGCATGGAGTTGCATCTTCATCCTCGCCCAGCTTGCTTCGAAGCTACCTCTGAAGACATAAACTTCTAATTTGCAGACGTGGATACCAGTGTCGGCGTCGTAACGTCAGCACTCGTCCAAGAACAGAGCAAATGCTTTGAAAAGCTCCAATCAGCTTCGCTAATGGTCGCTCTTTTCGTTCTGCATCGGCATTCATTGCGGGGTCCATCGACGGACCTCAGAAACAAAAGCTTTTCAACAAACAGAGGAGAGAAAGAGCGAAAAAGAAGATCGAAGGATGATAACTGAGAATCAAGGGTCAGCGAGTATCTCGCCTCTTGCTCGCTCTCCGGAATAAGGTTGAGATACGGCCGCAAAGCGCGACGCCGGTTGACGAAGTAGTTGGTCGTCTTCTGCATGCTGCCCGGGTTGAAACGGTACCAGTAAACCGGGTCCGATAGCACGTCGACCTGACGCCAAAGACGAAATTGGTTTTGATTGCCCGGTTGAAAGACCAGTTCGTATTGCGGAACACAGTTGATTTGCACGCACGAGGGGCTGAGAACAAGGAGACGTTAAAGCAGGATCGCACCGGATGACGAAGCTCAGGAGGCGACGGATTATTAAGGTGATCAGCGACTGCATTCAGCTATCCACCTCTCCGCTTCTGCAGATACCCCCAAAACGCACTTTCGAGTCTCACGTACGTCAGCAGAAGGATCACACCGGACGAGGTTTGACAAGTTGCAAACCGGTTCCAGCCATTCCATCTTGAGAGCACCAGTTGAAGCCTCACCCGAAACCCCCGCAGGGTGGCGTTTGCATACATCTCCCAGTCCTCGTACCCAATCCCGTAGTCTTCCGTGTACCCCCCAATTTCGAAAAAGGAAGACTTGCGCACGAAGCAATTGGCGTCGCCGAAGCAGTTCTTGAACGCGCCCACGTCGCTGCTGCCCCCCAGGAACAAATACGACGGCCGATCCTCTGCAAAGATGGGGAACTTTGGTTTTGGTTTTCCTAATACATTCGCTTTCAAAAGTAATTGCTTGAATATCTCCTATTCTGTGTACCTCTTGCTTAAAGATGTACCAACTTGCTTGGATCCAGATCCTGATATTTCTGATGCTGCTTGACGACTCTCTCCGTTCGTTGGAGGTCTTTCCCCTGAGCTACTAATAGGCTAGAGTCGTTGGACTGTCCGCCGGCGGAACTCTACTTCGATGGTCAGATTGGATTGCCGTACTCTTGATTCAACTATGCAACCCTCTCTCGATGACTCCCGAATAATCTCTGCGGGTAAAGCGGCTTATTGAGACCGCTCAGAGCTTTTGCAAAGCAGAGCCCCAAGCTCTCCGCTCAGCTTTCCGCACACTGCAAGGCGGAGATTCCGCTCACTTTCGGACGGCGGCCGTGCGTCCGCGGACCAGAAGAAGTCGACGAAGCTGGTCATGACGTCAGCGCCGCCCCACTCCATGGCCCGCACGTACGTGCTGACCTCATGCGGCTTCGCCCAGTTGTCGTCGTCCATGAACAGAATGTACTTCCCTGCGGGACGCCACGTGTTTGACCTCAGTGCGACGTTACTCGCAATGAGAGCCATCTTTGCGAATCCTAGGGTCACGACTTGATTATGCAACCCCCCAGAACCTGGGGCTGTGCTAAATCGGCTACAGAATGCTCCTAAAAGGGCAAGTTCACATGGTCGAGGGGCAGACACATAAGTTAACCGTTGTTCTCAAGCCTGTGCCTGGATCCTGGCCAGATTGCAAGGAACTCGTAGATTTGACCAGTGGTCTGGAGTCAATCGGAATGGCAAGAACTCGAATTGCGGAGACAAGGGAGGCAAAGACTCGCTTTATTCTCCTTTAGAAGTCGTTCAAACACTCAATAAGATATCAGAGAAGATGGTCAGCTGGGAAGAGCAAACCTAGCATGAATCTCTAGAGGCCTACCTTTCGCAAGTCGCGCGCCCGCGTTCCGCGCCGCGCCTAGGTACGCGTTCGCCTGCCTATAGACCCTCCAACCCCGCGACTGGAATACGGGTTCTATCTCGTCCAGAAACCGGATGGCGTCTTCTTGCGTGCTCCCGTCGTCGACTAAAACGACCTCGAAACTCTCCGCCGGGTAATCCTGCGCCTCTAGTGACTCGATCGCCTGAAAAAGGCAGGGGCGTTATTACATCCGCGAAGGAAGTGAGGAATGGTCTTTTTAAAGCGATTGATTCGAGCTCTTGTTTCGACCTTACCCGCGTGGGCATCTTTCAAGGACAGTGGCGTTCGAGACCTTTTTGAAGCCTATGGAGGATTCTCAAAAAGCAAAGCAAAGTTGATGAATCATCCTTTTGAATGTGCATTTTCATTCTGAGGACCATACCCGTTCGTCGTATCAAAATTTTGAGAACAGACGACTCGCTTCATCCAGAAGGCACGGCACAGGCCACTTTCCAGGAAGTAATTCTCAGCCTCCAGCAACCAAATCTTGAACGATCTCGGCAGATCCCCCCGGGCCAATCTCACCTGTTTGCAAAGGGCAGGCCGGTTGAAGTGCGTCATCACCACCGAGACTAACGGCCGGTCCTTTCCGGCCAGGTTTGCCTCTAACCGCGCCCATCGCTCGTCGTCCCTGGCGCGCGTCGCGGCCGCGGTACGCGCGTGCCACGTCATCCAGGCGTTCTCGTTCGCGGCCGCGTCGACGGCCGGGCGCGCGGGCCGGACGCCGTCCAAAAGGGCGCGTGACAGGCGGTCGACCAGGCTCTTTAACCGAGGGGAAAGAGACGTGGGTAAGTGTGCGTCGACTGACTGATCCCTCGCTCGCAAGGGTAGGAATTTGAGAAGAATGCGACGAGTGATGATTCGATTTCCTCAGCTTCGATCTTTGCTTGGAGCGCGAAACTTCAGTCCATAAAGCGGAAGACTGGCCGGATTCAAGCAATTTTCTTCCGATGCAACTGTTCAGCTTGCACAGCATATATCCAGAAGCCACGACGCGCTCTCCTCTTTTGCAGGCACCCTCGGCTCTTTCTGGAAGATGGATAAGATTTCTCAAACCTATTTAGGACGTACCTGCACTGTCGGCTCGAACAGCGCGTGCGGCCGGTCACTGGGGTGTATTAAGTCGCTGATGCCGCCCACGTCAGCAGCAACGAAGGGGATCCCCAGCTCCGCGCACTGCGAGAACGAAGGAGCTGATTCGACACCTTCGCTTCTAAATCAGTCACTTGGGAGATGCTCGTAGATTAGGACCTTTCTCTGTGCGTCGAGAAGACGTGATTTGCTTTTGTGCCCAGCGAAGAGGCTTTGATTGCGAGAGTCCGAGAAGGCGTACTTTTTCAAGGTCCCTTTCAGTTGCTGACGAACAGACGAAAAGAGTGACCGCCTTGCGCTCTTCGCCTTTTCTCTGAAACTACATCCGTTCACTTATTGACTGACAGTTTTAGCAGAGGTTTTCGGCTCTCACCTCATAAACAGTGTACGGTGAGTTCTCCACTTTGGACGGCATCACCGCCAGCCTTCCCGGCCCCCGCAAATATTCTTTCGCCTCCAGGGGGTCCATTCGCGTCACAATCTTCCAGGGAAGAGCCCCCCACCGCCGCGCCCGCCGCTGGACGTACTCTACCCCCCACTCGGCCTCAATGATCGCGCTACGGCCCAGAAACGTGACCCGCTCTAGTTTCGAGAGGACTTCCGCTCGCTGCGCCCCGCTCAGTTGCATCCGAATGCTCCGGGCTTCATCTGCCTTGACTATGCGCTGATGGGCTGTTGCTTGCGTCTCGTTGTTAACCCTAGCAACTGCACTCTCTGTTAAAGGCGTCCCCACGACTTGCCCTTTACTTCGGTCTCCGCTTTCCCCTTCATCGGCTTCTTTGGGCGATTCCAAAACCTCCAGAGACCCATCACCGATCTCGGTAAAACCCCCCAGAATCTCGTCGATCGCGTCGCAGAAAGTGACGGCGCCCTTGCGCGTTTCGAGCCGGCCAAAGAAGACCAGCTCGAAGACAGTCAACGAACTTCTCGGCTTCCCCCGGGTGTGGTCGGGGCTCCAGTCAGTCTTCGGCAGCAGATTGGGTTGCACGAATGTCCGTTCCAGGTCTAGTTGCCAACCCTCGCTTTCCATCCACTGCGCAGGCAAGCACCCGGTCATCACTTGGGGGCCGAAGCGTATGGCGATACACTTGCGAGACTATTTCGACTTTTGGCAAGGGATTGATGGCGTGCGGTCCTACATATCGCTAGTATCCGCTTTGCCAATGACACTTAATCTCGACAATGTTCGCGGAGACTGAGCCGGCCTAGAAAGGGGCAGAAGCGCAACCTCAATAATGGGTGTGACCGAAACACGACCGCCTTTATCGACGGTGAAAAGTACAGGTCGTTGCCGTCATCTCCCCAGTCATTTCTCATAGGATACAGTGACTCCTCGCGACTGGAAGCGCCCAAAAGAGTACCGGAAACGAACGGACAGCTTCGACGGAAGCGTCAGACGGAAGGCGACTACGAAACGCAGCGGAATGGAGCGGAACGCGGAGCGAGCGAAGTTTGCCCCCACCTGCAGTATGTACTGACTGGGCGCGACCACGTAGTCCGCGAGCGCCACCGCGCGCTGCTCCATAAAATTGCCCTCCAAGCTGCGGACAGCGGTAATGGGTTCGCCGTTACCGGCCTTCTTCGCCCAGAAGCTCGGCCCGTGCACACCCACAACTAGAGCGGTGCCCTTGAGCGCAAGGCCCTGTTTCTTGGCGAGGACGGAGTAGTAGCCGGCGCCCTGGGAGAGTTGAATGGGGGCAGTCTTGGGAACAGGGCCTCTCTATTTTTTTGTCGCTAGGATCCATTTTGTATGATCTACTTCGTTATAACCAGCGGAAAGTTATGGAATTTGAAGACTCTGATATCGAAGTACGAAGCAGAAAGACGGTGTGCGATGTTGGCGCCTTTGCTTTCACACAAAGGTGACGTCACGTGTGACGTCGGTCACACGTGTACGGCCGCACCTGATAGTCCGGGAAGTGCACGACGTCGAAGCTCCGCTCCCGCAGGAACCGCAGCACTTCGTGCGATTCGATCAGCGCTTTCGGCACGTGATGCGTCCCGGGGGGGGGGCGCTGTAGCCCTAGCAAGGCGATCCCGGCTTTCGCATAGTGCAAAACCCACTCCTGGAAAGTGCCGCGCATCGAGACCTTCCCCATGGTGAAGAGAATGGTCACCTGCGAACGAGAGGAGGGTGATGAAAATTGCTGATGGAATTACGGTTCGCTTTGCTGACGGGTTGGTCATTTGTCTGCTTTGGTGAGATGTGAGGTTCTCAGGACCCAGAGTCAAGTGATAAAGGAAAGGAGACGCTTTGTAATGCAGCGAAGTTGGGAGATTTGCATAGCACTCTGCGTCGTATTGTGGAGACGAGAAACGGCGTAGGAAAGCCCATCTAATTTCCCCGATGCCACTGAATACTTCCATTTGCCGCGTCAATCAGAGTTGTGCTGAGACATAACTAGTCGAGATCCTCCGACAAGTATGAAGGTATCCAGGCTTCCGGCAATTTCACATCAAAATCTAGAAGATGGCAACTTTTTTCTCCGAGCAGGACGATTGCCGGCATTCAAATCTGCAAAACAAGCCCACCTGATGACCCCGCTCGGCGAGGCTGTAAGCCATCGTCGTAAACGCTGTTCCAATGCCGCCGTTTGTGATCGGCCCAGCCACCTCGTTCGTCACAAAGCATACTTGCAACTTTCGATCGAGTTCTTTGACAATCCCCTTCTCTTCTATGCTCGAAAACCCTCTGTATTTGGCAGCCCCCTGTTTGGCCTGGCTGCAATCAACACCGCCGTAGCCTGCTTTGCAAACGCACCGCCTGCTTATGCACCGACCCTGATTGGAACAGTCGTTTGAGCAAGCGGTTGATCCTAGACTCCTATGATTTTCTTCTGACGCATTGTGAGCGTTAGCATCCTCCTCTCTTATCAAGTTCTGATCCGAGTGTAAAGATCTGCTGGTGACATCAGTATCCGTTGACGAACTCGCAGTTGCCTCAACAGTTGACACTTTGCTGACGCTTCCGTTCCCTTTGCTTTGAGTGGCATCCGAGTCTTCCCCAGTGCCGTTTTGCAGCTGGCCACTTATGGAGCCCCAGCGCCATAAGCGGGCGTTCATTTTGTCCATTGTCCGTACCGCAGCCCCTATAAGCACCTTGTAGCGAGCGATATCCGCCGCCCGCTTATCGTCCTCCGCAAACTTGTCCGTAACTTCTGAGCCTGGCGACACATCCGTGATTACCCCGGTCATACTTTTCTCGACTTCCTTTGACTTCTCTTCCAGCGTGCTTGCGTCGAGCTCAGAGGTTGACTTGTTTTCCGGTGCTGCTGTCTCCCTAGCTGTCCCTAACAACTCGCTATGTGAATGAGGGTTAGTGTTAACCTGCGGCCGTTTGAGTCTGTCAAACCCCAGGAGGGCTGCCGCTGCAACCCGCCCGTAACCTGGGTGGGCGTCCCCAAGCAACCCACTTTCTAACCCACTATCTAACCCACTTTTTAGACCACTATCAAACCCACTGCCTTGACCACTCTTAAACTCGACCTGAGCTGTACTTTTTGACTCATCGTGGACCCTGACTGAAAGAGGGTCCGCCAGAGCAAGACGTGGGTTCCCTGCTTCAACCCCAAACGTACCACTTGCACCATCAGACAAAAGGCTCTCAGTATTCACTGAGCTGATGACTTGCGGTCTCGCTCTCGTGCCTTTGCTGTCGGTGCACTCAACCAGTGGTGCCAGCATTAGAAGCAGGCAAGCAGCCCACGAGCCGAGCACCGCTGGCGAGGACCTTGCTCTGCTTTGTGCCATGACGTTGCGCCGCGCGTTACGCGGTGGGAAGCTTTAACGAGCTACTGCGGCATTGGTGCTTGGCACTGCTGAGCTATGGTACAAGTTTGTCATCTGAGGTAAGGCGAGCAATCTTTGGCTCATTCAACATTGTCCATACTGCCCAGGCAGCCGAGGGGCAGCCTCTTTCATGTGTGCAGTATAGCATAGTTTCCAGTTTGGAGCTTGTCAACCAGAGTGCCTTGCCATTTGCAGGTTGGTCTTTGCGCAGGGTTGCTGCTTATGCCACAAGTGCTATCGTCTAAGTTGTCCGAGCTTCCTTCTGGTGATCAGGTTGTTAAATGCGTCGTTCGTACGACCTATAGGCTTGCTGAAGCACTACTGACGTCCAAAAGTACGATACACCAATGATATTAGTAGCACCGTAGCTGCATTAGGTGCTCTGAAATCAAAGGGCAATGACTCCATTCCCTTACACTTCACCTTCCTTCTTGGTACCAACCGCTGCACGATACGGGCTCGCTAGCATAAACGTTTATCGGACGGTTTGTAAGCGCCAATCGCTCCTCGAGGCGAACCCTGCAAAGCTGCTCCGCCGGCCGCGTCGCTGCCGGGCCGCGCGGCACTGACCTTGAAAGCCCACTTGAAACTTGAAAGAACTTGAATTAAGGGTGTCGGAAATTGGAACGCCCAGGACGCAATAAGCCGATTAACTTTGTGAGAGGCGTGGGACATTGGCCCAGCGACCAAAGTCCTGCGCTACTAAAACTAATTATTGTTATTACAGATTCCCTGTATATTGAATGATAGCACTACCACATATCCATAGGTATGTATGTGAGTCCAAGCTACCGTGCCCGGTGCCCTTCACGCCTGGCGTCTTTCAGAATGCTGGCGATCATGGTAGACCGTTGGATCGCTTCCTCGCGGCGCCCAGCGCACGATGTTACTGCTCGCGTACAATACCTTGCGCTATACTAACCAGTCGTGGTTTGATGCTAGCGCGCATTCGCCGGACGTCAGACGGTACCTCCTCGTCAGTGAGATCTAACGTCGTATGACTATCGACCATCCAAATTAAAGTTTATACTCTCTTGAACTCTCAAACCGTGAAAGTTCGAAGTAAGAACTTCATCGACGACTCCTCGAGCTTTAAAAACGCGGGCGGGTGCAGTAACAATTTCCTTAAAGAACGTCTCTCTTCCCATTTAGTCTTTACTGTTAGTTGCGCCTGCTACATATTGCTTGTCGGTTCTGAAGTGCTGACCTAAGGCTACAGTACCAGGTACCAGCTCTGTGTATTCTAGTCTGTTTATTGTCCGGCTGCTGAATTGCGTTTGCCTGATCATATAAGACAAGAGAAAGGGCTTGAGCTTCTGCCGGGTTTAAAATGGAAGGCATCCAGCAGCTGCAGCAGCTTGGGCCCTCGCCGGCTAAGCCCAGCAAGGCGAAGAAGCAGCCAAACCAGGCACCACAGCCCAAGACGCTGTACCCTCCGCCGGAGCTGCTGGAAGATCTATGCAGGTAAGGCAGTCATGTCCTTCTCAGTCAGGACACATTGTAAGCTTTGAGTGCATCTTATGGAGTGTGACAGCTCTCCAATCAGGAAGAGCGCTGGCCAAGCACATGATTGCCAGTTAATCTTGGGTTTAAGGTGCTCAGCCATGGTGGTAAGTGGCACATTGATACGTCCGAGAACGTGAGAGCTGCCGAATGGAAGCTGCATTACAGCACTTGTATCGCAAGGTATTCAGAATGTTAAGAACCAGGCGTCCTAGTATCTGCACCATTCCGTTTGAGTCCATCATCGGCTCTGCGTTATACTAAGAGATCGTGCCGACTATGCGTGCGCTTTTCAGCATCGACTATGTTTGTGCGGGTTTGAGGCTTGTGCTTCGGATTTGTGCCTGCGTTTCTTTTTTCATTCATCTAAGATCGATCAATCTGCTGGTGCCGCCTTACAGGTTTTCCCCAACCATCTGTGGGACTTTCTTGATGTTGCCACCAACCCACTTTGTAACATCGAAGTTCCGCGTTCCTAATCAATTTGGTGACCACCAGATCTCTCTGTCTTGATGCCAGTTAGCGCACTATATGTCCGCTCCCATCATTGGTATTCTTTTGCGCTCAATCCTCCCACGGGTTACAACACCACCTCTGAGCGCACCGCTTCTCTACTGAAGAACGCAGAGGTTTATTCCATCGCTGCAGTCGCGTCATTCTTCACGCCCTCAAAAAAGGGCACAAAGTTTTTGAGCCCATGGCCCTTTTGTTCTAGCGCCTGAATCCAATCTTCTCAATGTAACACTCCTTGCCAAGCTCTTCCCCCCTAATTGCCCCTTCTTCCCTTCGTTATGTATCCAAGTAACACAAAACCCCGCTCGTCTTCTTTCTCGCAACTGCATTGTGCTCAATCACCCCTTGAGAAGAGCTCAAGCCTTCTGAGTTTATCCGCTGTCTCCTTTGACAACTGAAAACAATCCGTACCTGCACCTTCTCAGTCCCCCACTGATCCTTGCTCTTTCAGAGGCGTGACGAGTTGCAGACTTACCCCCCCTCTCCTCCTTGCAGTCGCTTCGTCCTCAACGCCCCCGGAGAAGAGCTCAAATCCTTCACGCACAACCGCTCTTGCTTTGGTTATTGACGAGAGTATATACCTGCACCTCTCTGCTCTTCCCTAATTCTATTCGTGGCTCACTTCCACCTGCATTTGAGTTGACTGTTGCCCCCCCTCTCTGCAGCCGCTTCGTCCTTAACGCCCCTGAAGAAGAGCTCAAGTCATTCGAGCGCATCGGCTTCCTCATCGAGCTCGCGCACTGGTTCTACGAGGACCACGTGCGCGAGCAACAGCCCGCTTTACGCAGCTTTTCGCTCAGCGACTTCATCGCCGCAATGTTCAAGCACTGCGCGGCGCTCCGGCCGTACGGCGAGTTTGCGGACGAGATCTACCGCAGCTTTACGGACTACAAAGTGAAGGTGCCCACGACGGGGGCGATTCTGCTGAACCCAGCAATGGACAAGGTGGGGCAGCGGCCACTGTGAAGGGGGCCAGTTGATCAAGGGTTGTCTCTTTCTCAGCTTCTGTCCTTTTCGATTTCGGAGGTGTGATAAAGAGAGTTGGATCAAAGTTCAATACGAGGCTTGGTGACATGGGTGTTAGGAACAGCGGTTGCCCTTCAAAATCAATGGTAAAGTGTGCTTTTTGGGATTGAGGAGCGTCTCTCTAGGCAGGCTTCTCTAGAAATGAATTTCGCAGTATCCTTGTCACATCGTATTCAAAACGATGACGCGTGGAAAGCTACTTCATGTTCTGACTCTTTGAGGTCCTTCTCAAATCCGCTGTCCTTTTCTATAGCCTTCTTCTGAAAGGCCTGAAAATCAAGCGGCCTTTCAGGAAAGAAGATGCACATCAGGTTGTCTGAGCGCAACTTTTCAGGTGTCAGTAATGGTTAGCGTCCACTCATTCTTGCTTGAAGCACGACAAATGCTTCTAACCAAGCGAGGTCAAGAAATCAGAAGGCTGGTACAAAGAGCCTGCCCGTTTTGAGTCAGCTAGAACCTTCTTTCAGTGCTACAGAGCTTCTACGGGCAACACGATCAGTAAGGGCGCTCCAGCCAAACCAAAGCAATGTCCAATCAGCCTGGTGGCCGCATTTTCGCAGTGCGTGATGGTGAGGGGCTGGAAGCAGCACTCGGCGTGGGGCTTTCCAAAGGGGAAGAAGAACTTCCAGGAGGAAGATCTGGCATGCGCAATCCGGGAGGTGAGGCGACGCTCCTGTAGCAATCGAGCCGAGCGATTTTGAATTCTCTTGTGTTTGCGACAAGGTTCAGCTTTTGCTAAATACCGGCCTTGAGATGCATCCAGGCTTCTTACTCCTTCCCTCTGAGAAAAGGTATGTGCCACAGAGTTGCCCTGAAGGAAAGAGGTTAAGATCGTCAGGAGCAAAGGTAAGGCGAAGGACGGCGACGAGCCGAGGAGTTGACGACTCTTTCGCTCCGCTTTTGGAGCACAAGAAAGTTGCAAAAATCACTTGAATCGAGTTCCATCATTTCCGATGTGACCCGTGCAAACATTCGGTAAGTTCCTGATTACAAACCATTCCCGCAGGTGGAGGAAGAGATTGGGTACAACATTGGCGGCCACGTAAACCCGGAAGACTTTCTCGAGGTCGAGATTGCCGAGCAGCGCTGTCGGTTGTACATAGTCACGGGCGTCGAGGAGAGCACGCCCTTTCTAACGCGGACCAAGAAGGAGATCGGGGTGAGCCGCTGCGGACGTCCAATCTGCTTGAGGGGTCTGTGCAGAAACGTGTCATGTGAAGGGAGTTCTCGATGCCGAGCTTTGCACACTAGATCAGGAATTCATCGGATTGACCGACGTCAGAAGTAGGGGGTTCCTGTCGTGAAGACAACTGACTTCACCGCTACTGAGAAAGCGCTACGATGTGTTTTACTCGCAATTGCTGGAACGGCAGCAAGGGATACAGAGCGCCAATGGTCCCTTTCCCCTGAAGTGGAATGGAAGCCTCTCCTAACCATGTTGAATTGAACGTATGGAACACGGACTTCAAGAGAAGGGCAGAAAGGTCTGCATAAGATCGAAACGAGCCGCGTGCGTACGTCCGCAGGAGATTGCGTGGCACTGGATTGCGGACCTGCCGGACGTGGAGAACGAGGATCCGGACAACCCGGGGAACCCGAACAAGGGCGCCAACGGCCTCAAGTACTTCCTCGTATGGCCGTACATGAGGTAAGAAAAAGCTGCGAATGGAAGTCACCAATCATTTGTTTTGATCGATCTTGAGAGAATGGAGGGCTGAGCTTTGAAGATACGGGTTTGCTCGAGACGTCGGAGGCGGGCTTTGCGCGATCCAAGCATGAGGTATTCAGAAAGGAGGCAAAGAAGCAGGGCTGAAGTTGGCAGAGTCACTAAAGCCACCTCTAGGAAATTTGCATTTTCCGTCTCGAAAGTAATGTCCATCTTAGCATGCTCATTGATAGCATAACCATCGGGATAACCTCCCCCTCTCCATGTGCCGCTTTGCGATTCGCAACTGCAAGCTTCATTGAGAGGGACACTGCTTAGGGATTATGTGCACGCTTTGAATCTAGACAATCTGGGAAACAGAGACAAGAAAGCTGAGAAGGACGGCATAAAATACAAAGGAGCTGAAGGAGCGTCACCTAGAATATCAAGGGAGAACCCACTAGCCTCTTATTGCTGACGCAGGGGCCTCAAGAACTGGATCGCAGCACGGAAAGCGCCAGGGGGAGGGCGGTCTAAGCGAAAAAAGGGTTTGACAGGTGAGCAAGGCCACAGTATCTTAACTGCTTCTTACTTCTTGAGATTAAAGAATGTTTACTCTTTGGAGACATGGTGTCTCTGATACCCGAAAGCAACGGGGAATTGTTGAGGAACAGCGCGGTCGCTTCAGCACCTGACTCGAGAAGCGCTCAAAGCACCAATAAGCAAACTTGTTAATGCACGTCTATCTGGCCAACCCTGAAGTACACGCAGTAAGCCCTTTCATATGCATGAAAACTTAGAAAAGATTTGCTTTCTTGCAGGTCCCAGCAACCCGACGTCGTCCGGCCGATCTGCAGTCGCTCCTCCGCCGTCAGATCCGGCCCCTGCAACTCGCGAGCTACCTCAGATGCCAGCTGTAGAATTTCAAGCGTCTGATGTGCCAAGTGGCACTCAACCAACGGCCCTGTATAGCAGCCCTGATTTCAGTAACTTCCGGTTCGACGTTGCCCGGATATTGCCCCTTCTGACCTTCCCGGAGAAGGTCCAACACGCCTCCTTATAGGCTAAGTTTGCACAGTATTGCGCAAGCGGCAGCTATCGTGCTCTTTTGGCTCAAGTTTTGCGTCCTTTGACCTGAGTCTCTCATCTCCGATCTATGGGGCAAGACGCGAAGTTCGTCCTCCGAGGGATGTTAGAACTCATTTTGCAGATGATTTCCGAGATTGCAGAGGCTTTTATACAAATCCGTCCATCATGTGTCCAGGACGCCTAGTACGTTGAATGAGGATTCAATATGGCGGCACGCTGGCGGGTGAAAGTTGTTTGTACTGCCGAGCTGGAATTATATGCATTTATTGCACGCACAGTACAAACTCGCGCAATCTGGAGTTTACAGGTCATGCAATTCGACCGCGTACGCCCATGCTCATAAGTATAACGTAATTGCATTGTGGCGCGCCGCGCGTATATGCACTAGTATATATACTGTATGTATGCATGTCCCGCCAGTGACGGGGCATGCATACACTTGGATTGAGAAGTTGGTTGCATGGTCATGCATCATGCAATTTTGCCAACCAGCAGCACATCAGCAGAAAATAATGAGGTTGACGCACATGGTACAAACACAACGACGCTTGGTTATGGCTCGATCAACCATTGGAAGCATGATCCAAGTCTACGCAATGTATTTTCAAACTGTGTCATGCTTAATTCTGTTGCTTACAGGCATACTGTAGCTGCCCTCTGGTGAAGGTTCCCCACATCTCCCTTATCTACCCCGTCGCGGAGAAACCGGGCCAGACCGATACAGACTCCATGCTAAACCTTACGAAAATTTGGCGTTCGAAAAGTCCATTTCCGGGTGCGCGGCCATGAACTTTTGCAAGATGTCTTGCTTCTGCTGCTCGTCGGCCGTGGGCAGCCCCATTGCTTTTTGCCGTTGGTCGTACTGCAGCACAAAAACGCACGTCATTGGTGAGCGTAGTTCCTTTCAAACAGGAGAAGCTCGGTTGAAGAAAGTGTACCAAGGTTCTTTTTGATATAACACTTGCGTCGCTGCTCAAAGAGCAAGAACGACCCGCTCGAACTCCATCTGTCCAGCTTGGGATGTCAACTTGCAAACACCGTCCGGTATTTTACATTCTAAATATCTGCCATGGTTCAACTGCTTGCAAATCTCCTTGATTGGACACTTTCAGAACGAAAGCAAGTGGCAGCCAATCCGTTCGAATTCGTAGCCCACAGGCCCCCGAAACGAAACGAAAAGTCTGCTGGGGCTTGAAGGAATTAACGCCATCGAATGAATGCGGTTTCTGCAGAGGCTGTGTGCTCGGCAGCTCTTTCTCGCTGACGAGCTTTTCTGACACGATGATCTTTGGAAGCATTGCAAGCCAGAGGCCCGCCGTCAGATTCCCTGCCACCGCACCACCATCTATTCGACGTTTGAACGAAGAGCGCTCACAAACGACGAAGATAAGTGAGAACCAGACCCAGAGGCCGTCTGTGAAGCCCCACTGCCGCCTCACCATCATCTTCTCGACCGTTTGAATGGAGAGAGCTCACAAAACCACAAGTCAGAACCAGAGGCCGGCCGTGAAGCATCCCTGGCGCCTTACCATCATCTTCTCGACCGTCTGGCGCGTCTCCCCGTCCAGGTCGCTGAGCTTGCTGTTCTCCGGCTCCACCTTTTGCGTGTTGATCTCGGGGTCGCCCTTGACCACCGCGCGCCACCACTCCATCTGCTCCACTTTCGTCAGGCTCACGCACAGCGTGTTGCCGTCCTCGATGCTCCACATGCTGTCGTCCGTCTTCACCGGCTTGTACAGCTCGCCCTGAAGAATATGCAAAGATTTTGTAAACCTTCGTAAACTCAAGTAGTGTATCTGACTTCAAAACAATGTGAGAATGTTCATTCACTCGATGCTCCACGTGCTGTCGTCCGTCTTCACCGGCTTGTATAGCTCGCCCTGAGGAATGGCCACATGACTTGTTAAGTCACTGCGCTCTATAGTGGTGAGCTTGCTTTTGATGCTGTCCGGGTATGTCTCGTTGACGAGTGCTGGTATACCTAGGACTGACGTCCTCTGCATATGAAACTGCATTTGGCACATATGCAGTAATGGTCTTTCTTTGTATGTTGAGCTACTTCTCGAAGCGTTTTCCAGATTCTCAGAAAGGCTCGAGGATACGAAAGAGTCGTGTTGTGCAGCGCGTTAAAAGGGCGGGAATACGAGGGAGGGAGTTCTTTGCAAAGGAAGCAACCCATAGATCCTCATCGTCAGTGTCAGTGTCGCGCGATGCAGCACAAAAAGAAATGCCTGTACAGACTTGGAAGGAACAGGCGTTTCCATGAAACGGATTCCTTTACGGGCAACAGGTCAATACGCCACTCCGTCTCCCAAAGGGGCAAGGTGACGACTAGCAATTCTCTAGCATACGACTGCACTTTTGGACCTCCAGCATGTCTGGTTGGAATCTGCTGAACCAAACCGGTCACACCTGGTCCTCAAAAAGGGACGGAGAACCACAAGATAATAATATAACACCGCAACTGTCTCATCGCGTGCGTAGAAACAAAGGAATCTGAGGGAACAAGGAGGTGAACCGAAAAGAAGAAACTCTACGCACCTTGATGATCGGGGGCTGTCCCTTCAAGCCCATGGTTATCGACGTCTTCTTGATTTCGGCGTCGACCATGCGGGCCTTCGTCCCCTGGGGCACCGGTATCGTGATGTATAGCTCGCTCAGCGTCTGGGTCCACGAGTACTTCTCTAAGTCGGCGCCGTTGCCACGGTTGGGGACTGCAAATCGAAAGAGATGAAGAAGAGAATCAGCTATTAATTTCAAAGTGAATCGTCCATCCCCATGTATTGAACGCAACTCACAGATAAACCCGCTGCTGCAGAACAGCACGCCGAAAGCAGGATGCTGACTCTTGACTGACTGCGGAAGGCAAGAAAGGAACTTGTAGGTAACGCTTTCTCCTGACTTAGCAGGGCCACAGCCATTTCATAAGTACAAGGCCATTGAAGGGACCGTTCGGCGCTCATATCCTTTCCGAACCGCCTGCTTCTTCGAATCTTGCAGGAAAACTAGCAGCAAAGTCTCACTGGTGGCTAGGCAGCTTGCCCAGCACAATCAATATCTTCATAGTTGTTGAGCCTCGTCATTGAATAGTGGCCAAAGGATACTCACCCAGTCCCTTCTCCTCGTCCTCCTTGTCTGGGACCATTTCTTCCTTTACAGGTTCTTTCCCGCTCGCGCCTTCTGCTTCCTCCAATTTCGACTCAGGACTTTTGGAGGATGGTTCTGTGATGGGAGTTGGTGTTGCTGGTTTTGAAGCCCCTGGCGCAGGGGTGGGCTTCTCTGAGGGTGTTGCTCTAGGAGCAGGGGCTAATGGGGTCTTCTTCGGCGCCTCAGCCTATGGAAGAAGTCAAGACATGGTTCGCTCACCATCCAATAACTATGGATCCTCATGATCTTCAGCACTCTTCAATCCACTGAAAGTTTGATAAAAAGACAGCTGCTGCACAGAAACCATCCATTAGAAGGTCTGACAAGGAACAGTTGCTGTGGAGAAAATGACCTGTAAGAACTTGCAAGCAGCTTTTTAAAACAGCTACACCAAACCAAATGAGAACGTCAGACCGCCAGCGTGGCGTTGACCCATGCTCATCTCCTCTCCTGCGGCTCACCTTGGCTTCAAGCTTCCTCCTCTTGACCTTCTGCACCATCTCGCTCACCCTCTGCTCCGCACCAGAGGCATCGAAGAAGTTTGACTTCTTCTGGAGGAAGTCAAACACCGTCTCCAAGAGCTGCATGAGCCACCACCACCGGCTGATTATGCATCAGGCAGAACAGACAGGGGATATGCACACTTTTACAGAACACCAAATGATGCATTCTTCAAACTCAACAAAAGGTGATGCACCCACACAGAATGTATCTCTTGAGCAACTTCGAACACCACCACCGCCACAAATATAAGGAGGAAATGTCACTGTCACATGCTTATTGTACATTGAAATTGGCGCCGACAGTCTACAAAGTGTTCAACAAGGAACCACACTGCTTAGACATGACGGTGTTCCCAGTGTCAAGCGAATCGGATAAGTGTGATAAATGAGACAGCACACTCGTGCAAAACTGCTCCAGTTTGAGCTTGAGCAACAGGAAAAGACTCCTCACCTGGGACGCATTTGAGCTGTGCTCTTCATACAGGCGCTGCAAAGTGCTCTCGAACTTGGAGGAGCTGGATTCCGAGGATCCCACAGTTGCGTCGAGGTGGCGAGGGGATGAGCGCAGCGGTGTTGAAGGACGGGGCTCCTCCTCAACTTCTGCTATCACCGCCATGTTGCAGGATTGAGCACCCCTGAATTGCCGCGGATAACAACTGATAAAGAGAAATTTTTGCAATGTTCACTTGTAAAAGCGCTTTTGCTGGCCTCCCATCTGCTTTGTAACTTGTAACTTTAAGTTTGTGGACGAGTTTGCATCTACCGGTATGCGGTTTTTGCTGATTTTCCTTCCGTGTCGCTTGTGACGATGGTTTCTCTTGCTTCGACGGTAAAAAGCTACCCCGCGAGTGTCGCCCCCCATTGGCTTTCGTTGTCGAATGCGTGGTTAATTACCGGTATCCTAAAACCACCTAGCTTCGATGGATGATTAGATCTAATTTAAGTTCAGGCTCCAGT